ACGCGGCCCATTCATCTTTGTTATACACGGTGCTTTATGCAACGGACACGCCTTTGCAATTTTTGCTGAAATAATCAAAGAAGTTTTGTGGCTCATTGTGACTTAACACCGTAGATAATTCGCGCCCAGCAGGAGTAAATATCTCAGGTGCAGGTGAAAGGGCTTCCGATGTTTCCCTTGAACAAGCGCTCAAAGTGAATTTTTAATATTTATATGCTTTAAAATTAGTAGAAATTTAGAACATTCCGATTAAATGTTTAGATATGCATTTTATTTACACTAAAGTACTAAAAAATTTAATAGCACAAAATTTTTTCGCATTTAACAAAAGAGAATAAAATTTCCCTGCTGAGAAAGCAAAACAGGTGTACAAGTATGTACTTTCAATTATATTTGTTTCATTTTCGATGTTGTCAAGAACAAAACAATCTAATAGTGCTGCCGGGCCAGGCAAATTAAACTTTTACCAGCGAAGAAATTCCCAAACTTTTCACTCTCTTTCTTTCGATACATCGAAACGGAGATAAAAAGTGATAGTTTCCTGTTGTTGATCCGATAAGCAGAGAGCGTTTTAAATACAAATTAATTAGTACATTGCGCCGCTCATACCACCATTACTCATAGCCGAGAGCAGTCTATAAAGATATGCAAAGAAGTGAACGAGAGCATTTCACTTGAGTGTGGGAGCAGAAAAGAATTTCTGCCTTTTATATAGAACACATAAACACGCTATTGTAAGAGGAAAGAAGGAAAAAAGAAACGATCCGCCAGATTTATTACCGGCAACATTGCGGCTATGCTTTGTTTATAGAGATCAACTGTATACCAAGGAAGGGAAATCAGAATTGAATATTACTTTGAAATTGAGATTTATAAATTTATTAAAATTATCACCGTCGTTTATTCTACCTGTTTTGCGGAATACAAAATAAACCCTGAATAATAAATCCTGTCTGATATGAATTTATTTTGAAATACTTGAATAATGCTTATTTTATTAATTCTCCTTTTAATGGCAAATTATTTCCTTCTTTTCGGCATTAAAGTTGGCCTTGAGTACCACATTCCCAAAAAGTCCTTGGTGCTCACTTTCAGTTAATAAAAAGTAAATTCAATACTAAAGTGTCACCCTGCCCGTTGCAATTGTTCTCTTTCACGGCCGTTTCGCCTTTTCTATATTGAAAAGAGTGTAAGTCACTTAGCCACATTATCATTTTTGGAGCGGAAAATGAAATTCCGGCGGTGTCACTTTTCAAAAAGTACACAAACAACACCCAAAGCGAAGTGGCCCAACCTGAAATGAAACACGCCAGCAGTCTAATATGTCACCTCGATTGCTTGTTCACTGAAAATTTAATCCAGCGCGCAAAAGTGGTTGAACACGTTCGGCCGGTGAAACATAAAAAACAATCTCTTCGTGTGTGCTCGCGTTTTTTATATAATTTACAGCAATTGCGTAAGCGACATACATTTTTTCCTTCTCTCTTTCTTGCCGAATTATTTATTAGATATTCCAGTGGGCGACACAAATTTATATTGCCTCGTTTTTATGAGCCCGAGAAGAGCCGCCGCCGTTCACCGCGCTCGGCATAATTATAAATTGTGCGCCTGAACGTGTCCGCGATAATTAACACTGTGCTCTGTTAACCTCTCGATTTATTCATTTTGCTAAAGTAGAGCAACCAGACGCACGACGGCTTTTTTGTTATGAATTGGAAGTGATCCGCAGTGAGCTTATTGATTTCATGAATGCATATTTAAATTAATCAATCAAAATTTGTATGTGCAATTCAAATTACGTTCTCTGTTTCTCAAATTTCAGAGGCCTATAATAATAATAATATTTGATTTTTAGATTACTTTATTTTAGGTCGAGGTTCAATAATTAATGGTCAGCAAGCAAATTTATCAAGCAAAAAAAATCAGTATTATTTTTGTGTGTCAGGTTTGGTAGAAAAATAGCAAGATTTTACGAAAACAAAATAGTGGAAGAATAGCTATATTTTAATAAGGGGATGCTATTTTAACAGGTCTGCGGCCCAGAACGCCCTTGTCCTGAACTGTTTTTTAAATTTGCAAATTACTCGTCTAATTTTCTCACGACTGTGCGGCGCTAATCGTTTCTTAAAATAGTGGAAGAATAGCTACATTTTAATAAGGAGATGCTATTTTACCAGGTCTGCGGCCCAGAACGCCGTTGTCCTGAACTGTTTTTTAAATTTGCAAATTCCTCGTCTATTTTTCTCACGACTGTGCGGCGCTAATCGTTTCTTAAAATAGTGGAAGAATAGCTATATTTTATTAAGGGGATGCTATTTTACCAGGTCTGCGGCCCAGAACGCCGTTGTCCTGAACTATTTTTTATAAAGGGAGCGCTATATTTCCAGCTCAGTGGCATAAATTCGCCAATGACCTGAGAAAAGTTTTAAAATTGTAAAATCTTCGTCTATTATTTTCGCGTCTCGCCGGTGATAAACGTTCGGCATATTAGTGGAGGAAAAACTATTTTTTTAAAGGGAGCGCTATATTTCCAGCTCAGTGGCATAAATTCGCCAATGACCTGAGTAAAGTTTTAAAATTGTAAAATCTTCGTCTATTATTTTCGCGTCTCGCCGGTGATAAACGTTCGGCATGTTAGTGGAGGAAAAACTATTTTTTTAAAGGGAGCGCTATATTTCCAGCTCAGTGCCATAAATTCGCTACTGACCTGAGAAAAGTTTCAAAATTGTAAAATCTTCGTCTGTTATTTTCGCGTCTCGCCGGTGATAAACGTTCAGCATATTAGTGGAGGAAAAGCTATTTTTTATAAAGGGAGCGCTATATTTTCAGCTCAGTGGCATAAATTCGCCATATACCTTAGCTAAATTTAAAAATTGTAAAATCATCGTCTGTAATTATTATCGCGTGCCAGGGTTCCGGGGTAAGCGTAGAAAAAATTTTCAAAAAAAAGGTGGCTGCAAATGCTTCAAATGGCATGTCTGATATCTACATGGTGGTCATGGAAACTTTTTTTATCTGTCGGGACTTGGTCAGTAATGATGGGCCAGGGTTGAAGAGGGGTGAGGGTTTGAAAATGACTAATGAGTTGGCTAGAAATACTCCAAATGGTCTGTCTAAGATTTCGAGATGATCGCCACAAACCATTTTTTTCTGTCAGGACTTGGTCAAAAGGGTGGGTCAGAGGGATGAGGGGAAGAAAAAATTTTAAAAAAAAGTAGGCTAGAATTGATCAAAATGGCCAGAGACTTTTAGATAATTGGCTGTAACACGTTTTCATTGTCGCCTTTGTCGGGTCGGGACTTCGCCCAGTGGCCCGAAAGGTCAGGGTTCCAGGGGTGAGGGGTAGAAAAATTTTTTGGAAAAAAATGGTTCACAATCATTAGAATCGTCCATCTGAGATTTTAAGATGATGCCGCAGAAAAAGGTTTTAGTGGTCGGGAGTCAGGAAAATTTTATTTCACGTAATTTTACACCAAAGTAAGTGGCCCCTGGAAAGTCCGGGCCACACAGGCACTTGTAAGATTTGGATCGAAAAGTATGTGGCCACATAGACTCGATCCGCTGTGTTGTTGTATTCGCCGCGAAGGTGGGCGTCGTAGCCGAGCGGGCTAGGCGGGGAGCCGCTGGTCGACTGAATGAGTTGGGTTGTTATTCTGAGTTTGTATGTTGCGTCATCGGCAGAGTCGCTACACACTAAATCCGCCACTGACTCGAGGCACCTAATCAAAAAAGGTTGCCATAGTCACCTCTTCCCCACGATCTCCGCCGACACTTTTCACGGCCACTATACTACCAAAAGGTAGCAATGCTTCTCGAGTCAAAATAAAAATTCTCACTTATTTTCCTGCCGGAAGAACTTTTACTTAATTTTTATTTATAATTTAGGCACCATCCGTATTGCAGTGGAAGTTTTAAATCGAAAAACGCACATCCGGCGTTCTCCCAGCAGGCCCGACCTAAATAATAAAACATTTTTAGAATGTGGATGCGCACTTGTCACTTTCGCAAAATATACAATTATTTAAATCATCTTCTCAAAACTTCTGTTACACACACGCGTCGTGTGAACTGATTATGCACGATTAGGCAACCTGCGAAATCTCGACCGCACATAAGTAGCGTGTCTAACACATTTGCAGGCGCCTTTGTCGTGTGCAGTCATGCGGACGAAACGAGATGCTGCGCGCTGAGAGATAAAAAATCATGCGGATTCGAAGCTCACATATTATACGCAAGCCGTGTGGCCGGCGCACTTTTGCTGGTCACCTTTAATGATATAATAGATTGCTTCCGCCTCCAAAAGTGACTGCATGCAGCTCATTCAAATGGAGAGCGAGAAAAAAGTGGCAAAATTGCAATTCAACACACACATCCTCCAATAGTGGAGCCGCGAATGTTTGTTATTTGATGCATGCTTATTTTTTGGACTGCCGTTTGGCAATGCACATATGGCCCACATGGGCAATAAGGAAATAATACTGACGGACTGAGAGGATGTTTGGTTGTATTTTTGGGCTCAAATGTAAGTTCTGATCGGGATGGATTGGCATTATTTTGTTCATTATTTATTATACGGCTTTAAAAATTAATCACCTTTGTAAAATTATTAGAAAAAAAATTGGTAGCCGAATACTTTAACTCTATGCATAAAAATTAATTTTGAAATGAGAATGACATTTGTAAAATGCAAATTGGATTGATCCCGTACCACCGTAGGCGTGAACCTTTCTTATTGTTAGACCTGTGTGAAAAGTGAGCAAAGAGAGGGCAGCTTAGGCAGCTACACAATTGGTTTTCATTTTCATCTTTACATTGTTATTGAAATTTCTTGCTTTGATCTTTGAACTCTATCCCGCTACACAAATTTCATTTGCAAAATTCTTGCCCTTCTCATCAGTTAAAGTCGTCAAGCATAAAAATATTATTATAATAATGTATTTTTTTACTTGCAAATTAAGTTTATTGGGGTGTACCAGAGAATAAGCAATGCGCAAACAAATTTTTTCATTTTTATATGTTACCATTTGTGCTCGTCAATGTTCAACTTCAGTGGAAAAATAGAAAATGCATGCAAACGTGAATTAAAATCTCTGTTGAATGTTATCCCATTTGGAAAACGTATCTTGTAAAAAATATTGTTTTAACAACAGCTAAAAGTATAATAAAAAATTAAATTATTCCGTTGCTTGCAAACGTTTCAGCAGGAGCGCCGCCAGTAGACTATGTTATATGGCATGCTTTCTCTGACGACCCGATTTCATTAATATAATTTACTACATACTTTATATTCATATAGAACTGCACAATCATACTACATGACATTAAAATACACTTTTAGGGTTATTAAAATCTGAACAGTAAAAATCTTGATTTGATAATCCTGAAATAACCGCATTATGTTACTATTTGAAATTACCGACTTTTTCTATTATACCCAGTAGATTTTTTATTCGATACAATACATAATAATTTAAGTTTTTTTTCAATAGAGGATTTTTTCATTTTCTCAAGATTATCTTCACTCCAACGTGATTGATAATTTCTGCAATTTAGCTGGTAAAGAATAATGAACACTAATGAATAATCTTCTTTAATCAATACAACTAGCTCCTTTATTTTTAAAATTAACATTGCGTCAAATTTGATCATAAATTTCTAAAATTGTTTCACAGTTCATTACAATCAAGATTGGAGCTTGCCTTCTGCAAGCTCAAGAGTGCACTGGTCTTGGCGGGATAAAGATAATTATTATATCTAATTTGATACAAAATTCCATAAAAAATTGATTGTTTTTTAATATAAGGTCAATTTCCCAATATTATGCTGCAAAGAATGATTTTCTTCCAAGTGTGCAGCTAAAGTAACCATTTTACTTATTATAGGAGACCAGAAAATTTAATTTCAGCAAATCACAATTTTCAGGAAAAGTGGCCTATTTTAAAAATTACTTTTGATCACTGTTGGATATCTTTAAAAAAGATAACTTCTCGTCCAGGCTCTCAACGTACTTGGCAAAGACCTCCCTTATGCCATTCTTCTCCAATCCCAGCTCCAAGGGCGTTTCTCCCTCCAGATTAGGGGTTTCAGCATCAGACTCTGCGTCAAGGAGTGTTTCGCAGATGGAACACCAACCAGCAGAGGCTGCGTAATGCAAGGCTGTTTGCCCTTTCCAGTCTCGGGTGTCGACGGACGAGGCAGCCTCTTGGACAAGTAAATTGACAACAGCCTCACGACCTCCACGGGCAGCCAGATGAAGGGGCGTTTTCCCTCCACTCCTCTCAGGGACAGTGGCATCTATGTCCAGGTCCAGTAGTACTTGCAGCATCTCGACATTTCCTATTTCTGCAACCATGTGTATAGCAGATCGACCGGAGTCATCGGTAGCCTCCAACAAAGTTTTGGCAGTGGTTTTTTGTCGTTGTTCGAAACTCTCCAAAATGCTTTTCAGACTGTCCAATTCACCATTCAACACAGCAGACCACACTTTTTGCTGCATGCTTTTTGGTTGAGACCTCTTCACAATACTGCTGGTATTCCAACCCCGCTTGACTCCATCCTGTGCAATGGCCATACTGTCTTGATCCATTAAAAGATTATTGAACTCCTCAATACTTCCAAATGAATTTTCTATAGTTTGAATATCTATCATTTCAAAAGGATCCCTGGTGTATAATGGATCGGTTGCAAATTGGTTTGTGCTGGATACCTAAAAAGTTGGAAAAATATACTTAGTACACAGGGTTGGTTGGCATGCATAAATCACATTTACATTAATACAATATCGAAGAGAATACTCGGTTTTTATAATTGAAATTAAAAATCAAGTTTATTGAGACAAAATTTAATTAGGTCATTTTTTTTGTTCTGTCAAAAAAAACCCATTAACCTGCTAATTTTCATGTTTTCAACCAGGACTTAAGAAATGCTCACAAATTATGGATGCAGTAACTGTAGAGCACAATATTGTTTTTAAACTTATCACAATAAAAGAATCTCAAAACCCATTAAGAAAAAAAGCAAATGTAAATACACAAACTTATCGTATTTAAAAGAATAATATTCACACCTGATCATGGTCATCTTGTGAAGCAGGAGTATCAGGAAGATGAAACGTCTCCTGTAAGTATTGGTTGAGGCTATTGGTTGTCTTAGGTGCCACAATATTGAGCTCTTCATCAATGTTGAACTTGCGCTTTTTCCCAGGGCATTCTTCAGCAGGTCGGTAAATAAATGCTAGAGGTTCAGATCTCTGATTGTCCTTTGGCCGAACAAGCTCGAACAGAACCTAATTAGAATATATTAAACTTTAAGGTATGTGTGTAACTTAATTGCGTTAATTATTATGCAGCATCAAAATTAAAATCTAATGAAGGAAATTGAATGGTGTGCAAAATGAAGCATCAATAAAAAATTTCAAGTAGGCAGAAACTGAAAACTCATAATTTGATTTAATACACCTGGAAAGAATTTTTAACCAAGTGTTTTCGTGGCGCACCTCAACATCGTTGTCAATGCTCTGGTCTCGATAAGGAGGAGTGTTGAAAACAATGCCATACTGGTGGTGGACATCAGCCTCACCAAATTTGGCGAAATCCTCCCAAATGACCATAGAATGTTCGTCTTCTTCAAAGAACCTGACTTTGATATTCTTTTTGTCAACCTTATCGACAAACAGCATCACCTCGCTGTTTCCTCTGCAAGACCCAGCTGTCAAGCTAGCCTTGATGATCTTCAGCTCTCCATTAGCTGCACACTTTTTATTCAGGATCGGCTGTGAAGACACAATCAAAGGCAATCCATTGCAGCCATAAATTGGCAAGTTGTTTGCATCTACAGCTTCAAATCTCAGTTTGACGGAGTTTAAATTAACCTAGGAATAAAATTATTTCAGTTGCATTAAAATTTCTATTTGCGTAATCTAATTACCGTTGCAGCATGGCCTTCGGCTTCTCTGGCAATTTTCATTTTCTCTTTAGAATTCAAAGTCTTTGTCGTGCCAGTTTCCTCTCTTCTACGAATCATTTTCTCCGTTAGAATTTTAGTAGCATCTCTCTTAGCTGTTTGAATAATGCCAACTTTGAATTCGGCCTCCCAGTTGTTCTCCAAATTTAATTCAACCAAATGGGGCTCGTTTGCCTGGATATAATTTAAATTTAGGATTAATTAACTTAAAAATATTCAGTATGTGTGGTGTAACCACAGGGATCTTTAATTATTGTATTGCAGAAGAAGAACTTTAATTGTACAAATCTTATAATTATATGTAACCGCGCGCGTTAAGGCCATTTAGTATATTAACCAAAGCTGAGCACAACCCTTAAGTTCCCGCCCCGCGCGCCACGCCACCACCGAGAACTACGACCGCCGCGCTCAGGGCGCCACCTGAGTGCCCAAGCAGACGCTTCCTGGACTCGACTGAGTGTGGTTGTAATGGTTTCCCTTCCCGCTTTAAAAGGTATTGCTTGGCGCCCACGCTAGATAAATTCGGAACTGAATATCCTTTTAAATCAGCTTAATCCGTTCACTAATTCAGCCCGAACTTTAAAACTCAGCATTAGAATATTAAATCTAATAGTAATTCCGCATTAGTTTGGCCAATTATTGTTTAGTTTTAAGAATAAACCATCACTTTATTTGTTATTGTTAATTAACTTGTTTACTTGAAATATCAATTAACCCTTTTTAGTTAGAGCACAAAGATAAAAGAGTAAAAGCATTAAAGGCCAATTAGAATTAAAGCCAATTTCCATGAGGCCGCCAAGTTAAGTCAATAATTAATTAAGAAGCACGTTCGAGTCCGGGAAAGTCTCCAGCTCTGCGCAAAGTGAGAACTTCGGGGAAAAGTCCTGTCGAGAGTCACGACAGATTTGGTGTCAGGTGGGTGGGGTGTGTTTTTTTTCCAAATTAACGCACCCTTTGGAACGTCCCGCGCACCCTGGCCAGCCCAGAGAGCACGGTACTCTCCCGTACCCTGTTTTCGCCGAAGTTCTGAGGATCCGAGACCGACCGTGACAAGCCTGGTGCCATCGACAAGAAGCGACCGCTGGATCGAGGTACACCGAGAAACAAGAGGCTGACGGAAGGAGAGCGCCTTAAGAAGCACTTGCCGAATTTGTTCACGGGAAAACACAGGCACACTGCTGTAGAGCGCGACCAAGAAAAACGCAGAGCTGTTAATTTAAGGTATCCCTTTTAAGTTGTAATGGATCCTATTATTTAAGTGGGTAGAGTGCTTTTTGTAAATATCAGCCTTAAGGGCGTTTTGCAAAGGTGCACTTCATGCCAAAAAGGAACTCGGAAATTGAAAGTTAAAAGTAATCAGCAAAGTTGGGTTAAAAACGCGAAAAGTTAAATTAGAGATTGGGTGATAATCCTCTAATTGAGAGAATTTTTTTTTACAAAGAAACAAATAAAATGGTCCATTGCTAAATTTTATTGTTGTGGCTCAATTTTTATAAATAAGCGAATAAATTTAAGAAATTTTGTAATATTGTACTCACCAATTTGACCATGGAACCTCTCACCTCATCCGAGTTGGTCAACAGAGATGTCCAACCAGAAGACCCACAGTCCATCGCCATTCGAGCCCATGTCTACCAGTTGATTGGCATCTACAAAGCAGATAGCAGCCTGTCCTTGAAGAACTTCATCCACAGTGTTGAGCGGGTGAAAATCGCATTTCCAAACACCCGAGATGCAGAGCTTGTCCGCCTTGCTGTCAGCAACACTGAAGGCGATGTGTTCCGGTTCGCCAGCAAGCTCAACTTGGACGCCCTCTCACTCCAAGACCTGAAGAAGGCGTTGGCGTCCGAGTTTGAGCAGCCACCCAGCTACTCCGAGGCCAAAGATGCGTTTGATGGCCTGGAACAAGGCAGCAATGAGTCAGTCGTCCAGTTCTACCGCCGACTTGTCAATGCAGGGGAGGTGCTCCTCAGTGCCCTGCTCGAACGAACCAAGTACAAGGAGGAAACACGACGGTTCTTCCTGGAGGAGGAACTGAAGCACCGATTCTTTGAGGGGCTCCGCACCGAGTTTCAGCAAGCAATTGTTTATTCAAATTCAAATCACCTTTCCAGCATGAGGGAAATTGCAGAAAATCAAGAGCACTTCTTGCGGCGAACCAAGCTCCGGCGTGAGCGTGAGGAGCAAGCTCAAGCAGCTGAGGATGAAAAATTGCAGCAGCAGCAGCAGCTCTTGGGATACATTCGCCAGCTGAAGGATGCTGTCTTTGGTGCCCCCAACCACCAGAGCACTCTCATGCAAACCACCAGCAGTGTGGTGACGTCCAATATGTGGCAGAGCAATCCAGCAGCACCGTCAGTCTGCCCCGTTCAGCCTCCGAGTGCGACCATCACCTCCGTGTGTGGCTCCACGGTGGGAGCTACACTGCCGATCACCAACGGCCACCCTCCAGCAACCAAGGAAAGCCTGCAAGAAAAGAAATGTCACAAGTGTAAACAGAAGGGACACATGGCGAGGAACTGCCCAAACGTGCCTTGCCAGCTGTGTTCCAGGAAAGGACATCGCTTTGGCCGGTGCCCCGAGCAAAAGTGCACATTCTGCTCAGCCCGAGGGCACCCGGCCAAGAGATGTCCAATCCAGAGGGCTTTGAGAGGCAACAATGGTGCAGCCTCACTCACCTCTTAGCCTTCGTCCAGCTTGTCGTGAATGTCCGCCACTGTCGAGCAACTCGATGGGCTCCCTCCATCGGAAACCAAAGAAAGGCTCCAGTGTGCTTGGATGCCAACCTCGAGCAACCCCAAGGTCCAAGTAGAGTCATCTCATCCCACCAGAAGAGAAGACCGACGCAAGAGTCTTGTCGGGAGGCCGTAAAAGCTTCTTGACGAGCAAGAGATATCCTGAAAGAATGTGAAAATTAGTATGTGTGAATTTTTAATTTTAAGTCAAGAATGTAATTAAAATTAAGAAAGTGAATTTTAAAAGTAAATGAAAATTAATTATATTTTGTGAAATGATAAAATGTTTTAAAAGCAAATGAGCCACAGCAAAAGTTAGAATTTCCCCAATTATAAATTAAGAGTTCAAATATAAAATTTCAAAAAGTTACAAGTTAAAAAGGAAAACAAGATCGTCAAATGTAACACAGTTGAATTTTGTCCAGAGAAAAATTTGAGAATTGATTGTGTAAAATTGTATTTTGTAATTTTAATTTAAGGTGGACAGTATTATGATTTCAATGATTATGTTTAATTTTAAATGCAAGGAATTAAGTTAGGCCACAATAATTTAAGAAAAATATGAGTGAATTTAAAATAAGAATTGTTTTGAAATTTTGTTTACGTTGTGGGAAAAGAGTGCTTACAAATCGCGACACTTAAATCTAAGCTGTGTTTTAAAATTGTTGTCAAAATGTTAGAATAATTAAATGTGCGAATAGTTCAAGCTCACCTCCTACATTCGTCGGCACTGTCGGCAAGCGAAATCGTGTCGAAAAATCATCGCCGCATCCGCGCATCGACGAGTGCAGTTCTCTCATCGCCAATTTGTTTATGTTTTGTTTTGGGACCTTTCCTCCTCCCTCCACCGCACCGCTGTTCGCTGCCCTGTGCGTGACGTCACGCCTCCCGCAGGAGCGAGCAGGCAAGAAGACGAGGAAGAAAGAAAACGCTCGCACAAACGTAACGCGGGTTGCTTACCACCTTCATTCATTCTGCTTTTTAGCTATTTAATCCAGTGTGAGCAATTTCGTGCCAAATTTTCTTAGGAATAAAATGTTAAAAATCATGTTAATTTTACGGATAAATTAAATTTGAAATTTAAGAAATTAATTTTAGAGAAAAATTTGTTTAAAATGCCAAAAGTGGAAATTATAAATTAATAATATGTCAATTAAGGAAAAAAAATTAAAATTTAAGAAAATTGTAATTAAAATGTAAGTTCACTGTTTGCGAAACATATTTGTCTGAATCTGTCCGAACAGAAAGCACAGGTCACAGATGCCGAGTTGCTGACTTGAGGGCAACCTGGATGACGCGCCCGCTGAGAACCAATTCTCACCACCCTGAGAACCTGCAGCGGAGCGCAAGCCTGTCTGAGGGACCCGATAACAACCCCATTGTCTCGGACGCCCTCGGCCCTCGAGAGCACTTGCGCAGCTTGTTCGAATGCTGTCAACCTTGCGCCCCAGACTGACCCTGCCGAGGACCAGGGAGGACAAAGAAGTTACGAGTCACGAGGGCGTGACTCAGATTTGTCGGGAGGCAGTCTGTGGTGTAACCACAGGGATCTTTAATTATTGTATTGCAGAAGAAGAACTTTAATTGTACAAATCTTATAATTATATGTAACCGCGCGCGTTAAGGCCATTTAGTATATTAACCAAAGCTGAGCACAACCCTTAAGTTCCCGCCCCGCGCGCCACGCCACCACCGAGAACTACGACCGCCGCGCTCAGGGCGCCACCTGAGTGCCCAAGCAGACGCTTCCTGGACTCGACTGAGTGTGGTTGTAATGGTTTCCCTTCCCGCTTTAAAAGGTATTGCTTGGCGCCCACGCTAGATAAATTCGGAACTGAATATCCTTTTAAATCAGCTTAATCCGTTCACTAATTCAGCCCGAACTTTAAAACTCAGCATTAGAATATTAAATCTAATAGTAATTCCGCATTAGTTTGGCCAATTATTGTTTAGTTTTAAGAATAAACCATCACTTTATTTGTTATTGTTAATTAACTTGTTTACTTGAAATATCAATTAACCCTTTTTAGTTAGAGCACAAAGATAAAAGAGTAAAAGCATTAAAGGCCAATTAGAATTAAAGCCAATTTCCATGAGGCCGCCAAGTTAAGTCAATAATTAATTAAGAAGCACGTTCGAGTCCGGGAAAGTCTCCAGCTCTGCGCAAAGTGAGAACTTCGGGGAAAAGTCCTGTCGAGAGTCACGACAGTATGGACCTCCTCATTTTTCTTCAACTTCCTGACCAGAAGATGTGGGTGTTCATGGGTCTCGTCATCAGCAGCCAAGGTGCACCGAATGAACACTGGCTCATTAGTGGTCCAACCAAAAAGAGCAACCTTAGGTAGTGTTTTGTTGGATCTCAAGCAGTTTTCGCCCGCTATGTGTCCGTGCGCGCCGTGCATTTCAGATTTATATCGAAATCTAAAAGTGCTGGATGGTTGCTCAGTTATTACAAGTTGAAGTTCCTCCATCTCCATCGCACGTTTTGAAAGAAAAATATTAGTCAGTTAGAAGTTATTTAGTGAAAAGGCAGGCAGCGATGACAAAATCAACCAAGAAATTGTGTCCTCTTCGACTCACAATCAGTCTCTGCTCTCTGCACTGTTTAGTGTTCGCGAGCAATTCGTTCGTATTCGTACCCACAGCGAAATGCGAAATCACTAATCATAAGCTTTCGTCGGAAAATTGGGGAATCACCATAATCTGCAAAAGGAGATGAGGAACGCATGAATTTAAGTTTTATAGATTAGGGAGTGCAATTTAATTGTTTTGAATGAGAAAATATTACAATAAAATTTGCTTGACTTGGTTGAATGATTAAATTGAAAAATCACGTTCATCTAATAAAAATCAAAATAATACCGAGTGAGAATAATGTCATACCTCATTACCTCGGTGTTGTTGACTTGTTGAAGTTCACGCCACGCCTCCACAAACAGGTGCGATACCATGTGATGATCGAGGTGGGAGAGGGAGGCGCGTTCGCCGCTTACTGAGAGATGTGTATTGTATAACCAAGATGTATTGTATTGTATAATATAATTTTAATGGTTTTTGTTAGCAAACGCGTCGAAGAATTGCTAGTTTTTTAATAATTAACATAAGATAGTTTTCATTTATTCAGGATTATTTTCACTTTATTAAGTCTATCCCAGTCTATCCCGAGATTCCTTTATTTAAAATAAACGAAAAACATAATTACATCAAATATCATCATAAATTTATATATTTATTTCGCAATCGATAAATTGATTATGAACAAGATTCAAGATAGGAGTTTGCCTTCTGTAAGCTCAAAAAGGGATTATTTGGTCATGGACCAATAAAGCAATAATTTTGGCGCGATCAAAACAATAATTATTATATCTAATTTGATACAAAATTCCATAAAAAATTAATTCAATTTTTTAATATAAGGTCACTTTACCAATATTATGCTGCAAAGAATGATTTTCTATCAAGTGCATCTAAAGTAACCATTTTACTCATTATAGGAGACCAGAAAAGCTCACATTTAATTTCAGCGCATCACATTTTTCAGGAAACGGTAGCCTTCTTTAAAAATTAGTATTCATCATTGTTTGATATCTTCAAAAAGGATATCTTCTCGTCCAGGCTCTCTACGTACTTGGCAAAGACCTCCCTTATGCCATTCTTCTCCAATCCCAGCTCCAAGGGCGTTTCTCCCTCCAGATTAGGGGTTTCAGCATCAGACTCTGCGTCGAGGAGTGTTTCGCAGATGGAACACCAGCCAGCAGAGGCTGCGTAATGCAAGGCTGTTTGCCCTTTCCAGTCTCGGGTGTCGACGGACGAGGCAGCCTCTTGGACAAGTAAATTGACAACAGCCTCATGACCTCGACGGGCAGCCAGATGAAGGGGCGTTTTCCCTCCACTCCTCTCAGGGACAGTGGCATCTATGTCCAGGTCCATTAGTACTTGCAGCATCTCGACATTTCCTGTTTCAGCAACCATGTGTACAGCAGACCGACCGGAGTCGTCGGTAGCCTTCAACAAACTTTTGGCAGTGGTTTTTTGACGTTCGAAACTCTTCAGAATGATTTTCAGCATGTCCAAGTCATCATTCAACACAGCAGACCACACTTTCTGCTGCATGCTCTTAGGTTCAAACCTCTTCATAATATTGCTGATCCCCAGACTACGCTTGACTCCATCATGAGCAATACCTAGGCTTTCATCCCAATCAAATTCATCAAGCTCGATAATTTGAAATGGATTTTCTATAATTGGTATATCCATTTCAAATGCTTCCCCTGCATACAATGGATCTGCCGCAAATTGGTATTGGTTTGTGCTGGATACCTGAAAGTAAGAAAAATATATTTAGAAATAGGTCATGGTCATTTTGTAAGTTTTTTGTAGTTCACTTAAAAGAAAAACATCCTGCTGATCTACATTTTTTTGCTCACTGCAGCCATAATTCACAAAGTTGAGAGATGACAGAGTCAAGAAAGCTCACAAATTAAGGCTGCAGGCAGCAGTACAACATGTTGACTGTAGAGCATGATATTGTTTTCTTTTTTACAAACAATGAACATTCTTTTTTACAAACAATGAACATCTCATCAATGAAAAGGCAACCTTAAATTCAACTCTAGGATAATGAATGACAGGCAAATCAAATATTTTAAAAACACACCATTCCACTGTCGTCTTGTGAAGCACGAGTATCAGTAAACACCTCTTGGAAGTATTGGGTAAGGCTATTAGTGGTCTTAGATGCTACTAAATTGAGATCTTCGTCAATGTCAATTTTGCGTTTCTTCCCAGGGCATTCTTCAGCAGGTCGATAAACAAATGGTAGAGGTTCAGATCTCTCATCATCCGTCGGACGAAAAAGCTCAAACATAACCTAATGAAAAATAGTATTTTAATACAATCTATGTGTGTAACTTGCATACAGAATACAATCATCAGGATCAATTGAATTTTTTGGTGATATTATTTCCAAACGCACCTCGACATCACCTTCGATGCTCTGATCTTGATAGGGAGGAGTGTTAAAAGCAATGCCATATTGGTGATGGACATCTGCCTTGTCAAATTTGGCAAAATCTTGCCAAATGATCATTCCTTGCTCGTCTTCTTGAAAGAACCTGACTTTGATGTCCTTTTTGTCAACCTTATCAACAAACAGCATCACCTCACTGTTTCCTCTGCAAGATCCTGCAGTTAAACTAGCCTTGATGATCTTTAGCTCTCTATTAGCTGCACACTTTGGGTTCCGGATCGGCCGTGAAAACACAATCAAAGGCAGTCCATTGGAGCCAGTAATTGGCAAGTTTTTGGCATCAACAGCTTCAAATCTCAATTTGACAGATTCTAAATTAACCTAAGAGTTAAATAATTTTAGTTGCATTAAAATTTCTACTTAATCTAATTACTGTTGCAGCTTGGTCTTTGGCTTCTCTGGTGATTTTTATTTTCTCTTTAGAAGTCAGAGTCTTTGGCATGCCAGTTTCTTGTCGTCTACGAATTATTTTCTCAGTGAGAATATCAGCTGCATCTTTCTTTTTCTTATGAATAATCCCAACTTTGAATTCGGCCTCCCAGTTGTTCTCCAAATTTAATTCAACCAAGTGTGGCTCGTATGCCTTGATATTTTTTAAAATTATAAATAATTAATTTGTTTTAAGTACCTCTTTAATACAAACCTCCTTTTTTCTCTCCAACTTTCTGACCAGAAGATTTGGGTGTTCATGGTTCTCGTCGTCATCAGCAGCCAAGGTGCACCGAATGAACACGGGCTCTTTGGTGCTCCAGCCACGAAGAGCGACCTTGGGTAGAGTTCGGTTGGATTTCTTGGAGTGTTCGCCGGCAATGTGTCCGTGCGCGCCGTTCAATTCAGAACAATATCTAAATAAGAAAGTGCTGCATGGTTGCTCAGTTATGAAAAGTTGAAGTTCCTCCATGGCAGTTAGTTTGAAAGAAATAAATCAGTCAGTTGACGAGTGGAAAGGCAGGCAGCGATGAAAAAGTCAAACAGACACAGACCACAGACAATTATTTTCACTGTTCACCTCGGCGTACCCCTCGTTCAGCTAAATCACCTTTCGTCGGGAAATCGGGGAATCACCACATAATCTGCAAGGAGCATGCATTGCGAATTTTAGTTTAGGAGATTAGGGAATGCAATGTGATTGTTCTGAATGAGAAAACATAACAATAAAATTTGCCTTAGCTTCGTTAAATAATTAAATTGTAGTAAAAACACGTTCATCTTTAATAAAAATAGAGAATTTTATGTCTTTGTCTTTACCGTCGTGTTGTTGAAGTTCACGCCACGCCCCCACAAACGCACAAACAGCGAACTGTTTGTGCTTGTTTCACGTCTTTCACGATCGAGGCGGGAGAGAAACAGAGAAGAGGCAGAAGCGCGAACCCTTATAAAAATCAGAATTATTAAAATTGGGTGTCGCACTGTATAAATTTGTGATAAAATTGCATTTGATGGCTGCATAGCGGATACGAGCAACTTTTATCTTTAAAGGCGGAGATGCGTATCGGCTATTTTATGTCATAATAAATAATAATTATTGGCTATAATGTGTTAAAGCAATAAGAAAATGAGTTTAACAAAGTAAAAAAATCAACTAAAGAGCAAGTAAGCATATTGCCAGTCAGTGCTGGTATGTATCTGGTGCATAATTCAACAAAAGTGTACATAATTATTACTGTTTGTGATTTTTAAGACAGTCCCATTAGTAATAATTTAATATTTTTATTTAAATATTTGTTTTTTACCTCAACAATATTCCAATTTGTGTTCGCCATGTGTCTAAGTAAATTGTATAGATTATTGAAATTTAATTTATACTTAAAATGCAGAAGATTTTAATATTTCTGTGGCTTCTATTTAATTTCAAAATAATTCAAAATGAAAAACTTTTTTCCTTTAATTTTTTATTAATAAGTGTTTTAATTCAAAAAAGGGGGACGTTGAAGAGTTTTATAAAAATATGATAAATATTATGAAAGAGGCCGACATTCCTCGTAGGCAAACTGAACGGATTAGTCAACCGTGGTTTGATTCTGAATGCTACGAATTAAAACAGAAATTGAACGAATGGAGAGAGTGCTTGGAAGTGGCTGAAAGTTTAAATGTAACTAGTATAATCAAGATTCTATTACCGCACTATACCGCAATAAAAAGAAATTACAAAAATGTGTGTGAAATGAAGAAGAACGCTTTTGTGCAAATGAAGGAGTTGGACATTTTAAAAGAGGCGGAGCAGAATAAGTGCTATAAAATTCTCAAGTTGAGCAAAAGTTTTTACAATACAAACAATATAATGATGGATGAATGGGAGTGCAATTTTGAAAAAATTTTCAACGAGAAAAAATTGAGTGAAAATGAATCTTTAAATCTGAAAGAGATGATAGTAGATTACAGAAATGATATAAATTTTTCACCTATTATGGAAGAAGAAGTTTTGTTAGCATTAAAGAAAATGAAAAACGGGAAATCCCCTGGACCTGACAAAGTGAAGAATGAAAATATTAAACTACTTGTTGAATCCTTACTCCCCGAAATAACGCAATTTTTCACCAAATGCTTGGAGCTAGGAACATGTCCAGAGGAATGGAGGCAGTCAAATCTAAAACTCTTGTATAAGGGAAAAGGGGACGCGGAAAATACAAATTCATATAGAGGAATATGTATTAGTTCGGCTTTTTACAATCTGTTAGATCGTGTACTGCATGCACGTATCTACTCATCTTTGATTCACGAGATTCCAGGCAATCAATATGGTTTTGTGAAAGGAAAATCCACTTTACAGGCAATTAAGTCCTTAGTTAATAACATTCAAGAGACAGTTTATAAGAAGAAATCACCCTTATATGCCTTATTTTTGGATGTAAGTAAAGCTTTTGACTCAATAGATAGGGCGTTTATTTTTAAGAAGTTAATAGAAAGCAAGAAGCTAACGTTCACGGAGTTAAATTATTTAGCTCACAACTTAGACTTAAATTTCTTGAGAATAGTAGATGGAGTAACAGTATCAAAACTTATTACACAATCAAATGGGGTAAGACAGGGGGGATGCACGTCCCCATTTCTGTTCAATTACTCTTTAGCTGATATAAATAATATTCTATGAGATTTGCCAAACGTGAAAGCCATTTATTATGCAGATGATATTGTTTTAACCTCAGAAAAATTAAGTGACTTGAAAATTGCTTTAGCCAGAATGAAAGAATTTTTGTTAAAACGCAGTTTGAAACTTAACTTGGAAAAGTGCAAATTCATGAAATTTAGAAATAAGGGTCTAGGAAAATATGCATTAAGTGACCGCCTAGATTTAGGTGGAATTGAAATAGAGAGAGTTGCTGAGTTTACATATTTAGGAGTTACTTTTCAACCATCAGGAATCTCTTTTGGAAAGCACATTGAAAAAAGAACAAGAGCTGCATTGCTGGCCACTTATAATATACGAGAACTAAAACAATTATCCATTGAAACAGCACACAAGCTATTTGATCTAAAAATTTCCCCAATTGCGTCCTACGGCATTGAAGAAATATGGCCTTTCCTAACAAAGACTGATTTTGAAAATCTTGAAAAAGTCAAAACAAGATATTTAAAAAGAGTTTTAGGACTGTCCAAGTATATTAGATCTAGATTTGTGTATGAATTAGTTGACACTGATCTCTTTGTATCGGACTTACAGGTAAAATATTCTCTAACTGAAACTGAAGCATTCCAGAAATTTTGTGTGTCTAAATATTTAAACAAACTTGAGATATGTGATGAGTTCTACGAGACAGAAACTATGAAGAATAAAAATTGGCAATGTGCAATGTTCAGTGATCGCCAAGTGTTTACGAGATTTGCCTGTCACGGGTACCACTATTTATTTTGTAAGAATAAAAATTTTCATTCTCAAGCGACAATAGATTGTGAATGCAAGCACTGCGGTAAGAAATGTTCACAATATCATATTCTTGAATGTAATGAACGAAAACTAAGCCTAAGAGAGGCTGCAAAAATCAAAATTAACTAATTTTGTACTTTGTAATAATTATCGAAACAAGCTTAATTGTAAAATTAATTTTAGGAAGACAATTTAGCTTTAGACACCCCCCAATCAGCAAGGAATATGTTTGAATAAATGCTTTATGTAGAGTGAATATTCAGCAATATAGTTGACAGGAATATTAGAAAACAATATTCAAAAATATTCCTGGAATATTCGTTTGCAATATTCGGGCAAACAAGCGCTGTCGAAGAGGTGGCGGTTTTGTGAACTACTAGAAAATCTTGATTATTTAAAACAAAGGGAGGTGTGCCGCTGACTGCTTAGATTTGCGCCAAAATTTCTTTCTTTGTAGCTCAAATGCTGGCATTATTGTCAATGGTAATTAAAATCAATTCAAAAGGATCCGTCTGTCCCGGCCCTTAACGGATTTCACTTAAATTAATGTAAATGAACAGCGAAATCCGTCGGCCGTGCCGTCATATTTAATGCTCTTGCCTTGGTGTTGAACTTTTTGTTTACTAATTCCGCGATGGCAACTTTTCTTATTTTCAACTTGTATTTTCATAATTCCAATAATTTAACTGCATCTCCAGTTTTAATTTTTCCAAGGAATGATTTTTATGACCAAAAGTGGTCAGCTAAGTGAAGTCGATTTCTGCAAATACATAAATATTCTGTATGCATAGAGTAAATCATAAATTTAATATTTAATCTTCAACGTTGAGGTATTTTATAAACATTTGATAGTGACATATATTGCTATCTAAAATTTTTATTTTATATAATGCATCTTTGTATTTATTTCCTATAGCTCTCCCTGCTGCTGATTTGAGAGTGCCGAAGACGTCGATCAGAAAATTTTGAGAATCGCTGGGATCGCACTTGCCGTCCCCGCCTTAACTGCTGGAGTGGAGTACATCTTTTTTTAAAGTCTTGATAAGAGTGCTGAAGGATCAAAGGTACAATATAATTGCGTTCCTCTATTGATAAGGTCATGCATGCGGTTTAAAAATGTTATGTTTGAGCATGGGACGCTCTTCGGTCCTTTTTTCTTTATATTGCCTTTAGTAATTTTCCTCTTCCATAGCATGCAAAATAAAAGGGATCAAGGTCGCGACAAAGTGATCATGAAAGACTTTGTCTTGGTCTCCTATAGTTGTGATAACCCAAATGGACGGAAAGCGAACGAAATTGAGGCAATTCCCAAAGAGTGGTTGGTTAGTTTCTCTGTTGAAAAAAATAGTCCGGTCTGCTTCCTCTATCCCTGTAACGTGTCAACTCTTGAATGTATATCCTTAAAGAAGGCTAAAAGAGTGCTCAACAAAGCTGACTGCATGGTTTGCCAAGGTGTCGCACTTGGACTAGCAAGTAATTGAAACTATTTTTGTTTTTCAATTTTGATGTATTAAATGTCATTAAAAAAATAACTAAAATATCTGTTGTCTTCATCAGGTTCCTATGTATCAGCACAAAATAAAAAGGCCAGGCTGGAAAAATATGGTAAAGAAATCATTGACACTACAGAAGACGAAAATACTCCCAGAAACCGTATTCCATCCTTGCTTTTGAATGGAGGAGATTTTGTTTTACAACCCAGTGACAGATCAAGCTCGTCGAGGAAAAGATCAGGCATGGAGGATTTTTTTAGTTTTAAAATTTAATAAAAAGCTATAAAATTGTTTATTCAGCTCCCACCTCGGCACCAGATTTCTTAGGCATTCTTCAAAAACAAACTGCAAACTCCATTCGAAAACGTACAAATCCAGAGGGAAGCACCAGCTTGATTCAAGGATCAGGTTAATATTTATGAAAACCTAATTTTTGTTTTAAACAACTACTTTTATCATGGTAATAACTTTTGTCCCAAACTCTTTATTTAATTTTCTGAAATTATGCTTCAGACGTATTGCGGGCCAGAGATCAAAGGACCAGCAAGACCTATGTACCCGAAACACAGGAGGAGGAAGTACCAAGTGGTGCAGCTAATTGTAAGGAAATTAATAATGTTTCATAGCGATGTGTTTTTGCCATTTTTATAACATTAAAAAGCATTAAAATAGCAATTCCCAACTCCCATATCAAAAATAGTTTTTCCAACTACAATTCATGTTTTATGCTCGATCAATTTACAGTAAACAATTTTTTAATTGCTAAGAATTATCAATTACTAATCAGTGCACTTTGTAATTATAAAAAAAATGAATTTAAAAACAATATTTGTATAGTCTCATCCAGAATTGAGGCTAGCAACTCAAATCTAAACTTGGCAAACGTTGACGCAGATTTTTTAATTCACCATTATTATAAATAAAATAAATTTTTCCAGTGATCGACAGCCAAGAAACAGAGTTTGATGATTATGAATCTGAGGATCACGCCACAAAAACAACAAACCAAGCATTGCCACCTCCCAGAGAGGAACTAACGTTTGGATCTCTAGACAATATCTTTGCTCCAATCGAAGGGCAGGCTGCTGGGATCATATTGAAGGACATCCCAGGTTTGTTTTCTTTAGGTCTTATCATAATTAGGCTCAGCCTGGGAATGGCCAACCGGGAAAGGGAGGCCCAATCCCAAACAAGTAAATTGCACTTTTTATTAGGATATCTATTAAGAAAATTCAAATATTGGCTTAATCAATTCTAGTCTTTACATAAAAAACAAGTCATTTTGGCAATTTTTTGGAAACAGTCTGTTATTTTAACCACCATTTGTTGTAAAGACTTGATTTGACAATGTCAATAGAATAAACCAGTACTTAACAATGATATAGAGAAATCATATTAATCACATATTTTTTCTTTTAGTCCTTTTTGTGCAGGACAAGGAAGTTCAGACCGAAGAACAGTATCTTTCCCCACTTTTGGATAAAGCAAACATCCAAAAGCGTCTTGATTCATTAGAGAGTATGTAATACTTTGAGCTAATACAGAGATAAATAATTTAATTTGCCTTTTTTCATTCTAGCGAAAATCCTCAGATACTTTGTTCAGCAAAAAGAAGAAAGCAAAAGCCTGAACAAAAAGGTGGATTCTATTTATGAATTGGTGCAGGAACTGACGCAGCACTCCAACAAAAATTCCAGTGACGATCCAGCTTTTCAGTTTGATGAGCCCAAAGTATTTGATCTTCCCTTACAAACTGAGGAAGGCTTCAATTCCCTGGAGGCTGAACTTTCAGAAAAAGAGCAACAGAAGCTGCTGGTAATTTTTCAACCAGACGAAATACAATTTAAGAAAAAATATCAAATATATATTTCATTGATATGTAATTCAAAACTCGCTTTGTTTTTAGAAACTTTTAACTCATTAACGAAAAACTTTTTCAGTACAAACAAATCTACGGTGCAACGTTCGGAAAGTCTCTCTCCCTCATTGTGAAAAGCTGCCTGGACAGTATTTTATCTGTATCCTTGCAACGATCTTTGGTTCTGAAAAGGCCAAAAAAGTGCTTGAAGAACCCTGCTGTCAAAAAAAGGGCTTTTGAACCCACAAAGATTTACCAAGTGGCCAGAGGTAACATTTAGAAGATTATGTTTGCATACACATTTAAATTAAAGAAATTAAATATATCAATTAAAATTTATTTAATCTACTCATACCCTTGCAGCTGTTATCAAGAAGAAGGTGGAAAAGGGCAAGCTTGGAGGTACAGCGGAGATCATTGACAAAAGAATCAGCAGTCATTTGGCAGGCTCTACAAAGCAACGCCCGAATTGTTCAAAACCCTCTTCGCCGGCTCCAGCGGACTCGATTGATCCGACGTTGGTTTTTGCCAATTTCGGAAGCGACCTTGAAAGCATCTCGGGAGAAGAAGATGGCGAAGTCTCTCAACAGGAAGAACCAGCGTCACCCGATGTGTTAAGTGCCAGTCAATAGGCAAAAAATGGCTAGCAGCAGAAAGCGTGTAGCGGTGCATCGAGCCCTTCAAACCCTTGTTAATGAAACTGGAACTTCTTTAAGTAACACTCAGGACAGCAATGCTATAAGTTTCTCATCACAGTCTGAAATAAATCAAAACTTAAGTCAAGACGTATTCAGTCAAAATTCTACTATTCCTTCTTCCCCGACATTTGAAACAGTGGCCGGCTGCAGCCAAGACTCGAGCACTTATATTGTTTCAGATAGTGACAGTGACAGTGATTACTCGTTACCAACCACGCAGGACTCCATGTCTTCTGATGACGAAATCGAATTCGAAAGTGATACAGAGAGACTGGTCAAGGAATTGAGGAGGCTGTGTGAAAAGTACCCCAAGGTACCACAGTCCTTTCTTGAGGAGCTCTGTAAATTTTTAAGTTCGACAAAAGTATTCAGAGACCTCCCTGTGCGGGCACCAACGCTTCTAAAGACGGACCTTTCCACGAATGTAATCAAAGACTCCACCGGTGAATCGTTCAACCTTGGCATTGTGCATGCAGTGTCCGAGCACTTGCTTCGAAGTGACTTGTTGTGGAAAAAAGCGATGGAAACTAAATCAATCCCATTCTCCTTTAAAACCGATGGAGTCAGCTTGCACAAGGCACCTGTCTTTTGCAAAACAGCTTGGCCCATCGTTGGCCAGCTCCACTACGACGGCGTTGAGTCGGAGCCGTTTGTTATTAAAATGTATTTTGGCGAGAGCAAGCCAGACCACACTGAATTTTTCAAGGACTTTGTTGAGGAGCTCAAATTGATTGACACAATAAAAATCAAGGATGTTGATTTCAAGTTCAAACTCCTCTTTGCCACTGGTGATGCGCCGGCTCGTTCACTCCTCAAATGCACTGCTGGCCATACAGCGACAAAGGCCTGCGAAAAGTGCACAGTAGTTGGCAAGTCCATTAATCACAGAATGGATTTTGCGCAAGCACAAGTCACTGAACCCATCTTAAGAACACATGAAAGCTTCTTGAATAGGGATGACCCTGCTCACCACAGTGGCCATTCCCTATTCGAGCAGGTTGAGTCAATGAACATGATTACGTCTTTCCCCCTGGAGCCTATGCACGCCCTCGATGAGGGAGTTACGAAAAGACTAATCAAACATATGTTTGTCGAGAAGAAAGGAAAAGCAAGGCTGACTCAACAGAAATCGGTAATTGTAGGAAAACGACTTGATGCGTTGAAGGAGTTTTCACCTCGAGACTTCGAGCGAAAGCTGGTTGCACTTCGCCATCTCCGAGCATGGAAAGCCACAATGTTCCGCCAAGTAGACACTTATTTCCTTCCAGTTCTGTTTAAAGGCGTTGTGGATGATGAGGTCTTTGACCACCTAATGCAATTCTTCTCGGCGGTTAGGATTTTGCGCAGCCCAGTCATGGTTACAAAGCCTGAAGCAGTTGAGACAGCAGGAAGTCTACTGAGGTCATTTGTGTCAAACTACAACAAATTTTACGGTAAAGGACAGACCGTCTTCAACGTCCACTGCATGCAACACCTGCACGAGGATGTGCAGAACTTGAAGAAAACGTTAGATTATTTCAGCACATACAGCACCGAGACTAAGCTTGGCCACTTAGTGAGGCTGATTCGGACTGGACACAGCGCGGCTGCCCAAGTTCAACGTCGTCTCTCCGAATCAAGAGAAGTCAGAGTGCGACAATTAGATCAGGATCCAGTAGTCTATCTTCGTCACAAGAAAGGTCCCTTGAGAGCGTTGAGGTTCAGAAGAATAGAGCTGAGTTTGAACACAAAAGGCGACAGTTTCTACATGGATTGGGAAGGACAAATTTTCAAACTGCTTTCTGTTCGAGGGGATCATGGCGATGATCCAATCCTTGTCAGCAACATGCTGGTGAAAACTGGTGATTTTTTCCATACTCCTTATCCGTCATCAAGCCTTGGAATTCATAAGGTAGAGTTCAGCTCGGTCCAAACACAGCATCCGCTGTCGAAGGTCGCAGCAAAGATGATCCTCATGCCATTTGATGGCACCTTTGTCGCCATGCCAATTCTCCACACCTGCGTGTGGTAAAAAAATTAAATTTCATATTTTGTTAATTTACCAATTTTTTTAAAATGAGATTACAGAATCGAAAATTAAGAGGCCCAGCGCGTAATCCAAATGGCTAAAGGCTGGTGCACTTGCCTAACTTGCCGCTGATCCAGCGCCTCATGACCTGTCCTTCGGCCATTCTGTCTGGCATCCGTTCTTGAGCACACATTCTCATTGTTTGTATATACCAGCTTTTGTGATCTTGCTTTTCCTCATGTTGCTGTGTTGCATTTATGACTAGAAATTTGAAACACAAATCAAAGAAAAGAAACGCATTCCTAAAATATGAATCCACTTATCTGACTTTCACTCGAACTTAATTTCAGCAGAAAAGATTCAGCCACCATGTCGTCCTTCCACAATTTCCTTTTGTCATGACCACTGCTCCACACAGTTATTTGATTTATGATGATTGATGATTCTGCAAGAAATTTTGGTCATTAAATTGGTACAGTTATTCAATTTTGCGTAAAACAATACACACAATTATTAAAAAATTGTTTACTAAATACATTAAGTGAAAGTAGTGATAATTGATAAAGCAAAGTAAATACTTGAAAGAAAAAACAAAATTTAATTTGAAATATTTTGTATAGTAGCTGAGAAAGGAAGACGTAAAGGAGTGAGTCAGCTGAAATTAAATTTATCAGGAGTAAAAACTAAAAAATATACAACATTATTAGCTGCTTAAGTCCAATTATCAGCATTTAGTTAAGTGAAAGACAAGAAGCAGTGTTGTCCAATTTTTAGTTACAAAAAAATCACATGTTTCCCCTTGGTAAATTATACCAATATTGAATATAATTGCTTTTACGCTTTACTTGATGGCACCCTGACAGCGTCCTAGAACTGTGTGGTCATTTAGTATGCAGGACTGCGTGGAACCAGTAGGGCGTACTCCAATTACCGTCTGTAGTGTGTATGTGCATTAATACACATGACTTGCATTAAATTTCTTTTCTCTAGAAATTCATCCATAACTTTCCAAATGCTATTTTGCCAATTGAGGATTCCTTGGCAAGCTAAGATAAGTACAAATTATATGAGCACATTTCCTTTCAAGGAATCAAAGTAGAGTACTTTCTGCTGGCGATTTTCTGTTCTGAGGTGATCAGTGTCACCTGTGCCAGAATCGCAAGTCGAGTGGCGTCACAGCCCAATTCTTGCACCACCTTCACCGGGCTAACTCCGTTCAACTTTGACTTGGACATTTTTTCCCACGTTTCGACAATCGCAGCTCCCGCCCCCAACACCACAGGCTCTTTTCCTGTCAATTTTTAAATGTTAACTCGCACTCAACCTGCTTAAAAATTTCATACCCGAGGTGTCCAATTGGTCGGCTCGAAGGTATTTGCCAGAGTTTTCCACTCTGTAGCTCTTGCCCATGAACTTGCCCTGCACAAGGAGGTGGCAGAAGGGTTCACGTCGATCCAACCAGCCAATTGAGTGAAGGAAGTGACCCATGAACCGAGCATAACTCAAGTGCAGCTTAGCTAGGGATTGATTTTTTAGTTTTTACTTAAAAAAATTGCGAGCTTTGCTGTTCAATTACCATGATTGATTCCACTAACATAGAGATCAACAGGCATCATGGCGTTGACTTTAGCAGGATCAAAATGGTTTTTCAGAGTTCTTGGAGTCCAAAAAGCCCAAAGTGTACCAAGACGAGTAAAAAAATGTGGCCAGTGTGTCAGTCTTGCGCTCTGCTGCTCCTCCACATCTGCAAAAGTAATTTGGTTATAATAAAACCAACGTGTTTTCCGTTCATTCGATGAAAGTGGGCCATGTTGTCCGAAATGGCGTAGACCCTGGAGCCTGGAGTGGCCAATGTGCAGATTTCCGGACGGGTACGGAAACATTGGCAAGCAGTACATTTTATCCTGAGGATTGCTGGGGTTCTTTTTGGCGGCTACTACGGCTTGAACGGTCGGTCTCCAGGCGGCCTCGATCTTCCTCTTCACACCCAAGAAGTTCAATTATACACCTTCAAAGAAAAAATGTCACATTAATTATGATTGTCACTTGAGATGCACAAAAGATCATGGAAGTCTTGTCATGCTAAACATTAAATATTTTTCATTAATAAAAATAAGTAATAAAATTTTATACTCTTTAATCAGTTTTAGTTTTGGATGAAATTGGCGGAAATAATTTTTTGAAAAGTTTTTTCTAAATGCCAAGTTTTATCCACTTGCAATTCCACACCCCGGTCACATTTTTGACCCCTTTTCCTTTTGAAAATCATAAAGAGTAGATGAAGGGCCAAAACTTTATTTTGAAGGAACCGGCAAATTTAATAAGCAAACATTATAAAAATTTATTCAATTATTTTAAAATTTACCTTCATCCCAATCATCTTATTTCCGATTGCTTTTCGTTTGTCAGACGGACAAGCAACAACAAATTCAATTCGCTACATACTTAAATACTTTTTCTCAATAGATTTGAAGAGACAAATTTTGTTAGGATATCAAAAATTTCAAAGAAAAAGGTATTTTTGGACAGTTCCAAACGTTTGTTTACATGTCGATCAGCTCAACTATTGCATTCGTTCCAATTCCCACCACCAATGGCGCCACCGCTTGAATATGTAAATCGCACATAAAAGCGTTACACTCGAATATTCCCACAATATTCATTTGCAATATTCGGACATTAAACTCAATATTCGCAATATTCCAGACATATTCCTTGCTGATTGGGCCGTTGTACACCTAGTTGTGTTCAATAAATACTCTATCTATCTTTAATTCAAACTTATATGCGTTATATTTTTAATTCTAGAGGAATATTAGTAGCATTCAGCAGGTAATTCACATATGATGTTGTGTTCGAGGGTGCAGGGATCGTCATACAATCTCTTGTTTTCTCCAGAGATTATGAGGACACAGGTCTGTTTATCCTCGCCATGGTCGTCAGGTTCTCCACTTTGCTTGTCCCACAGGTTCTTGTCTATTGGGCTGCCATCAATCCAGCGGAATTCACCTGGCCTTTGACCAATATCCGACGCTGACAACCACCATCGGTCTTTAAATTCGTAAAAAATTTACGATTAGAATTGAAAATAATTTTTAATAATATACCAAAGTTCTCGAACTGATCGGTCTCCTGTAACAGTGCGGCAAGGTCTGCTTTGTTTTTGGCCGACGCCATCCACATGCCTCGTGATTCACAGAAAACTTTTGCTTCGGCCCAACTAGTCTTTTTTAATTTTAAAATTATAATGTAACAATTAAAACTCATGAAAATAAAAACTTACTGCTTTTGTACGGATGAAGTATCTCTTGTCGTTTGTCAATATCTTTAAGTCTGTTCCCCCTATATAGGTTAAATTTACTTTATATAGCCATTTTTAATATTATGTTCATTAGCATACGTGCTTTGTGGCAGTTTTCCCTCGCCAATCTTGTCATCTTTTTAAACATATAAATTATTATTAATGTTTTTTTTTAAATATTTAATTAGACCTTAGTTTTGCGAAGCTCGATCTGGCATGCATCCTTTTTGCTTTCGCACACTCCTAAAGTGTCTTCAAGGTGCATCCTCTCTTGTTCTTTGATCTTTATTTGGCCTTCCAAATATCGATTCCTTTGCAAAGCCTCTTTCACTTTCTAATAGAAAAATGTCACGAGAAATAAAATAATTTGAAATTTTTATGAAAATAATTTTTTAATAATAAATATAATTCTAACCAGATCGGCTTCTTCAAGACTCTTTTCCAGCACCTGCTTTTCTGCCTCGCTTTTTTCCTTCAATTGGTTTGCACCTACCTCTAGCTCTTTCACTTTTTCGTCAACCCTCTGAATTAAAAATTCTCAAAATGACGTGTTGTTTGAAAAATTGCAAAAAAAAATATACCTTTTCTGTTGTTTGCAGCTTATTTTCAAGAATAATTTTTTCCGCTCGGCTCGCATTTTTTAAAAGTTCTAACTCCCAGTCGCGCTCCTCTTCCCGCTGCATTAGCTCTTCTAACTGAAATGGATTTTCTTTTCAAAAAACAAATAAAAAGGATTAAATTTTAACAAACCCTTCGGCCCACGTCATTTAATTTAAGGCTCAACTGGTCGACCGACTAAAAATATTAATATTATTGTCAAATAAACTGATTAAAATTTACAAGCAATGCATTAAATTGACTTACTTAGTCCGATTATTCCTTTCTTTTATTTATATTTCATTGAGAGAGTCCTTTTGCTATTGATTCACCATCTTTATTGTTTATTGTTGTTCCTCGCTTAAGCATTTTATTTATCATCAGAGCCGCGATTTCGTTTGCCGAGGATTTAGCTTTGTTTTCGTGCCCAGCTGATGTGTTGGCTGCAGCGGAAGAGGGGCGCTCTGTGCGCCGGCGCCAGCAGCAAGAGAGAAGGAGTGGGAAGAGAAAGTTAGTTCCGCTGATTTTTACCCTGGCCTTTCTTATGCAGGCGAGTGGCGACGTGTCGCGGGCGCTGCGGCTTCGGCCAGCCCCCTGGAGTTAGGGCGGCCAATCAGAGTGCGGCAAGAGGGGAGTGTGGTCATCTCCTATACCTTAAGCATTGGAAAGTTCGAGAACCTTCTAGAAGAAAGGTGGAGTTAGGGGTCTCCGATTTCCCAGGATCGTCGATATATGCAAATGAGAAGAAATGATATAAAAACCCGAGCCGCTCGGTAAGCGGCGCACTCCTTGCTCCGGCTCCTTCGGGAGCGGGGAGCGGAGACCCCCGGCGGCCCGCAAGGGCTGCCACCAGGCTGACCTGCGGGTCAGGCTGAGGAGGGCGGCCGGAGGCTATGCCGGTTTCCCTACTCAGTCTGGCTGCAGCAAAACGCTGGCTCTGTAAACCTGTGCACGGTTTATGGAGCCACGCGTTACGTTAGTTAAATCCCGATGCAATAATGTTTCTATCCAAGCAGCGGATCCTGCAGCCAGAGGGAGGAGCCAAATCGCCGCAGATCATATCAGCCTTGCAGAGAGATAGAGTCACCGGGGAACTTCGAGCTTCGAGAGCATCCAGCGTTGGAGCACCGCAGATCTTCCCTGCTCGTCGAGAAGAAAAGCCGCCTCATTGGGAGGTGCAAAAGAGCCTCCAGATCTTCTCCGGCGGCAGATAGATCAACGGGAAGATCGGCGCCCCAAAAAGGAGTGAGCTGTTGGCAGTTGAAGCGGCAAATAAAGCGCAGCGGGACTTAGAAAATTCTGCGTGCAGCTTTTGCGAATCCAGCGGTCGGAGAACTCCGTCCCGCAGAGGGATAGAGCCGGCCCAACGCGCCTAGAGTTCAGCCAGAGTCTCCGGACCATCCTGACAAGTGTGTCCTGGAGAGAGGAGTTGGAGAGTGAGCGTGAGGGATCGTGGGAATAATGTCCGCCGAGCCCCCCGAATGCGTGGCGGCGTGCGCGATGCAGATGAGAGCGATCGGCGCGAGCGGATCAAGTGGTGTCAGAAGTGGGATCTGAAGCAGAGCTGCCCACGAGCATCCCTCAGCCTTGAGCTGGCTTTTGAAGCACTTCTGACACGGATCAAGTGGTGTCAGAAGTGGGATCTGAAGCAGAGCTGCCCACGAGCATCCCTCAGCCTTGAGCTGGCTTTTGAAGCACTTCTGACACGGATCAAGTGGTGTCAGAAGTGGGATTACTCCAGCTTTAAATGAACCTCACTCAGACAAGAAAAATACACCACCCACTTAACTTCAAGAGAAATTCTAAGTCCCAGAGAGAGAAATCACACCGTGAAGCTTTCAAGATCTTCAGCTTCAAGACCTTCAAGATCTACTGAGTTGTGCTCTGCTGATAGAATCATCGAATAAAATTCAAAGCAGAAGTCTTTGAGATTGAGCGTTAAAGGGACTGCAGGCCCTCAAATGCAGATATCTTCAAAGTTCCAAGATGAAATTTCAAGTCACAGAGCAAGTCAGAGAATTATCAACAAACTAAGATCGTCAAAAGAACTTCAGCAGCAAGATTTTAGAAATCTTGTAAAATTTTCTAACACCAGAGAGCTTCTTCAACAGAAGCGGCCCGAAGTTAAATCAACAAGAAAATGCAAGTCAACGCAGATTTTGAGCCTCATTACCAAATATTAGCAGATTCAGCTTAAAGGTGACTGAATTAAGTTCAGATTGCGGAAATCAGCTCTACAAGGAAAACAGGCGAAACATCAGTGAAATCTTCAGAGATCACGGAGATATCAAAGAGCACAGAAGTTAAGTTAGCAAGTGAACCGAACGCAGAAATGCGAAACACCATCAAGGAGAACTCAGAAGCAGAGAAGCAATAATCAAGCGATCTTATGAGGGAGGAACTTTGTCTGACGGAAACCCCGGCTGCCCCAGGATCTTGAGTGTTCTGACAACCGGTCCGCGATGGATCTGAAGCAGGAATGGTTTAGATCTTCATTGCAGGACGGCAGAACTATTCATGCGGGACAGATGGGTGCCGAGGGTCATGCAGAGGGAGGCCTGAGAAGGATTAGAGAGTTGGAATAACATCATCAGTGGCAGCGTTTTTAGCGTCAAAGCAGAACATCTGCCAACCAACTAGAGGAGCTTCAAATGCAAGAGTTTCAGCCAACGAATTGTTCAGCTTTTGAATTCATGTGCTAAGATGTGCCGGTAGAGCGTAGAGTTAACTTCGGGAGGAAGGTGAAGAAATAAGAACGAAACTTTACCTGCTTGAGAACGAATGAATCAACTGCCAAGAGTTTTTAGATTGTGCCGTTAGTTTTAAAGCTTATAGAATATTAGAGTTTTATCGTTTTTATTCATCACAGCTCGGGAGAGCTGCATCGAGGAACATCCGTCGTGGGACAGTCATCAGGGAATCTTCCATCGTGGGAAATTCAACGAGTCTGACAGTCCTGAGTTTTGCAAGTCGTGATTTTTGAGCAGAGTTTTGTGCTTCAAGTGAATCAGCGAATGCGGATTTGAAGCAGCAGAGATGAAGGTTCGAGCCAGTCGTTCAGCACTTATGATCGCGGGGAGTTATCTCTTCTCGATTGTGCTTTTGCCAGTTAGCTGGTTAAGGACGACTTGTGCATTCGGCCTCTATGTTTCAAGTGCGCAGCTCAGTGATAAGTCAGGGAGGAAGTTTTGCTGTCCAGTTTCGTCCGAGATCTTCAGAAGACGTGTGGTTGTATTTCGCACCAGGGTACCAAATTAGAAGAGAAGTGGAAGATGAAGAGTCCACTAAGAGAGAATGAGTCGTCAAGTAGAGTCGGCGAGATGAAGAGTTGACGTTGAAGAGTCATCAAGACGAGCGCGCAAGAAAGAAATTGTTCAGAGAGAATATGAATATACATGAATTATATGAAGAGAGATTAAGAGTCAAGATCATGATCAAGATATAATATAAACATGAAGAGTTTATCCCGGTACCGAGGAGGTAGAATAGAAGAGAAGTTTCCGCGTAACCCTGAAGGCTGGAGAAGAAGTCTCCAGAGAGAGTTAGTGAAGAGAGAATTTGTGCAGACGTGCACAGGCGCCAAAAGTGAGAGAAAGTCATATATGCCAAGAAGTAGTGATATGCTTCAGGAGGTTGCGGGATATTTTTGAAGAGTTGGCCAGGGCCGTGAAGAGTCCTGAGCAGTTTTGGGAAGTAGCCCGCCGACAATGTGCGAAGTCAACCGTCTATCTGTAGTAAAACACCAATTTATGAGATCAACCAACTATGAGTCTACCAGATCAAGTCAAGATTTAGTCAACCGATTTGTGTCAACCATGTTTGAGCTAGTCAACTCCCGAGTGGAGTTTTAGCCGTTTTAATGTGTGCTTTTAAGTTTTATTCGAGCCTCAGTGTTCACGTAGTCTAAGTTTTGTATTTTTCCAAGAAGCAAGAAGCCCGTGGGGAGCCTATCAGCCTGGAGAGTTTTTCAACCACCACCAGAGATCTTCAAGAGCTTCAAGATGCGCGAGGGGAGCTAGTGAAATGCTAAGCTCGGAAGGGAGGATTTGATTCACCATCTTTATTGTTTATTGTTGTTCCTCGCTTAAGCATTTTATTTATCATCAGAGCCGCGATTTCGTTTGCCGAGGATTTAGCTTTGTTTTCGTGCCCAGCTGATGTGTTGGCTGCAGCGGAAGAGGGGCGCTCTGTGCGCCGGCGCCAGCAGCAAGAGAGAAGGAGTGGGAAGAGAAAGTTAGTTCCGCTGATTTTTACCCTGGCCTTTCTTATGCAGGCGAGTGGCGACGTGTCGCGGGCGCTGCGGCTTCGGCCAGCCCCCTGGAGTTAGGGCGGCCAATCAGAGTGCGGCAAGAGGGGAGTGTGGTCATCTCCTATACCTTAAGCATTGGAAAGTTCGAGAACCTTCTAGAAGAAAGGTGGAGTTAGGGGTCTCCGATTTCCCAGGATCGTCGATATATGCAAATGAGAAGAAATGATATAAAAACCCGAGCCGCTCGGTAAGCGGCGCACTCCTTGCTCCGGCTCCTTCGGGAGCGGGGAGCGGAGACCCCCGGCGGCCCGCAAGGGCTGCCACCAGGCTGACCTGCGGGTCAGGCTGAGGAGGGCGGCCGGAGGCTATGCCGGTTTCCCTACTCAGTCTGGCTGCAGCAAAACGCTGGCTCTGTAAACCTGTGCACGGTTTATGGAGCCACGCGTTACGTTAGTTAAATCCCGATGCAATAATGTTTCTATCCAAGCAGCGGATCCTGCAGCCAGAGGGAGGAGCCAAATCGCCGCAGATCATATCAGCCTTGCAGAGAGATAGAGTCACCGGGGAACTTCGAGCTTCGAGAGCATCCAGCGTTGGAGCACCGCAGATCTTCCCTGCTCGTCGAGAAGAAAAGCCGCCTCATTGGGAGGTGCAAAAGAGCCTCCAGATCTTCTCCGGCGGCAGATAGATCAACGGGAAGATCGGCGCCCCAAAAAGGAGTGAGCTGTTGGCAGTTGAAGCGGCAAATAAAGCGCAGCGGGACTTAGAAAATTCTGCGTGCAGCTTTTGCGAATCCAGCGGTCGGAGAACTCCGTCCCGCAGAGGGATAGAGCCGGCCCAACGCGCCTAGAGTTCAGCCAGAGTCTCCGGACCATCCTGACAAGTGTGTCCTGGAGAGAGGAGTTGGAGAGTGAGCGTGAGGGATCGTGGGAATAATGTCCGCCGAGCCCCCCGAATGCGTGGCGGCGTGCGCGATGCAGATGAGAGCGATCGGCGCGAGCGGATCACTATTTTTAATGATTTATTAAATATAAAATGATATACCTGAGGACAAACCGATGTGGTGGATTGAAGTTTTGAAACAATGCTCGTCTCCAAATTCCTCATCCACACTGCCAAACGTTCATCCAAAACTTTTATGGGCTATTTAATTAACAAATCAATTTAACATCTTCATGACAACTATATATATTTGTGATCTCAAACCAGCAAGTCCGCGAGACCAGTGCTCGAAATGGTTGTAATTTCAGGTTCTTCATTGGCAGTTTCACTTTAAAATTTCAAGTAGGAAAATTAATTTTCAATTAATAAAGTTGCCAAAGCACCTCACATTTCATCAATTTCAAGAGTACTGTCATTGTCATTCTCAGTAACGTTCAAACTCGATATTGTATGATTAATGGCCAGAGACGATAAAAACGCTACGAAGCACACACACCTGACTGTCGAATGCATTACTTCATTTGCAAAGGGCCAAGAATAATTTGTTTTACTATTAGAACGTATTAAAAAAATTTAATGAAAATTATGCAATATATTGTGTGCAGCGACACTTAACTTCGACTGAGCTCTCTATATTGAGCAAGGAGCAGCGGACATCATTGCGATTACAAGCCGGATGTAATAAATTTGCAATAGATTTTGCACTTCCTGTCAGTGAAGATTTATTAATTTTTTCCCAAAGTATTTAACACTATAAAAGATATATATGCGACTGCACTTTTATCTTTATTGATTGCTTTTCTTATCAATGAAAACGGGCTAAAATTTCCTCATATTTAGAGATAAAACGCAGCAACCGTACCCACCCATCATCGCTCTGCTGTTAATGCTATAGTAATTTTTTACTTCACCAAAAATCTGTTCTAAGAGAGAAAATTATGTCGGTGTACGAATCTGAGGAGCACACGAGCTCAAGCAGCATTGAAATCCAACGAATTTCGTCGGGTTTGTTTCCTTTAATATAAATTCATAATGTGTTGAATAACATAAAACATAAAACAAATTTTTATATTTTATTAGTATTGGAAACGCGAAAGGCTTTGGTCGAGGAGGGTTTACGCTTCTGCGATCACGTCAAAGACACGCTGCGAAAACTCGTCGAAGACTTGTAAGTTGACTTTAAAATCACTTTTCTGTTTCTTCCTTTTTGTATAGTCTTTCTAATCAATTTTCATTATTTTATTCTCTGGATTGAATTTGAGTGTTAAAACAGGGAGAGCGCGCGGATTTTAATCCACGAAAAAGAGGAGCATGTGAAGATAGTTGTCATCAAGGTGAGATTGTTTTGTAAAAAATTTTGAACTTAAATTAAAAGAAAAAATTCAGCTCGGAGAGTGTGAGCATAAGCTGAACGAAAAAGAGACCAAGATTGAGGAGCTGGAAAGTGCCGTGAACGAATTAAAAAAAGACAAGGACGATTTGAAGGATAAGTTGTCCGATTTGCATAGCAAACTGGACAGTCTGGACTCTCAACTGAATTCCAAGGACAGCGATATTGACGACCTGAAAAGTAAGGTCGAAAAGCAAGCTGAAGAAATTGAGGAGCTGAAGAAAAAATTAGAAGAAAAGGAACGAGAAAATGGTAAGCACTTTCAACAAATTGTTTTTCCTACATTAATATTGATTTAATTTAATTTATAAAATTTTCAGAGGAGCTGAGAAATAATCAAAAGTCAGAAGAGAAAGAGGTGCAACCAGGTTCCGATTCATCCAGTAGCTCTTCGTCAGATGAGGAGTGAAGTGAGAAGAAGGAGAGAATTTAATGTAAATTGAATAAATTGAAACATTTTCATCATTTTAATTTGATCTGCTCTAGTAAATTTATTTATTTAAATTAATAAAAAATGTAAATATTCAACATAATTACTAAAGTAAAAATTTAAAAGCTGAAAAAAGCAGAAGCAGCAGCAGCATACCGCAGTTTGGGAATTTAATTTCGTCTTCAAATGTATATCAAAATAATTCTAAATAAAACAAACAAAAGGCGCTCGGTTTGGCGGGTTTGCCAATGTTAGGAGCGGCCGACGGGGCGCCTCAGTCGTGCTGTCATCCGACTTCAGTGGGCGTGACCGGAATCGGCGACTGCCGGACAGAGGCGTACACGCGAATTTTAGTTTTAGTCAGTTCTTTTGCGGGAAATCTCAGACGGAAGACGGCAGCTCAGCAATGGACGAGAAGCGGAAGCCAGTGAGAGTTTGGTGCGATGGGTGGTGAGTTTGCCTCCGGTTTCCAGAGGACCGAAAGGCCTTCGACCCCTACAGGGTCAATTCGTTGTGTCCGCTGACCTCCGCTCTGTGTTTTGATTTGCAATCGCACACGCATACATACACATACACATAATTATGAACTTCATTTTCTAGACTTCTATTAAGCTTAAAACGTTTTATTAAAATAATGATAATTGCAGTTTAAAATTCATAAAAAATGCTCTATTTTATTGTAAAGTTTTAAATTTTGAATAAATTCTTTGTTATAACTTCGATTATAATGAGCTGACCCGAATTGATTAAAAACACAGTAATTTACATTTTTCACATTGTCTCCATCATCAAGTCAAAGGCTAGATTTTGCATTGTTGTGCCTGCCAAGTCGGTGACGAAGGACTTTGCAATGCGATCGCGCCACTCGCGGAATTCTTTAATCTATTTATCTATCACCCGCGCGAAAATAAAGATTGGTTTTTTTATCTGCAAATTTTAAGAAACTTGTCAGTGAAAACAAATCTGTGGATAATCACTCGCCGATAAAAATTTTAGGACAAAGAATAGAATTTATGTAAAAATAAAAATAAATTTTTTTTACATTATACTAATAAAAAAAATCACTTTTTTTCTGGCGGGAAATAATTAACATACAAAGTAAATGTGTTCTAAGGACGGTGAGATTGATTTAATGATTTATTTCTTGCAGCTACGACATGGTGCACTTTGGACATGCAAACTCGCTGCGGCAGGCGAAGGCGTTGGGCACCAAGTTGGTGGTTGGCGTGCACACCGACGAGGAGATCACCAAGCACAAGGGGCCACCAGTGTACACCGAGCAGGAGCGCTACAAGATGGTGCGCGCCATCAAGTGGGTGGACGAGGTGGTCGAGGGCGCGCCCTACGTCACCACCCTCGACACCCTCGACAAGTACGACTGCGACTTCTGCGTTCACGGCGACGACATCACCATGACCGCTGACGGCGTCGACACCTACCACCTGGTCAAGGCTGCTGGAAGGTGATTAATTTCAAAGTTGGCTTAAATTTTGAGTTAAAAACTTGTGAGATAAAAATAGATTTTTTTTTCGCACAAATGAATCGTTTTGTATTAATTAGTGAAAATATTACCAGAAATTTGCAAAATTAACAAGCATAAAATCTGTTCTATAATTAAAAGCATTTAGGTTTGTCCTCTCTTTTATTAACACTTAAGCCATATTTTTTTTCACTCAGGTACAAGGAGGTTCGGCGGACGGCCGGTGTGTCGACCACTGACCTTGTTGGTCGGATGCTGCTGCTGACACGGCAACACTTCTACCAGGGTCAGCGTGAGTATGAAGTGGGCAAGGAGGGCTCCAGCACCATGGGACTAGACCCAGCTGCACGAAGTCCTTGGACTGGCTGCTCGCAATTCCTCCCCACTACCCAGAAAATCATCCAGTTCAGCGAGGGCACAGAGCCAAAGGTAAAAACTTGTGGTAGATTTTTAATTGGGGTTAAAAACTTTTATTTGCAGCCGGGAGATCGGATTGTGTACGTGGCCGGTGCCTTCGATCTCTTCCACGTGGGCCATTTGGACTTTCTGGAACAGGCCAGGGCGCAGGGTGATTTCCTCATCGTGGGGCTGCACACTGACCCTGTGGTCAACAGCTACAAGGGCAAAAACTACCCGATTATGAATCTCCATGAAAGAGTGCTCAGCGTACTTGCCTGCAAAGTAAGTAACTAATTAAATTAAATGAACACAAAATCCCGTTATTTATGAAGACATTTGTTTATTTTTAAAATATCGTGACGTCAATTTTTATGTTAAAATTTCACATAGAGGAATAACATTAAATTAGTTTAAACGTATTTTGAAAAACAAAATGATTAAAATATTTCTGTTCTGGAACGCTGTTTCAAGCATTTTTTTTTTTTAGAAAAATTTATTTTTATGCTTTTTCCAGTATGTCTCGGAAGTGGTGATAGGAGCACCATACGTGGTGACAGCTGATCTAATGGACCATTTTAAAGTTGATATTGTGTGCCACGGTCAGACTCCTATTCAGCCAGATAGCGTCACCAATGAGGACGCCTATGGCGAGCCAAAGAAACGCGGCTGCTTCAAGCTGCTGGATTCAAACAACAAGATGACAACGGAGAAGATCGTCGAAAGAATTATCCAGCACAGGTTAAAATTTGGCATTAATTTAAATTTCAGTACATCAAAATCATACTATTTTTGATTAGGCTGGAGTTTGAGTCTCGCAACCAGAAGAAGGAGTTGAAGGAGATTGCAGCGTATGAGGCGCTTAAGAAGAGTCAGCTGCTGAACGGAGAGGCATAGGGAGCGGATCGAGATTGTCAACATCCACCATGGACCTGAGCAACAACTGATCTCCACACACTCCTGTTTTAGTTATTTGTCTGCGTTCAATCAAACCAAAATGTGATCATCTAGTGCCATAGCACTTGTTTCCAAGCTGTTTATTAATGAACTTGTTTTGCTCTTTTATGTACATTTGTGTGGTTTAAAAGCCTTTGAACTCTCAAATTTGAGTTGGTACAATGTATTTCTCTGTAAGCTGGTCAATAGAAAGCGCGTCAAATGATGGATATTGATTGAATTTTGAGCATGTAATGCCAAGTGTCCTTCCAAAATGCCAACTTTGGCCAATGTCTTGTCAGCACAATTTATAAATGCACTTAACGTAGGCCAGCTAATTGTCAAATTTTTCTACCAATCTCAAATTTGCAGTTTGAGAGCCTTAAACAAGCCCCCAAGATTGATATTATTTGGAAATGTAACCGTCGATGTCAGTTTGGGCAAATTTTAGTCAATATTAGCCCGTTTTAATCCAAAATTAATGAGATGTTTAAGTCTTTTTGTCAGACGTTTGGGGACCTTGTTGGCAAAATAAATCCAAACTCTAAATCAAACAGTTTGTTTCTGATAAGTTAAACAAGAAATTTATACAAACTAAAATTATCTTTAATGGTCTGCGAGATTCAATAAATTACTGTACAGAGCGCCGTCACCGGAATGAGAATGTCCTATGTACAAAGGGGTTGACAGGCAGTCGTGGGCGGCTCGCAGGGGTTGTTTTGGACCGCCACCCTCCCCCACCCCTGCGGTCGCGGTCGGGGCGCGTCAGTGGTACTGCCGTTCGAGGCCTTCTGGTCCCTGGTACTTGAGTTTGTGTTGCCGGACGAGTTCTTCAAAGGAGGGCGTGTGTCTCGCCTTGGACACTGCGTGGAGCCTCGAGGTCAAGTAGCACGCCATCAGCACCGCAATCACCAGCAACCCGCCCAGCAGGGTGGCCACCCCCAAAAAGGCGCCGCACACTTCTTCCCTGTTCTTGGCTGCTTCATAGCACTCTGCAATAATTAATGTTTGTAATTTCAGAATTTATTTCTTTTGAACTTTTTTTTAATCATTTAAATAAATCTACCATTTTCCTTCATGAGCACTGTGTAAGCGATGTTCTCGCCAAAATTGGTGAAATGGTGGTCGGCGCTCACATTTTCAGGTCCGGTCAGACTTCTCTGCATTCGGACGGTGGTTGTTTCTGCGGAGGAACGACCTCCTCTGATTTCCCTCCGCCTACGACCGTGACCCGACGGCTCGAAAAGGTCCAGGCAGAATTCCTGCAAGAGTTATTTTTGATGAAAAAAACTGTTTTGACTTTGTTCAGAGCAACCGAGTGTGTCACTCTTGAAAGAGCAACAAGCGAAACAAATCATCTCTTGGGTACACCGAGCGTGAAAGAGTCATCAAAAGTATGCATTTGATTCTTCTCTCCGACAGCGGGACAGAAAATTGAAACTTTTGTCTTGTCGTCCCGGGAGAGGCATGCACTGCTGCGTCTTTTTTGCCCGCTATCCGCATGCACGGCTGGTTGCGCCGCTAATTAAAGCAAACATATAACGGAGAAGCTCACCGGCTGGCAGTCTTCGGGCACGACGCACGCTTTGATCTCGGAGTGGATCCAGAGGGTGGAGCGCTCCTGGAGGGTGCTTAGCAGAAACGCCTCAAAGTCGAGGAAAACCTCGTTCGGACGCTCCTTGTACCTGGCTGGTTGGTGGGGAATTATGGTCGCCAAATCGCGGTTACGGCATCTGAAAAATCAAATATTCAAATTTTATTCCCGCTTGGTTTTCATTTCTAAGAACTTCTTTTAAAGCAGTCATTTGCATCTGATTTGCATCTGGGGTAAATTTTCATTGAAAAAATTATTGCTCAAATATTTCAACTTTAATTCAACATTTTGTTGTAACTAATAATAAATTTAATTTTAAAATATAACATGAAAACAAAGTTTTGCTAACCACAAAAATTTTTCCTACTTAATTTGACTTGATTTATGAAGAATAAACAATAATAATAATAATGTTTTGCTGCTATTATATTATATGTTGTTTTGTTCTTCTTTTTAATATTCCATAATTATCCATTTCAATGTTTCAATAATTATAGCATAAATGAAATTATTTATTTATTATTATTATTTATTCTACTTAAGTCATTAAAATTCAATTAATATCTTTTAAAATATGTTTGCAAGTTAACTTGAAAACATTTTTATTAAATTAAAGGGTTTTACTCACCCATCTTTGACGAGATAAACGTGTCCAGGAACGTGAGGGTTGTCTGGATCCGGTGAAACAGTCACCTCCATTAATTTGACGTACTTCCAAACTAAAATTAATTGATAAATAATTTATATTTATCGTTTATACTTAGCAACTTATTTAACAAGATCCGCGTAAATTACCTGCTTTATTCATTTTCATAAAATAAAATAATAATAATTAAGTTATTCCAGATTTTATTTTATAGAATCTTAAATTTATCTGCACCTGATTGCGCGTTAATTCTGGCCCTAAGCTGCAGCTTGGTGCCAATCTGGACGGCCTGTTCGACCGGAAGTTCTCCCTTGGAATGTGGCTGGTTGTTCGTCTTGTTGCGTGGCGGCGCCTCCTTGTACAGGGCAACCTCATATTCAAGGGTGCCCGGTTTCTCCTCAACCACGCCAGACACGCGGGCGCCTCCCGAGCTGTGCAATTTTTTGTTAGTTAAATAAAGCCGGATGAAGAAACTTTGACCCATTGACTTACAAACTACCGGCGAATCCGGCCGCTTTGTGCTGCGTCACAATCGGTTCCGGAGGCTTGCACATGAGGATGAGTTCCTGATCGGCGAGCATCACGACGCCCGGGAACTGCGGGAACCACAGCCTCACGTGCACCGCACCCTGCAATTGATTTAAATCAAGTCAAGATCCTCCGAATGTATAGTTGAAATTTTTGTTGGCAAACAAATATTCTTGATTTTTTTACAATTAATTTATCTAAATATCCGCTATTTTAAGTGAGGCCTTTGTGTTCCGCGAAGTGTGCAGTTTGCTGTCGGCAGAACACAACATAATAGCAGGAGGTGGTGCAACAAGTTTGCCGGAAAAAAGTAACTCGCTCGAGCACGTGCACAGTCTAATTAGCAGCACCGAGTGCGATGCAAAATCTTCAACTCAAAAGTGGATTCGATCGCGGACGAACGCCCGGAGTAATTGTGCGACTCTTATGCTAATCAGCGCGAATCAGTTTATAATTTTTGAGAGAAAAACAACTCACGTTCACTTTGACGACGCCGCAGCGATGGAAGTCGGTGACCAGCATGTTGTAGCTCATGTCGGTCGGGTCGGATGGGTCTAGGCGGATTTGGCACGAGGGGTCAGTGGCCGGGTCAACCGCCCTGTCGTCGGCGAACAGCGGCGCCCCTCGGAAACCCGCCGGCTTGCGCAGCTTTGCCGAAATTGAGTCGCGACTGCCGCCGTTTGCCGCGAAACTGCACTGCAGTTCAGATACTATCAAGAAAGAAAAAAAATGTAATTTATTGTACATATTTCAGTATTCAAGATTTCTGAAAGTCAGAAAAATTTAAGTCATTAATTAAAAAGCAACAGGTGCTCTACTTACCGTCGTAGTCTTGGGCACCAGACCATGGCACGACCTGCAACAGATAAAATAAAACATATGACCACTTCAGTCGCTCTTGACCCATCAACTGCATTTCTTTGTTTGTCAGGACGAGCCATTAATTATAAAAAAGAATACACAATTTATAAAGCAGCAGTATAACAGCGTTTAAAAATATTAATTTTAATTGAATTATTTTCATAATTCTGTCAATTTAGTATTACACATTGATCTCAGGCATATTTATAGAAGAAAAGAAATGCAATAATTAGCTTTGGTTCCAAGTAATCCCCTTATTGTACTAAATTATTATTATTTATTCTACTCCAAGTCATAAAAAAATTGAAATTTGAAAAATGAGCAAAAAGGGTAAAAAATATATCTTTTCATTTATTGCTTGGTCACAAAAAATGTCCCAATTTTGCCATGTATAACAACCAGCGTCAGCGTTACTTATAGACTATAGAGTCATTAATTTATATTGACAAATTTAATTCATATAAGTTCACAAAACAAGTAAAAAATTTATACAGTACCTACAACTTTTTTAAAAGCTCACTTGTCTGGAATTTAAAACAAAATATCTAATCAAAATTTTTCATAATCCCTTGCTTGTTTATAGATATTTTCAATTTTTTTTTATCTCAGTAAACGTGCTAAAATTTTAACTATTTGAGCCATAAGAACCATAATTTAGGTGATGATAGATATGAAGATATCTCAACATTGAGCCCATGTAGAGAGTCTGTTTTAGTCGCTTTAATAGGAAATTGAAGACAAAGTCGGTTTTAGTCGATTTGAAATGAAATAGGTGCCAATCGAAATAAAATCACTTGATTCGTGCAGAAAATGTATTTTTGGAACGTTCCGAGCGACGTAGAAAAAGTTGATCGACTAAATTGCACGAGCCTCTATAGTGATGATGATTTATCCTAATTTTCATGCTGAGAATTCAAGGAAATTCAAACAATAAAGAAAAAAGGAAATTTTACACTTAAAGTATTTTAAATAGTTTTGAAAGCCAGCAAATTTGATTCAAATCTTCAGGGTAAAGAGTTAATTTATTACTTATTATGTGACCTTGTCTAAAATTAAAACTCGCTTTGAAACTTTATGCATGCTTATAGCTTCCCGGTTTCTTTGAGTTACCTCTACAATTTTTAAATAAATCACGTTTAAAAAACCTTCAAGATGACCTTTTAGTAGGCTATTATGTGCAAAAATATCGCAATTGAGCGAAAAAAGAGGCATCTGGTTAAATTATTTGACATAGGACTTGTCCGTTAAGTAAAGAAGAAATAAAGAACTCGTCTGAATTTTTCCAGTTAGTCGTCGCGGGTCCAGCGAATGGCCGGCCAGCCGGCGAGAGCGAGTTGCTCACTGAACGCGTGCAATTACCGAATGAAGTAACTCAACGCGAACGGACGACAAAAGCAAGCCGATATTATTGTCTTCCAGCAGAGCGACTAACGGACCCTTTAAAAGAGATGCAACTGCCTCTTTTATACTTATTTTCTCTGGTTACGCGCTTTTATTTCTAGTGAACATGAATGTTCCGCTTCTCACGCAGATTTCGAATTCAGATCACAAATTTTTAGAATTTTTGATAAGATAAAAACTTACACAGAATGGAAAAAATGCAAAGCTTTGCAGGCAAATAATTGTGGGAATGAACGATTTGTGGGCGGAATGTTTGTGCCTATTTTCAAGAACAATAAAGTTAAAATGTCTTTATCAACAGGTGCTGTGTCATGCTTAAATTAATTAGCATTGAATAAGCACTCACGCCGGTGAGCTCTTGGCAAAATAAATACAAATTTACTGAAAAATAAATTTAACACTGGACTCGAATACTCTGTTATATTTTTTCTTTCTGGCAGAGCGCTCTTTACTGTTGGAATTAAAAAACCTGCTCATATTTTAATTTGTAAGAATAATACCAATTAAAGATTTTTTTAATGTAATTGTTAAATATAATGGAAATATTTAGTTTTTTATAATTTAAATAATTCATAAAATTAAACTTTTTATCCAATTATCCTTCACAAATTTTTAATTGTAAAATTTAATTTTCCCTTTATTAAATTATTTTATATTTGCATTTTAATAAATGTTATATTTTTTTGCCTCATACAATTTTTGTGTCGGTTTCATAAACCATCAATTTCTAATTTGTGTGCATTGGCAAATTTGATTTTCCACTCAGTTGAGCATCATTGCCGCAGGACTGTGGACAAAAATCTGCTGTCAAGTTCCCATGGCGCGACACGCAGCAGTGGCTCTCTTTGGGATGGATTTCGGTTCCGTCGTCCGTTGAGCCGCGGTCACGCGACGAATGCGAATATTGTTGTCTAATTTCTTTGAATTTTTAACGGCTGGTAAATCGATTCGTACGCTCCGATTTGCCTAACAGTAGTGCTGGGCCGCCGATTTGGCGCAAATCTGGGCCACCGTCGTGTCTAGTACAATGAGAAACAGATAACGCTTCCATTCTTCTCGCAAATTATAAATTAAAATCAGGAAGAGGCACCAAAGCAGACACGTACTTCCTTCACGCTTGCCTCGTCTCCCGTTTCAACGCGTGAGTAACCCCCTTCATCTCAGACGCAGATTTTTTACGGCCTGCGTCCAGTTATGAATCTCTTCATGCACTTGATCGAGCAATTTACGTTTAATTGACAATTAAATTTAGTGCACCTGAGCTTTGAAAAACGCTTAAATCTGCTGCTAATATTTTTATGGAGCTAAATTTCCGTAAACTGTAAAGGCAGCAGGAACTTGACTTATGTATAATAATATAAATAGTTTGTTGAAAAAATATTGCTAAATTTTCGTAAATAAAATATTAATGAAGAAATACAACAGATGATTATTTCTGCTAATTAAATTTTAAAAATATTAATCCGGAAGACTCTCTATAAAATTTTCCTTATTAAAAAAAGAAACATGAACAAAAATGTTAAAAAGAAATATTAAATATCGATGATTTAATTGATTTTAAATTAATATAAAATGAGCTGGGTGCCACAAATTCAAAGTGCAATTCAAAATCTACTTAATCTTGCAAGCAGTTTAGTCTCATTGAGCCTAATGAAGGAAAAGTAACTGCACATTTAACAATTTGCATGAAAACGCCTCAATACGAAATTACATGCCAAAATCCTCTTGATTATGGCTACTAAATTTGTTCAGTTTTTTTTACTCATCGAGCGATCAGCGAAGAGTGAACGCCGCCTGCTGCTGCTTATTGACCGCACACTCGAACGTCCTAATGGATTTTATTCTTGGTATGAGTTCAATTTTCGATGCCGCAAGAAGTACTCGTAATATAATTGCAAAGTAAATCGACGCAGCAGGTGGCGCGATGTTCCGAAAATGAAAGAAAATAAAATCTATAGAATATTTTTTCATTGAAAACTTGCATTACTAGTCAAATATAGTTAGTTAAAATGATAAAATAAAGTGCTCTGCTAAAATCCATATTAAGTTTTACATTTATTAGAAGATAAAAAATAACAAAACAAAAACTTTTAAAATTATTTAATTTTAAAATTGCATTAGGTTAATAAAGTTTTGTAGATAAAAAGTTTACTGCTCCTTTTATATTTCTGACATTAAGCAACTAAATTTAGTTTAATTTGATAACTGAATCGCATCAAATTATGATTATTCAACAGTAATTTATTAATATTAATAGCTCTATATTACTTGGTATAATTAGAAAAAGTTCATTTTAAAAATTACAAGCCCTTCTCATTTCTATTTCTTTTTCTCTTCCTACGTCTCTTAATATTAAAAATATTCTAGTTTAAATCAGTTTAAATAATTGTCAAAATATAATTGAGCTCCAAGCCTCCAAGGTGAATTAAATTTAAGTTAGATGACCTGAAAGTTTGAGCTTTCGCAGTTTTTGACGTACCTGTGATAGGGTGCAGAGGACGACTGCGATTATGGTGTTGGGTCGCATGGTGTGTGGTGCGCACTCCGCGAGTCCTGTCGAGTGAATGAGTGGTCCTTTGGTTCCTCCTCGTCTTTCTCTCGGCGCTCCGGTGAAGAAGCGGCGCGATTGGCGGGCACTTGAGCGAGGCGTGCGGGCCGCTATCTTTTCCACTAACGCGAGCGAGTGCGAGACTATTACACCACAACACAGATGCACTTTTGTCGCCGGAGTCACCAAAGCAAAAAGGTTGCCAACCCCTAATTGCGCACCCCGTTATACGCGCGATCATTGCGAGTGAAACCGCTCGCAATTAAGAGACACAGACGCACTTCTCTCGTCGCCCATTTTTACAGTTCCCTCACTTCCGCTTTTAATCAACACGCTTTTTTGGCAACAAACGAAATGCGGAAATGCTTTGACAACTGATTCTCTCCGTCTAATTGTAAAATTGCATAAAAAAATTAAAGGAAAAGTAAATTAATTTACCACAAAATCAAACATACTTGAATTATTTTTTTAATTGAAATTGATTTAAAGTTGCTTATTACATTAAAAGTAAATTTTACAATCAATATTTTATTTATTAAGAGACATGGGAAAAATATTTTCAATTGCAGTTAAAAGCTGTGGGAATTACCTGTTCTTATAGGATTTTTTCAAGCACGCACCATTAGAGTCTCTGTTCAGCGAAGTGAAAATCTATTTGCAGTCCAAGCTTCGAAAGCAAAATCAATCGGACACGCACTTTTCATTCGACGACCGCGGAAGTTCAAAAGTGAACAAACTGTTGAATTTTTTAACTTCAAACTAAAACTATTTTTGCATGAATGGCGACCCAGATTTTTTGCACGCGGATGCACCTTTTGCTCAATGGCCTGTGCGAAACTGGGCGAAAACTCCGCCCTTGCACTTCCTCGCATTCCACATTCGCTCAGATTTAACACGGATTAATCAGAACGTGAATACATTATTGGCTCCTCATATATGGCATGCACGCTAATTATTACTTTTTGCGCTATTAAATCTAAATTGGTCGAGCAGGCTGGGCAGCTGTACGGCTGTAATTTTGCTGTTTTTGGTGCAAAGAAGAATAATTATTTCCATTTATTAGCTGTGTAATTAACCAAACAAAAATTTTAATTAAATTATGCTTATTTGATACTCTATTATTGAGAAATCTCTTGGTTACTATTTTGCTAGCATTATTTTTGTATGAACTACGCTGAGGCTGAGATGAGTTAAAAGTTTTAAAATTAAAACTGAAGCGTTTTCACTATTCAATAAAACAACTTTTTTTAAATTTTATTATAAATTCAAATATTAAAAAATTGAGAAAAATTATATTTACGGTATTTCTATATGTCCAGTTTTTTTTATAAAATCTTTTATAAACATTTTCTTTGTATAAAACGAATTTAAATATATACATTAAAATTTATATTGCATTTTCTCACAAAAACAAAAAATAATTAATGATAGCAATTCAAAATTATAATATCATCCAAATTTTTCGTTTTAATTAAATAATTCATTTTTATTGAACTCCTTATTATCTTAGTAGAAGAAGACTATCATGTATTTTGCCATAAAAATTTAGTCTGTAATTTTTGTTTTCCGCTTTCAGCAAGTCACCCATGAGCACGTGCGTGTGCATTTTACATGATGACGATGGAGCACCGGACAATTTTAATGCTGTGGCAAATTATAGTAAGTCCCGTACGGAAGTTATCTCCGCGACGCCGAAAGCGATTCCGTTTTCTTGTGTATGATATCCTTCTTTTTTTTATTTGTTCGACACCTCTTACTTTTGCAAAACTGTTCTTTGGGTGTGTAGCTTTTTTAAGTAAATAATTTTTTCACCGCATTCTGCTTGAGTCGGTTTAACTTTGGATGCAAAAGTGAGTCTAATTGAAATATCCGTCAAATGCCTTGTAATCATTAAATGAAATTTTTTTTAGCTTTTAGACTATAAACAATAAATAGTGTTTCAAATAATAAATAACGCCTTTATTAGATCTAGATACAAGAAATGAAAAAAAAATAATAATCTCAAAATTTTCAAAACATTTACTTATTTTATTTCTCATGAGATTGTAAGAAAAGTTTGCTTAAAATAAAAAATATTCATTATAATTTTGTGTTTTCTTACAGTTGCGAATAATTCAACATTTTCATAAAAAAAATTTATTCAATTCAAATTGATGAAATCTAAAAGAGTTGAAGCATTAAACAATTCCCTTAAATTTCCTGGGTTGATATAATTTTACTAATTGTAGGATTGGATAAGAATTTAAAAATAACTAACAGAGAATCGCCGCATTGGTTGAATAGGAATCAATAGGATTCATTTCTAAATCTATAATTAAAGTTTCTTCAAATTATTTTTGTTTTCTTTAAAATTTACCTTTAAAAACTAAAAAATTGCGATTTTATTAAAATTGTTTCAAATTATACAATTTACTTCCTTGTGTGTTATAGTTGCAAATAATACATATTTATTGATATATCACAGTGGCAATCGCTACCCTTATATTGAGATTTTGATAAAAAAAAATTACTATCTTTACCATTAAAATACAATGTTTAGAAATTACAAAAATTTAAACATTATTAATTGCAAAAGTACAACAAGCATTTAAAAGGTTTTTGCTGAGGCTTGCATATATTTAGACTGCCTGATACTTTCAAATGCCACTATTTATTTTTAGTTTTTGCACTATTTTATGCATTTTATGTTCTTTTCATGCAATTTATGCATATTTTTTATTTGTAAATTCCCAAAACTTATCAGTTCAACTCGCGAATGGAAAATGAAATAAAAGCTGGTTTGCATTTGCAGCACCCACACGAAAGCGCCACGAGTCCCCTCCGCTGAACTGGTCTATCGTGCAGCGGCGCCGCCGGTCGAATCGCACACCTGAACCTGACGGCGCGCGAGCTGATCGAGAAGAACAATCGCTCCGTCGCTATTCACTTGGCCAACAACAGCTCTAAAGGTATGTACACTTTTCTTGATAATTATCCATACGATCAGACCGCTTTTTGTAACCAAAGTTAATAGAGTTATTTCATTTTCCTCTCAATTCAAACGTTAGCAATTTTAAATGAGAAACAAACAGAGGCAGAAAACCATAATATTCAACAAGAAAGCAATTACATTCAATATTTATTAAAAAATTCAGTTTTATTGTAGATGGTAGAAAATTATGGACTTAAACGCAACAATTTCACAGAGCAACAAATTAATTGTGTATGATTCACATGGTCGATATCAGTTTTTAAAAGCAGCAAATTTTAATTTTTTTTATCAAAAATCTTTCATACAAATCAGCAGATTTGAGCGAAATGTAAGATTGCAAAAGTTCTTAGTCTGCGTGATTGGAGGGAAAAAACTGCTGCAGCTCTATCAGTTCACGTGCGTTCAAGCCAAAAAGCGATTTGCATCATTTACATCTCAAGTGTCGCGATTTTTGGCACAAGGTCGATCTCGCACTTCTGAAGTGGACACTTTCAAACTTCGCTGCTCATCTCGCACGATTTTATATAAAACTCCTAAGCGAAAAGTGAGAATAAAAATAACGTGGATGAATAATGATTTTATGTCTAATCTGTTAGAAAAAAATTAATCTTCGTTTTGATAAAAATTTGGGACTGCACCAGAACTGCCAATTACATTACAGGCACAGGGCACAGTGTCCACATAGATATTTTCATTGCTTTTTGCTGCACAGAAAAATCAAAGAATAGTGCAGACTGAACACATCAACTGTGTTGCGTTTGCAGAAATTATTTCCAGGCATAGAAAAAACCATGAGTTTTAATTTATGGGTAAAACGAACAGTCTACTCTATGTACAAACTTACAAGATATGCCGGTCAGTTCATTATTGCATTAAGATTTGCAGCGAAAATCGACTTGCGTAAAGTTTTAATCAACGATAAAATTTAGAATATGAAATTAGCAAAACGTTCACTGTGTCCTAAATAAATAATTAAAAAAATTTAATTGTTCAGAAATAGTAGCCTATTTGGATATATGATGTTTCTGGATCTTGGTGTACTGAATTTTTATTTTATTTTTTTATTTTTATTTTGTGAGGCCAAGACAAAGTCTTGTCGGCCTGTGCCCTTTATTGGTGGTATAGAAGGCACCACCCAATTAATTTTTTTATTTTTACTTTTGGGTTCAACTTTATTTAAAAAATCATCATTTTTCGCTGGCATCTCCAGTAACAAATATGTCCTTTTTTAATGGTTTGAATAAATCTAACAGCCAATTTTACTACAACCTCTATTCATACTGCTCCTGCTTAATTATTTTTTTTTCATACTGAAAACTTTATCATATATTGAAAACATTAAACAATTTATTTCCTGCGACTATTAAATCTTTTAATATAATGTTGATGTTATAATTAAATAGCTAAATTTGCACCGATTTTGTTCGTCAGACACCGCAAACTTTCCAGTCAAAATTATTTAGCAAGTACGAACCTCCCACTGCAACTTATGCAATTACTCAGGTATTTTAACAACATGATGATTTATTAGCTTTTCGGCGCGGCGCCTATCAGTTAAAAGATCCATCCATCAATCTTCTTCATTTTCGAACAGTCCACAGTCAAGCAACCCAAGGACATTCAAATAAAGAAAAGAAGTCACGTATTTTTTTACAACAATTAGACTTGCAAAAATAATTGATCTCATGTTTGCATTCTAGTCTAAATAAAAGTGGATTCTTTTAAATGCTCAATCAATTGCAATTATGATCAATTTTTTTATTAAACAAATTTTAAAGATTATGCTAGCTTTTAAATTTGGTCATTCTATAAAAAGAGTATTTTCAAGACTGATAGTATTGCATTTCTTTTAAAATTTCTCTTAATGTCTTCTACCAGAATTTATTTTTTATGAAATAAAAAAATAGAAATCCATTTTGAGCTTCAAAATTGACAGAAACTTATCACCGGGAAGATGACAATTCGATTGTCCGTGGGCAGAACAATGGCTCGTTTGTAATTTTGAATAATCGACCTCTTCCTCTTGTATATATTCGAACGGCGGAATGACGATTTGATGATGATATAATGAGCAGCCGGAGAGCGCAGCACTTTCTCTTGCTGCTCGTCCTGCCGCTTACGCAATGCCCGAGTGCGCATCATCGCAAAATTCCAAACCGACTTTGTGTAAAAGCGAAAGATGAATAAAAAAAATAACAACTTTTTGAGGTGATTCGCCAGCAAGGCTTTTCATTTTATCGCTCGTAAATTGGCCGATCGAAGGGAACAACGCGACGGTCGTCGAAAGTGGGCCACGATCGCAAGTATAGTGGCCAATAAGTGACCGCCGGGATGAACGACACAGACGCACTATACCAAGTGCGGTATTGTCCGCGAGGAGCACAGGTGCCGGGTGAAAGGTAAATCGAACGATCCAGAGCTGCTGCACTCGCAGGGAGAAAGAGCATCCATTCCAAACAGGGGTCACTCTGGTGCACTAAATGTTAAAAGAACAATTGGATCTATTGTGATGTACCTTCATATTAAATTGGAAAATTTTACAAGAATATTTAAGTTAAAATAAATTTAAATTTGTAAGAATGTATTCGATCTATGACTCCTTTGTAAGGAATTTGTACTATTTATTTTATATTTGAAAGCAAAAATAGAATATTTTCCAAAGACTAGTTTTTCCATGAAATTTATAAATAATAATACAGCATAGTTAAAAAAATTCTATCCTTGGATAATTATTTATATTCTAAACTTTTTTGTAGCTAAAATTTGCATATTTTTATTTGACAAGTTCATGTTCTGTCCAATGTTTTCTCCTTAAAAAAAAACTCAATGTACTCAAAGCTTCATTTTAAATAAATGACCGTTTTGAATATTTTTTTAAATTATTGTTATTGGAAAAAATTTTAGTGAAAGTTCAAATGTCCAAATTAAATTAAACTTCACTTGCAAGTGCCGGCAACTTTAAATCGCCGCATTCAACTGCGACTATGTTGCAAAACGGTACGATTAGAGCATCGCACAAGTACCATCAACACATATAATGATATTCTAATTGCGCGCTCAGGTACCTAAAGAATTTATTCTGAATGCTCTCGCTCGCTCGCTTGTTCGCTCAAACGCCGCAGGTCGTTGCGTCACAACCGACCTTAGCCCAGCAGGAAAACTTCTTCTTCTATCGCGCAACACCTGAGCTGTAAATAAATTGCCGAAGCCGTTTACGATCGATCCTTTGCAATTTATTAATTTGACTGTTCTCTTTCAAAGAATTTTGGCTCCTGCAATTTTATTCAACGATGCAATTTTTATATGTTACAGAATTACCTAACAACAAGTGTGTTTTAGTGAAAAATTTATAAAATATTAAAAGAGAAAAATTACTATTTTAAATTAATTAAATTTTTGTATACCAGCTTTATCTTGGTTTGGAATTGTCTACGCGGAAAGATGAATTATTAGAATTCCAAAGGAAAGAATTCGAAAGAGTCCAAAAAGTGCGTTCGAGTGAGCAACCTGGCGACCTTCGCGGCTCCCGCGGCCTCGACTCGGTACACGTCTGTCTCATCGTTTTTCGACGCATCTCTTTCTCTCTCGCGTGTATCTTTCTAACGCCGGTTGTTTTTGTTATTTTTTGCCTTTTTCGGTGGCCACACGAAGATGCGTCCGATCATCAAGTGATCGCAGCCTTGGCGCGAATTTCACTCTCGCAGTCAGTTCGATCGAGCGGGGGTGACGCGCCGGTCACGACGACTATCTCTCTCTTGTAACAGAATGCGTGTGCAATTTTACAATCTACCCGTCCTTGTCTGCGAAAAGTGCTCTCGGTGGTGCTCTTTTCTGGTTCTTTGCATTTTTTTGTAAAATTTCTCAATAAGAGTTTTTTATTATTTTGATCTAATTTTTTTATTATTATGATTTTTTTTTAATTTAAGTTATTGTAAATCTTGTCTCAAATAAGAAAAATATTTTGAAGAAGGTATTTCACTATGTATTTTAAAGTAAAATGCCTCATTCTTGTTAAATTTTACTAATTGTAATTGATTAAATATACTAAAATAAATACTCTCTACCCAGTTTGGGGCACACGGTCTGATGAAGGCAGAACAAAATATAAAAATAACAGCTATAAAAATTGAGATTTTTCAATTTTATTCAATTTTTTCACAAAATAATTTAGAGTCATAAAGAAAAGCTATGAATAATTGTTCTAGAATGGTTTTATTTTATTTTGTTCAACAAAAAATTAAAAAATTGTTTAATAATCGAATTATTTACAATTGGTTAGATTTATTACGTAAACGATGCAAATTTCCTCCGCCGATCTCACGTTTAGCCGCGAACGCTTTCGTTTTCAATGGCAAATTCCAACACTCGGAGTTGCGAGATCAACTCTCGGGAGAGTCTCTCGGACAGATGTCATGAGCTCACAAATGGAGATGGACGACTTGCTTGGCGAATAAATTATCGTAAATTATTCCTCTTTCTCCCGATTTGTCCCCAACCGCATTTTTCGACAGCCGCGACCTTCCATCCTCCAAACGTCATGGTACGTTGTCGGTCGTTCAAATCTCCACCAAACTAAAAACGGGAAATTCGCACGGCAGGGAAGCACGCCGAATATAATTCAGCTGCGCCGGCGAGAGATTTATCCGTCTGACATTTAGAATTGCAAAAAGTCGTCACGCCTGATTTTGCGCTGCCCGCGCGCACATCCGCGTTTCGGCCGCCCAAGCCGAGTTCATTTTTAGCAACTATCAGATAAAAGTTGTAAAACTTAATTGGGAGTTAATTAGCATGTTGTACCTGGGGAAGTTACGTCACACTTAAGTGATTCGCGACGACAGCTTGGGAATTTAAAGAGGCGGCGCGAGAGGTGCCATTCACATCATCAGTGGAAATTCTCACACGATCGTCCCATTAACTTCGACCTTTATAATATAAAACTCTATGCCGTTTTCTTATTCATATTTCTAAGAATAATTAAGAAATTAGTTTTCTCAAAATTTTGTGCAATGATTGGTTGGTTATAATTCTCATTAAAATAAAATTTCCTTTTAATGCCATTTTTATTTTTGAGCATTGTAAAAAAAAAATTACTGCTCAATAGCAATGAAACAAGTTGAAGACAATATTATATTACCTACCGATATTAAAACTTCTGCGCATAATAAAAGGCGATATAAAAAGAATCCGGCGTGGTCAGTTAGAATTGCTGCGCTTGCTTTTTATCCCATCTTCCTTTCTTTGTTTCATTTCTGGCAAGGTCACGCAAAAGATTGCTTGTTACTTTAATCGCTGTCGGCGGCCAAACCCATCTGTGCCTGCCAATTTGAAGCTTCTCAGGTAAAATATCTAATAAGGAATTTTTTGCGCGAGTGGCTTCTTTTGGAGGATGCGTCATACATGCGAATCATAACTATAAATACTATTATGTTTATTTTCATCACTTGGGATTTCCAAATTTAAAATTCCAAACAATTGCAAACAATTTAATTGTAATTATCTTTGTGAAAATATTCATATAGAAGCCAATTAAAGCTATTGTATTCCCCAAAATTTAAATAAAGCAATTAATTATTTTCTTGAATACACCCTAAAATAAAATAATTTTTTTTATTAACATGAGGTGCATTACAATAAAATTGCAATATTTTTTATACTTTCCTGTAAAATTAAAACCATCATAGCTCATTTTATTAACTAATCGAAGGAAAAGTGACACAAAAGCTGCTGTTGGTGCAATACTGCAACAATAACAGCTATAGTTTTTGGTACCAAAGTTTGGGAGGTTCACGGCCGGAGTGTCGTGTCAAGTTCTTTTTTCCTTTTATTTTAAATTCTCACTCTTGGAGAAAAGAAAACAATTAGAGGCTGTGTATATGTTGGCAAGGCCGCACGCGTCTCACACTAATTGCTAACTAATTCCTCGCCGTGCAAAAGAGCAACTCGCGACCTTTGCTCTCGTGCTGACCCTGCACTTGGGCCTCCCCGCCGCTGCCTCCTTTCGTCAAAATAATCTCAGCGGCCTGCTCATCTTCAGTCACTTTTGCTTTCAGCATGCTGCTGATAGTGCTGCTTGTTCTCGGCGCGGCCAGCGGCCAACGAAACAGGGACGAAGCCAGCCGGCCAAACCAGAACTGCGATTGCATGGACTACTGGAAATGCGTTATGGGGTAATAGCCCTGATTTTATTTCGCTTTATTTGTATAATTTTATTTTGCAATCTTTATTTTTATATTTTATTTTCCTAAATTATTTTATTTTATTGAATTCATGAAAAAGTTCTGACAAGCTTTTGAAAACTTTTGGAAAAGACGCAGTGATATTTTATCAACAATTTTTGGAAGTACACTAATTACAAGTATAATTTTTTGTATATAACGGCAATAACGGTTTTAATAACTTTGAATCATATTTCCACTATAAACATTTTTTTTTTTAAATATCTCCATTTTTAAATTATAAAAATGGTTAATCTTTGATGTGTTTTTTTTTTTATTGTAGAGGAGGGGAGCCGTACAGCTACTGCGGCTTAGCGGACTCGAGTGTGTGCTGTTTCTTTACGCCAGACTCGAAGCCGCTCACCAGCTTTTTTGCGACTCCTAGTTCTACGGCGGCCAAGAGTTCGCCGTCAAACTGCGGCCACCGAGGCGCCGACACAGCGGCAATTGGACAGGCCAGACAGGGCGAGTGGCCGTGGCACGCAAGTCTTGTTTCCTGGAATATTTTGACTTAATCTTGCCTTTTCATTTTTTTTTTTTTTTAAGAAATTGCTTAGATGAAATACAGCTTTCTTATTTTTTTTTTGTATATTTTTACTTATATCTCAAAATTAATTTACAAACGAAAAATTATTTTGTAACTGACTTTTATGTTATACGCTCAGGTAGCCGTACTTGAAAAGCCGGATGATCTGTATGTTTGCGGTGGATCCCTTTTAGATGAGAGTTGGGTGTTGACAGCGGCCCACTGTGTCGATGACTAGTAAGTTTTTTTATAGCTATTTTTATAGATTTTTTTTTAATACAATTATTTATAATGATTTATTTCATTTATGATACTTTCAGCGTGGGCGGCTCAGGCGAGAGCAAGCTGAAAGTGCGTCTTGGGGAGTTTGATGTGGCCAGTGTGAAGGAGACGCTGCCGCATCAGGAGCGCGACGTGGCCTCCGTGGTGCTGCACCCTGGCTTTGACAATCGCTCGCTGGCACACGACATTGCGCTGATTAGACTCACCGCACCGGCTCAACACAGACCTAATGTGGACATTGTGTGTCTTCCCAGAAGGGACCAGGACAACTCGGCCGGCTTCCGAAGATGCGTCATCACTGGATGGGGAAGAAGAAATGAAGGTTTTATTCTTAACTTTGTTTATTTAATATTTTCGAATATTTTATTTTAAATTTTAAATAAATATATAAATAATTTTATATACTTTGAATAAGTATATTCCAGATAATTTATTTGTGATTAAAATGGAATGCTTTAATAATAATAATTTCTTATCACATTTTTTTTTCAGCTGCTGAGCATTCATCTCAATTGAAGGAGGTGCAAGTGCCTCTATGGGAGCACACACAGTGTGAAAGAGCTCTTAAGGATAAGTTCGGGCCGTCATATGCCCTGCCAGACACAGCCATCTGCGCGGGCGCAGAAGGACAAGATGCTTGTGATGTAAGTAAATATTTTCATACTAATATAATAATATTTCATACTTGATAAAAAGCATAAATTTATTTTATTCAACTACTAAAACTCCACAATAATATTAAGCATAGTGTAAAATATTTGAGCAGCAATAAATTATTTAATTATTCATATTTCCTCTTGAATTTTACACCACATTGGTTATTAGGGTGATGGCGGAGGACCATTGGTGTGTGAGGATGCAGGACAGTGGTACCAAGTTGGTGTAATAAGCTTTGGAATTGGATGCGGCCGAAAAAACACACCTGGCGTCTACACCAGGGTTTCCAGGTTTAGAATCCCACTTTGATTTCAACCTTTCTATTTTAAACCCTGATTTTGATTGCAGATACGAACGATGGATCATGGACACTATTTTGGAGCATAAATCAGATCTGGTCAAGCGACTGCTATTTGAGAAGTGAAACAAAAAGGGCCATCTGATTTATTTTTACCTATATAAATTAATTTTACCAATACTCTTGTATGACTGTGAACCGAAGCAAGAAAGATCCAGTTTGAGTGAATCTATAGAACTACGGTTATTAATTTAATTTAATTATATTTAATTGTGGTACAAATGCATGCATGATTTCACGCCCTAAGTCTGTTTCTGCATGATACGCACGTCAATATAATATGTACACTTGCCATTCAAAACGCGATGCTGTGGAATTTATTCAAAAACAGGAAAAATGCATTAATTGAATTTTTATGCAGAAATTTTATTCTATTTTGATATCATTGAATTGATTATCCTATGCTAGAACATGTGAAAGCAATAAACTTGTGATGAAATTATCTTAATCTAATTCATATCATTTTTAATAGTATCAAAACCCATCCGAATTAAAGAAAAATAACAAATCCTAATAAGAATTCATAAAAATGACGCCTACTTCCCAAATAGAAAATTAATATTAATATTTATTATATCTTTTAATTTTATTTTGTCAAAACACACATAAGATAAAGTTATAAGGTTTTTTTTATTGGTGAGGAACATCTTCATAATTTATAATTTTTGCTTCAGGGTACATCAAAGTTGACAGTATTAATAAAAGTAATATAAATTTTTTTTTATTTATTATTAATGAATTCAATGCAGACAGTTAAATTAAGTGCCTGTGAAAAGTATAGATACTTTTCCGCCGAGCATCTGCGCCACGCAGGTTGCCTACCCACAGCCGTCAATGATGATAGTCATAAGGGGGCGTGTCCGAAAATTGTGTTTACGTACTTACGCTTGCCTGCAAAAGGCGACAGGCGACGTCACAGGCTCTGACGATGGACTCTGCCACGGTATGTAGGTGTAAACAATGAATTAGATTAAATTGAATAGGCTTCGATGCGATGGCAGCTCCTAATATTCCTGTGGTTCGACAGGTTCCCCTGCTGGACGACGACACGGTCGAGTTCGGCGATGAGGACGTTGTCAAGGGTAGATTCAAGTAAGAATCGACTTTACAAGGGCTTTTTTCCTTATCGCTTACTTATTTCAAACCACCACGCAGGCACCCGTACGTGACCTTTTTCCACTTGGGGTTCAGAGGCGCGGCCCTGGTGACCTACCTGCTGTGCGGATGGTTCAGCAGCAGCTTCATCGCCAGCTTCGTCTTCATTGTACTGCTTCTCTCTCTTGACTTTTGGACGGTCAAAAACGTGACCGGACGTTTGATGGTCGGACTCCGCTGGTGGAACCACATAGACGACAACGGCGAGAGCCACTGGGTCTTCGAGTCTCGAAAGGTTCAATTTTTTTTACCACTCTTCAAATAAAACCAGAAATTTTATGGGCGCCTGTTTGCAGGCCGCCGAGCAGGGACGTGTTGACCCTGCTGAGGTCAGGGTCTTCTGGATCGCCCTGGTGGTCTTCCCAGTTCTCTGGGCCTTCCTCTTCATCATTGCCCTGTTTGGCTTTAAGTTCAGATGGCTTGTAAGTTGCAATATTTCAATTGAGCTAAAATAAATATTAATTTTTATTGTGCTTTAAGCTTTTAGTTTGTATTGGATTGGCTCTGAACGGTGCCAACCTGTACGGCTACATCAAGTGCAAGGTTGGCGCAAATAAGGACCTTACACTGACTGGCTTCACAAACACTTTCATCAGGCAACAAGTTGTACAAAATGTAAGGGTTTTTCGTTAATCTTTTTAATTATAAATTTGAACACGTGGTGAACTCTAGGTTGTCGGAATGATGAGCAAATCGCCACCCCAAACAGGCAACAACACAAACGTCATCTAATGCTGTGATCTCTTCCAAATTTGTGTTACGTCTTGTCACTGTAATTTAATTGTATTTAACTAAATTTAAGTTGCATTCCAGTAAATAATTTTGAAATTATTGATTACCATACTTTATAAAATTTCCCTTTGAGCACATTGCTTTGGATTATGACAAGTGCTTTCTAGTTTTTCTCTGAAATCACTAATTTTAGCTTGATCTACAAAGCGGTTTTAGCTGTCAATTTTGGTGTTGTTTCAATCATAATGAGGCATAATTTTCTTTTAGTACGACGAGGTTTTTCTCATTTATTACAGAGGGAACATTCTTGCTAAAGCGATTAATTTTAATACATAAACAGCTACAACCAGCTTTTCCATAATAATAATATACAAGTTCCAAAGAAAAGCATGCGAAATAACTTCATATCCGAAAAAGTCAGACATTAATCAACCGATTAAACATAATTTAAGTCCAGCACTAAAATTCACGACGATGGTACTTGTCCGGGTCATAATACGACGTCACAACCACACGGTTGTTGAATTTTCGGCCGGTCAATGCCTGCTGGGCTTTCTGGCAGTCTCCAATTGTGTTGAACTCGACAAATACCTGCCAAGTGTTAAACCAGGGTTAATTATCTAAGAGATGATTTAGACGATTTTGTTATGACTTAATACCAGAATGTTTTAAATCAATATGAAAATCGCATCAAATGAAAATTCTGACCATATTTTAAATTTTATCACATCTATAATTAAATTCGCAAGTATTTAACCTGTCAAATCAATGTAATAAATATTAACTGACCTTTCCACAACCTGGCACGTCAACACCTTTGATGGGTTTTGGAATTTCTAGCGAGCGCACGATTCCATGCCTGCCGCACTCTTCACGAATGTCTTCAAGAATGTCCTCGTACTCCTCCTCGTCCAACAGGTCATCGGGAGTTACCATGTTCATCAGACACAAAATCTAAAAAAGGGCATTTAATATTGCACAAAACATTAAACAAAAATTAAAGTACCTCTGTGGCTGGTCCGGCTCCTGCAAGAAGGTTCAGTCCTGGCACCTGCACCTGTACTGGTGCTTGAGCGGTCAGAGTGTTGTTCTTGGCTCCAACACTAGCTCGCTGGACTATAAGTTTTTTGTCTCCAAGCTGCATACCGTTCAGACCTTGGATTGCCTAAAAATTAAAAAAATGGGAGGTTTTATTTAGATACACTGAAGTTATTATAAAATAAAATTTTAATTTTCGTCTTGTTCAGATTAAAGGAAGTCCTCAAAAATATATAGGACATATGCTTGTCATTAAATTGAAATCATCATTTTTGTTTACAAGAAATTTTAGCATTAATTTAGGCTTACCTGATCAGTGACGCTAACATCAACGTATTCACAGAACGCATATCCCTTGGACAGACCAGTGGCAGAGTCCTTGACCAGGTTGAATGCTCGCAACTGCCCGAATGAAGAGAGCAGGTCCTTGATCTGGGAACAAGACAGCAGCTGTAACGCGACGCTCTATTATTATAGCAGCAGCTGTGTGCTTCCTACACTCATTAAATTCTGAGAACCCCCACTGCCTTTCCACTAACCCTTAGCCCCGCACACAGTGGCCCTACCTGCTGACTTCGTCGAGCCCCACAATCTCACTGAGACTTACCAGTCCGAACAAGAAACTGGACAGATTTAGTGCAAAATCAATTATAGTTTTCTTTCTTTGAAAATAATATTATTCAAATGATATGTTTTGGGAATGTTCTTTTTTCCTATCAAAAAATGAAACTGAGCATTGGATTGTTTCGGCCGTGACTCGGGACAAGAAGTGAAACACTTGTTATGGTGCCACACACTTGCCTGGCATTATCCAAACTGTGAGTGCCCATCTCTCGAGTGTCAGAGGTCTAATAACCGTGATACCTTGCTAAAAGGGGGGCAGAAAGCAGAGGTTCATTAGATTGCATTAAATTAAAGGTTTTGTTTGCTGAAAAGAGTGAGGAAAGAGCTGAAAGAGAACAAAAAAAGACTCGGATGGCACTTTGCTTTCGCTCGATCGCGTCGACGCACTGAAAGAAAAAGAGCAAAAAAAATATCCGCCGCTCTTTGAACGAATTCGAGATTGGTTCTTTAGTCGCCTCTGCTTTTAACCTGCGGGAAGGTAGGCAAGACCTGTGGATATACGACCCCCACCCGCGGAGGAATAAATAAGTACCACTGAGCCGAGCGCAGAGCTCTGCTGGCCCGAGCCGGAGAATCCAACTTGCTCCTCGTTCAGGTAGTTGGGAAGCCCGCCAATGAAGATCTTGTGCGGGGAATCCGGCACCACTGTGCTTATGACACCTGCAACAAGTTGAGAAAATCCCTTTGAAACCTCCTGTTATCTATTAGGCTTTTTAATTGTGACTGATTTTGGCCTCAACCTTGCACTACATTACTGATTTTTTTAACTTCTTCAGATTAAAAGTAGTCCTCAAAATGATAGGACATATGCTTGTCTATAAATTGTAATCATCATTTGAAGTTTCGATTATAAATAAAAAAGGGTAGTAAGCCTGAATTTTAATTAAGCCAGAAAGCATTTACAAGGTAAATAATCCTTGAAAATGGATTTCCAAGCTGAAAAAATTAGGCCTGTTGTAATTTTCTATAGCACAATAAAAAAATAGCTATTGAACAGAATTTTCAATTACAAATCAAGGGTTAAGAGGCAACAAGTTGAAAAACTGAATCGGAGAAGCTTAACTACCTGGTACATTCATCGCAGGATTTTCGGACATTCCCGGCATGGGTTGGTAGTCGTGTGGCCTCCTTATCTTCAGGCTTTGCCCCTTAAAATTGATTCCGTCAAAGGCCATCGCCTGAGTAGTCTCATCAATTGATCGGAACTCAAGGAAAGCGAAATTCTTGTCCAAGTTGATTTGACAGGCAAGCACAGGGTTTCCTGCTGCCTGTGCCAATCCAGACAGATGCATCTGCTGATTGAAGAACTCCATCATCTCTTCCTGGAATAATAAAAGCCAACAACATTGTAAGTCAAAGGAATGATTAGAGTTTAAATAATATTTCATTTTTTTGTTTTTGTCAGAAAAATAAATCAACATGATGTAAATTCTGTTATATGCTTGTCTTAAAAAATTTGTTCATCATAAAAATATAAGAGCTACTGAATTTTTAATAAGATCCTCCTCACCTCTGTAACTCCGAAAGGGATGTTGCCCACATACAGTCTCCTGGCTTGTCGCGTTATGGTGGATCCGACCACAGGCACTGCAGCCTGTGGCGTGTCAGCAACAATGTTTGCCGGAATTTGACCAGCCGCTGAAAATATTGCAAATAAATTTTTTTTTAGTAATATTAGAAAATGAATTGAATAAAATTTTTAAGTTTTCTTAATTGAAACTGACCCCAAAGCATGTACTTTAGAGGGGTATCAAACCCTGGAAATCAAATGCACAATGGTAGGTGAAAAAAGGAAAGATGGAAAAGTACAAAAGTAGGCTCACCTTGCATGGCCTTATACTGCAGCGGAGTAATGTGTTCGAAGCCAGGCGGCGGCACATCCCAGTAAAGGGAAGGCTTTCTTCGACGCACTGCCCTTTTATCTTTTGGGCTTCTAGAACTACCAAAAGTAGAAAATTAAATTAACTTGAAATTATATTTATGTATTAAAAAAAATGGCAGAATAAAAAAAATCATAAGTCAACTTCAGTTGCAACTCAACCGCAAAATAATGCTTCTGCAATAAAATTTCGTGAAGATGAAAAATGAAAAAAGTCAAATCCACGAATGCAAACTTCGCTCACCGGCTCCGCTTTGCGGTCCTTTCGCGACGCTCTCGACTGCGTGACCTCGACCGATTGCGTTCCCTGGCTTCCCTGCTGCGGGAGCGCGACCTTTTCCGATGCTCCCGAGACCGCGAGCGACGTCTTCTATCAGGTCTCTCCCGATCGCGTTCTCTGTCGCCTGCGGACAACGATTGTTGGTTTTCGGTGAGGCTGATCGATGCCATGGATCGGTCCGCAGGGCGCACCGCCATTTTAGCATGCGGCTTACCCGACTTGCCGGTTTTGTCCTCGCCCATAGCTACTGCTGCATCAAATGATCTCCCTTGCACGAAGAATCTTCAAGTGACAATAGCAGACTTAGCTCCGACTCGAATTTTTGTAAATTTCGACCGGATAGGACACAAATAGCGGGTCGAAAACTCTCAGCACGCTACGTCCATAAACATGGAAGGAAGCGCACAGACCAGGAAGTGAATTAGCGATTGCAGCGCCACGACCGCTTGTACAAATACAAAAATGCATGATTATGGCGCGAAAAGCGTGTGATCAACCACAAAAAGGATAATAAAATAAAATCTTTTACCTCCTACATCTCTTATATTCTGATCAATATTAAAATCAAATATCATTCTGCAAAATGCGCCTCCCAAAAATTTATTATTAGTGATCATTGAAAATTTGATTTTTTTTTTGCCTTGGGAAAACGTGGAATCTACTTGAAAACAATTATTGTGAATCAATCACAAATTTTTTCATATTTCTATCCAACAAAGATGAAGAGGGGAGAAAGGATAGCTCCATGTTCAATTAAAGAGAAAAATTATAATGATATATTTTTTGCGTTTTTTTAATATTTTGAATAATTTACATTGTAAAAAGCATTGAAATATTTGGCACGAGAAGTTTTTGCTCTGGAACGCGGTTGCTATGGAAATGCTGTCCACAACATTGAACACGCTTTTAAATCATTTAAAGCGTCGCTTTAATATAGATCACTTTCATTCCGTTTCATTGTTATCTTTTAGATAGTGTTGAAAATATAAATTTGTTTAAGGTGATACAAAATGTCAAAAGATGTTTCACCAAACAACGTTGGCAGGTTATCTGCAGAGGAGTTATCATCGAGGACACTGGCGGTCGGTGGAAGTCACTTCATTGTGTCTGTGAACGGTGCTATTGAGGCCGCCGATTTTCCTGAATATGACGAATTATACTGTCGGTACTTTTTTGACTATGGCTCTGACTGGCAAATTATATCTGTATGTGGTAATTTTATTTTATTTTTTAAAATATTTTTTAAATAATTTAATTTGAAGGGTGTATCGGAAGGCATGTCTCAGATTTCCAAAAAAAGCAAATGTCACGTCGACGAGAGACAGCTGTGTATTTGGAACCTCCCAGTTGAACTGACCCTCAAGTCAACAAACATTTCAGGATGTAAGTTAAAAAAAACTATTGCAAAAAAATTAAAAAAAAAATCAGGGCCAAAAATTGTGGTAAGCGTTTATGGGACTGACACTTTTGGAAACGACGTGGTCCGAGGTTACGCGTGGAGTTTTGTTCCTTTAGAAAGTACCTCTTGCACAATAAGGTAATTCTCTACTTAAAAAATAAATTGTTTATTTAAGAACAAATATTTAGCATGCCTGCTTTTGTACCAGCGTCATCCTCAAGACTGCAAGAAATGACTGCCTGGTTCACAGGTCGACGTCCAGAGTTTCTAAATCCAGCTACTGTGGCTCACGGAGAGAGCAGAGAGTGTAAGTTTTTTTAAGTGGTATTTTTTAAGGAAAGTAAAAATTTTAATTTGCAGTGTTAAGGACAAACTCACACGGAGTTGTGATGGCCAAACTCAATGCATTGACAAAAGACTTGGCCAGGTGCGGATACGAGACAAGTTCTCGAGAGCCAAGATCATTCAACTTGGCCTCGATTGTTAGTGACATGGAGCAATTGTCTATAAAATAATAAAAACAACACATCCTTACATGAGTAACAAGATGGCTTTTTTTTTATTGAATTTCACTTTAGTTTCTTAACAAATTTTTCTCCATCTGCGCAACAACTCACTTCATTCGATCTGTTTCTCGGCAAGTGCGATGTTATTTTGTACAACGTGTGGGTTTATTTGAGGATAAACATAAGTTAGAAAGTGGCTAAATGTCTACTGCATCACAAGGCCTGCTAAGCAACACAAAATGCTTTTCCATCCTTATCTCGTCCACATGTGAGACTAACTAAGTAATAATTAAGTTTCCAGTCTGTCTACAGGGCGTGACTAGCGGACAGTAGTTCATTTCTTGCTGGCTGCAATCTGCTTCATTCTGTTCAATGCACTGCCGGCCTTGAACCAACCAATCTGCTGCTCGTTGAACGAGTGGTTCAAGGTGATCGTCTCCACCTTGCTTCCGTTCTTGATTTCTGCCTTCAATGGCTGTTTGAAAAACAAATTTTTGGTTTTAGTTTCAAATTAAAAATAAAATTTAACCTTTCCGGGTGCAAAGTCTTTCAGTCCAAGGAGGGAAATCTTGGAGGTGGGCAGAATTTTGTCATAATCGGCGGGGTCGGCGAATGTGAGGGGAAGCATACCCTGCTTCTTAAGGTTGGTTTCGTGGATGCGAGCAAAAGACTTTACAATGATGGCACGGCCACCCAAGTGACGGGGCTCCAGAGCAGCATGTTCTCGACTGCTGCCCTCACCTGATGACACATATTAAGTACAATTTAGTTTTTCTATTATTTTTTAATTTACTTGAAAAATTACTCACCGTAGTTTTCATCTCCAACAGTGACCCACTGGACGCCCTTCGATTTGTAGTGCCTGGCAACCTCAGGAACACCTCCCCACTCACCAGTGAGTTGATTCTTAATTTTGTTGACCTCGTTGTTTTCCGAGTTCACAGCACTAAAGAATGACATTAATTAAGTTTCCTATTGACAAGCAAAATAAAAAAACTAACCCAATGAACATGTTGTTAGAAATATTGTCCAAATGACCTCTGTACTTAAGCCATGGGCCAGCTGCGGAAATGTGGTCAGTTGTGCACTTGCCCTTGACCTGAAATTAAAACGTATTCATAACACTAAGACTTGTTTTTAAAAACAAGCACAAACCTTAATAAGAACGGACAGGTCGATCAAGTCCTTGCCGTCCCAGACGTTGAAGGGCTCGAGCAGCTGAAGTCTCTGAGACTTGGGGTCAACGTTGACCTTGAGGCTTGAGCCATCAGGGGGAGGTGCCTGGAAGGTATCCTCGCCAGGGTCGAAGCCGCGCTGGGGCAATTCATCGCCATAGGGGGAGTCGAGCAGGAATTCTTTGCCATCAGCGCCCTTCAGCTTGTCCTTGGTGGGATCAAAGTCAAGGGTGCCGGCCAGCGAGAGGGCTGTGACCAGCTCAGGCGAGGTCACAAAGGCGTGGGTCGCTGGGTTAGCGTCGTTACGTCCAGTGAAGTTACGGTTGTATGAGGTGACAATTGTGTTCTTTTCACCCTTCTTGATGTCCTGACGGTCCCATTGACCAATGCAAGGACCACAAGCATTTGCCAGCACCACACCTCCAAAGTCTCTCAGGATCTTGGCCTTTAATTAAAAAGAAAAATATATCCATCAGGCATTTATGGTTTATAAAAACAAATTAGAGAATAATTATTCTATGCAAAAAATATCAAACTGAAAATTCTTTTATAATTTTATAACTGAATTTGAAAGTTTAATTTTTAAAGACAGAGGAAACTTGAAAAAAAAAAAACAAAAAAAAACACTTACAATGCCATCACGCTCGATGGTAGCACGGATCTGTTCAGATCCCGGGGTCACGTCAAAGGCGGCCTTTGACTTGAGTCCGTGGCTCATGGCCTGCTTCACAATGCTAGCACACCTGCCCATATCCTCGTAGCTGGAATTGGTGCAGCTGCCAATAAGACCTGCAAACAGAACGAAGAAATTCCATCAAAAATTTTGAGCACATTTGCTTCAAAATATTCATATTAATTACAACTTTATTATATGCCTGAAAATATATATATAAAAAAAAATACTGACCGACTTTGACCTCCAAAGGCCAGCCCTTTTCCTTGGCAACCTTTCCAATCTGAGAGATCGGGTGCGCAAGGTCAGGAGTGAAAGGTCCATTGATGTGTGGCTCAAGAGTGGTAAGGTCAATCTCAACAATCTAAAATTTAACTGTTTATGTTAAGTTCAAAGGAATTTTTAAAAAATTACTGACCTGGTCGTACTTAGCACCGTCATCAGCAGAGAGCAGAGATTTTTGGAACTTGTCTGCAACCTCTGCGATGTTTTCTCGGTTGGTGGCCTTCAAATAGCTGCGCATGCGATGGTTGTAGGGGAAGACGGAGGTGGTGGCTCCAATTTCAGCACCCATGTTGCAAATAGTGGCCATGCCAGTGCAAGAGATTGAGTCAACGCCAGGGCCAAAGTACTCGACAATGGCGCCAGTACCACCCTTGACCGTCAGGATACCGGCCACCTTCAGGATGATGTCCTTTGGAGAGGTCCATCCTTTCAGCTCACCAGTGAGCTTGACACCAATGACCTAAAATGCAGAATTCAAGCAATTAGTTTTTAATTCTAGAGTAAACTTGCAAGATAAATAAGAGCAGATGAAGCAATTTTGAGGTGCTGGCAACTCTTCAAAAAAAGATCTATTTGTTTCTTTGCCAAGCTGCTTTATCAGCTTGGAGGCAATCAAGGTTATAATGTTTATTGACTTTAAGTCTCGAATAAAATTATTTTCAAAAAAAAAATATTTTTAATAAATTGAAAAGCAAAATCATACGATTTTACCTTCGGGCACTTAAGTTCCCAAGGAATGTTGGCCATAACGTCAACGGCATCTGCACCACCAACGCCAATGCAAAGACCACCGAGGCCACCTCCATTAGGGGTGTGAGAGTCTGTGCCAATCATCAGCAGCCCGGGGAAACCGTAGTTTTCCAGGATGATCTGGAAATTTGAAAAGAATTAGTGATACAAAGAAATAATTAAAAGAGAGAACATAAGCAAAAGAAGTAAGAAAGTTTTAAAACTTAAATTATTAAAATTCTTTTTAAATAACTCTTAAAATTTTGTAGATAGAGAATTATATACCTGATGAATGATTCCAGAACCAGGTTTCCAAAATCCAACACCATACTTGGCACCGGCCGACTGGAGGAAGTTGTAGACCTCTGCGTTGATGTCCTTAGCACGCGCCAAATCCTTCTCGCCACCAACCTGGGCCTCGATCAAGTGGTCACAGTGGATGGTCGAGGGCACAGCCACCTTTGGCAGACCTGAGGAGATGAACTGCAGCATGGCCATCTGGGCAGTGGCGTCCTGCATGGCCACTCTGTCAGGTCGTAGCCTCAGGTATGATGTTCCACGCTCGATTTCCTGACTCTGGGGCTCATCCAAATGGCCATACAAAACTTTTTCCGACAAAGTTAAAGGCCGGTTTAGTCTGAAATAAAGACAAAAATTATCTCAAATTTAATTTTTTATGATTTAAATCGTTTAAATATATGGTAGAATTTTACACCAAAATAAAATGCTTTTACATAAAAGTGATTAGTTTGATACCTAAATTTTTTTTAAAAACTTTAAATTATTTGATCAATTTAAAAGAAAAAAATGAAATACTGCACCCGCTGAAAAATTAAAGCTATCAAAATGCATAAGAGTTGTGAAACCAAATTACCTTTTCTTGACGATGTCCACGTTTTTCTGGAGCTTCTCATGGGGGAGAGGATCGTTGTCGAATTTGCTCATGGCCACCTTCTGGGCCGCAGAGGCCAGCGGGGACACGTGGAAGCATCGCCGCTGGATTTCAGGCGCCCAAGAGGACTGAGAAAGAAAACGATGAAAAATTTTTCCAAAAGAAGACGAGCAATATTTTTTGCACCCTTATTAATGCAGAATGGCAGAGATCAAGAGGCAAAAAATTATTCGCAACTGATAAGAGAAGAGTTTTCCAAAGATAACCTTTGGCGACCTTTACTCTTTGGGCTCTAATTATAGGGGGGCTAACGACTTCGGCAAATTTTTCAGAAGTGCGAAAAAGAGCGGTTCATTTTAGATCGTCTTTTACAGCGAAAATTAAGCCGAAATGCGCCGGATTTTGAATTGGGGCGAATGGAGTGCAAGTGGAGGACGGGTTTTTTTATAATTTTGTTCGGAATAACGGACCGATTGGCGTAAAATTTGGTCTCACCTGTCTAGACACAGCTCGCAAGCAGTTCGCCATTTCTGCGAGATTGCTCGAGAACTAAATCAGCCACCAGCCCCGCACCAGCCAGCCAAGAGGACGAATAGAGTTGGAAAATTCTTCGATCTGCGGACGCTACTGCCATCTCGCGCCCTATTCAAAATAGTCCATCGAGCTGCGGTCATGGCGCGAAACGAGAAGATTAAAATTTCTCTCTCATTAGACAGTGAGGAATTATTGTAAAATTGATGAAAAGGAATATTAGCTTCGAAAACTTTGTATTTTCAAACTTTTTACCTGATTTGGGAAAATTCTCTAATTGTTATAATAATTTGCTTAAATCTAAATGGTAAAAAATGTTTCTATATTGAAAGGTAACAATTTATGGGGGAGGGAGGATTTATTGCACAAAAAGGCAAAAGCACTATAAAAAGATTTTTGATAAAATTTCCACGGTCAAATAGACACACAATCCGCCGCATTAATGAGCCTCAGTTGGTTATGCTGAGAGTGAATGTATAAAAAATTTTACTTTATTTTGGCTCTAGCTCTCTATTTTTTGCATAGTTTTTGCTTTTTAAAGAAAATTTGCATATAAGCGGAAAAAATTTAAAAGAGATAAAAAGAAAAATCCTTACACTATTTTTCTTTTAAATTTAAAAGCATTGAACTTGTGCAGTCTTCCACAATATTTTATTGAAATTTTTAATTTTATAACCCAAGGATGATGGATGTGTCAATTCCTGGCTCCAGAAAATTTCAAGCATGTAAGTTTCGGCGTTATCAAATAATGAAGAAAAACACGTCAACGCTTTACGTCGACATCGATGGTAAAAATTTTATCTTTAATATTTTTGGACTGGGAATGAATTTAAATAAATCTCTCATGCTTAATATTTTTCTGGGGCTCCTTTAATTTTCCTAGCAAGAGTTATGATTCCTATAACTTTTTCCACCTTAGAATATAGAACACACTCGTTTTTTTTCTTATCAATTATTTTTTATTCGTTTTTACAAAAACGAAACTTCCGTCAAGTGGTATATTAAAAAGATAAAAAATCATCGCTCACCCCAGAAAATTTCAAGCGTTTAAATTTCGGCGTTATCAAGAAATAGTTTAAGTTGTTATTAACTTTTATGGCTACAAAATTTAACAATTGAAATAATTTATTTATTAAAAATTAAATTTTATTCTGCAAATTATAATATTATTAAATATTAATATGCGTTTAATTTAATACAAATTTTGGATCGGTCACGCAAGCACGCAGATTTTGCCAAATTTTTGTTGCTTATAAATTATAATTCATAAAAACTGAGGAAAACTGAAATTTAGTTTTCAGTATTTAATAATTAATGTGTTTATTTCCCAAAGTTCCTAATTTACATTCTACTACAATATTTAAAAAATATTTTTACACAATATCCAGAACAGTTAAAGGCCTATTTTATATTGCTGTGCAGCGCAAGAAACTTGTTCAGCACTTGGCAACGTAAGAGAAAAGAATGCCCAGCACATTCGATTTTCTTAAAATTAAAAAAAAAAAACTCTGTTTAACAGGAAACGTTCACAATGTGATAAGAAAAAATTTCCGCTCTCTTAAAAATTTAAAAGCATTTATGTGTCTTCCGGCATATTTATCAGCACGAAAAGGTCACGTCAGACTACGTGTGCCAAAAGTCGGCGGAATAAAAAAAAATCACTTTGTGTGTGTCTTTCGAACTGACTATATAAGTGACAACAATGGTCTTCAATAAAATATTTCTAGGAGGACTTCTTCTTACTCTTCTTTGCATTGTAAATAATTATTTGATAGCACATCGTTTTACAATCTTAACTCAATTTTGCAGGTCGAAGGAAGAGCAAAAGAAGACAAATTTTTGAAACAAACGCTATCGAAGGTACGTGGCGGCTTGCCAGAAAAAGAAATTGAACTTTTTAAAAAGGACCCGAAAAACAAGCCAACATTGGACTTCACGCCAACAGGCAAGAAAGCGCAACCTGGTAAATAAAATTGAACATTTCAAACAAAAATCGAGAAGAGGCACATTCTCTAACTTAGTCTCTGCAGAGTCAGCCGGCCGTTCCAAGTTCAATTCAAAGCCGCCGTCAAGCTTCATCATCGGCGGGGTCAGGGCATCCCTGAAGCAGTTCCCTTGGAACGTCTACCTGCGGATCGACAATACCTGGCTCTGCGGCGGCTCCCTCATTGCTGACAACGCCGTCCTCACCGCTGCTCACTGTGTAGACGAGTAAAAATTGATTTTTTTCTTAAAGAAATTTCATCTAAAACGTTTTGAATTTTAAGTTACTCGACATTTGAGGTGTCCGCCGGTGGCATTGACCGCAGCTTGCCAGAGACAAACGAACAGTTCCGCAACACCACCGACGTTGTTGTCCATCCTGAGTACAACAAAACCAATTTAATTAACAACATAGCCATCCTGTTGCTTGAAACTCCATTTGTTCTAAGTGAGATTTCAATTAACTTTAAAACTTTCCAAAAATCAATAAATAAAAGCGCTGCAAACATTTTTAATTTTTGTGTGTTTCCAGATGCCTATGTAAACGTTGCCCGTTTGCCCCGACAGGTAGATGCGAGCAGTACCTTTTCAGGCATTTCAACCCTGATCTCAGGGTATGGTACCACAACCAACTATGGTGATTTTTTCGAATTAATTTTGAATCATATAAGAAAGAGAGGTTAAAACAGGAGAGACCAGCCGTTTCCTAAACTTCGTCCGCCTCACCACGATCACCAACTCCAAATGCGCGAGTTACTATGGGTCACCTCCGATCGTGTCCTCAACCATCTGCACCGCCCCTGGAGCTAAAGCCACCTGCCGAGTAACTTCAATTTATAATTTTTTTTTTTTCTTAATATATTTTTTTTTATTTCATATTTTTGTCGACAGGGTGACGGAGGCAATGCGTTGGTGTACAAGGAGGCTGATGGGCTGTACACGGTGATCGGCGTGTCCTCCTTCACCTCGAACCCCTGCACCAGTTTGCCTTCTGGCTACACCAGGGTTGCTAGTTTCCTTGGCTTTATCTCAGATAACACCGACATAGCTATTCGTGCCTGAGTGATTTTTGCAGTTTTGCTCATAAAAGGGAAAAATTATTATGATCGCCCTTGAAAAAATTAAATATGAAAGCAATTTGCATTTAAAAAAAAGATTGAGTGTCACATCGAATAATAAAAATTTTAAGAAAATGCCCGGCGTTTCTTTTTTCTTTTCTTAGTCCTTTCCATAAGAATTCAACTACGTGAATTATTGCTGGAGCCCGCACCCGCAGCCGAAATATGTATAGAGCAGCAGTAGAGCATTATAATTATCACTGTTCATTGTTTTTCTTTCACAATAAACAATTTAAAAACTCAGAAAGTGGAGCGGACCTACCATGCGAATCAACCTTTGACAATGAAATTCTAAAAAGTAATTGATTTCGAGATAATTTTTTGTGCATTAAAAATTTCTAAGCAATTTTATTTGGATATCTTTTAAATATAAAAAAAAATAAACAATTAAATCTGTAATATCTGCTAAAACTGTCGAGTGTCAACTTGTAGAGTCGAAATAGAAAAAAAACGCGATCATAGAGAGCGCGAGTGAACGCGAGCCTCTTTGCCGCGAACAAATAGCGAAAGCGATTCCATTGGTCGAGATTTTTAAGCAAAAATATTCTGAAATAATTCCTATTGGCTGGTTCTTATCACTTTTCATATGTTTTTGTTTTGATCGTGCAGTGTTTGGTGTGGTGTTATAAAAAAAAAATATAATAATTGTCTTAAATCCAAGATCCAATGTCAAAAAGAAATATCAAAAAATTTCGATCAAGCGAGGCACCGCAAAGTTTTGGGCACAAAACTAAATGAAGAGACGTGCAGACGCAGACGGAGGTGCGGTGGACGATGGCACGAAATTGTCCCGGTCGAGATTTCGGCTGTCGGACGATTTCTTTGACCGGCCGTGTCAGGAAGTGGCGGTCGGTCTTTTGGGCCAGACGCTGGTGCGGCAACAGGAGGACGGCTCGCAGCTGCGGTGCCGCATCGTCGAGACCGAGTGTTACCTGGGGGTGGTGGACAAGGCCTGTCACACCTTCGGCGGACGAAGGACTGAAAAGAACGCGCCCATGTACATGAAGCCGGGCACATCATACGTTTACTTCACGTACGGGATGTACCACTGCTTCAACATCTCTAGCAAGGGTATAAATATGAAAATTAAAAAATAAAAATAAAACAAAAAAAGATAAATTACTAAATTTATATTAACTTCTTAAATATTTTTAAAGGTTTTATTTAATAATTTCCAATTATTGTTTAAAATCAACTAACACTGCCGTTCATATATTGCAGAGGAAGGGTCTGCGGTGCTTTTGAGAGCGGCTGAGCCTCTTGAGGGTGAGCAGACGATGCAGCAGCACCGCCGGGCTCACCTCAAGACCCCGAGGGACAAGGCGTGGAAGCAACATGAGCTGTGCAATGGCCCCTCTAAGCTGTGCATGTCCTTGGCCATCGAAAGATTCACCTGCAACGCTAAAGACCTGACCCAGTGGACAGGTTTGTGGCTCGAAGAGGCCGAGCGACCTGCGGAGGCCGTGGTTACCTCCACCAGGGTCGGAATTGACTCGGTCGAGAAGGAGTGGAGACTGAAGCCCCTCAGGTTCTACCTGCTTGGCAGCAAATCGGTCAGCAGGAGGGACAAAGAGCAAGAGGGAAAAATTACCTGAAAATTGTTTATCTAAACACGTAAAAATCTCAATATAAATGTTCAGATTCATTTTTATGACTTAAATTGAGATACATTTTTTTTACTTTAATTAAATTAGTGTAGTTATTTTACAATTGAACTTTTTTTATGAACAAAAATTAACAATCACAATACTTTTTATACTCGCTCTCGAGGTCTGAGCTGTTTGCGTTTTTCAACTCGAAGTTGTATTTGACGTTGCGGTAGCCCTTGCTTGTACGCTTCCACCTGAGACAACACCTGACCAGCTGTTTGATGCCCAAGAATAAAAGCAGAAGTCCTGTCAGTATGGCAGCGGCCCAGATGATGTGTCTTTGGTGCGCCTTTATACCCTGAAGGCCTTCGAAGAAGATCGAGTTGGGTCGCAGCTCCACTTCTGCTTCCTTTTCTGCTGTCTGGCGATTTCTGCATCCGCTCTTGTCCATTGCAAACTCCTTGCGCAGATCAGTTTCCAGTTGCTCGAAGGTGGTCTCTGAGAGCCACTCGGCCAACTCTGGGTAGTGCAGTTGGCGAAGGCGGCGAGTCAACAGCATCAGCACCTCCTGATGGCGCTCCCGTTTGTCCCACGCCACCAGCAGCTGGATGCATGGTGCCGTCGCAGGAAGTTTCAGCCCTAATTTGATAAAAAAAGGTTTATTCTTTTTAAATCAACTCAAAACATTGGCTTTTGTAAAATTGAAATTTAAAAAGTCAATTAGAATATCACACAGACCTTCCTGAAGGAGTCTGGGGTCCAGCTCAAAGTCGGCCGATCCGAGAGAGGCAACAAGTCGACGGCAGTCCGTCTGGCTGATGTGGTTGGCGATGTGCTGCAGCTGGGACAAATTGACATCTTGAAAGGCCCCGCAGCCCTCCAGCAGGAGGAACGGAATCAGGAATAAGATAACCATTATACCGAAATTCCAAAGACAAAGAGTGCAACAATGCGCCGATATAACAAAAGAAAAACTGATTTTTATTTCTTTTAAGGGCTCCTTATTGATAAAGTCCAATTGTCTTTACAACAATTGTGGTAGATATTTGCAATTGTTTTCCAATGATTGGCAAAAATGGATCATATTGTTGTAAACACTTTATTTGACTATGAAAATAAAGTGTCCTTAATTATTGGGGCAAAAGGGTTTGAAGTTCATTAATGTCAAGATTATGGTAATTCTTATAAAATAGTGTGTCATTAAGTTTATTATTTATTTACAATTAAATATATTTATATGCATATCAAAGCCGTTTAGAGTCAGGACCACATGAAAATTGGCAAATGCAGCAACAATAATCTGCAGAAAATTTAAAATTTTCACCGAGAGTAAAAACAATTTTTAATTTGGTACGTAATTCGGCAGATGAAAAATGAAAAATTATTGGTGGGTGTTCAATTTCTAGTAAATTTTTTTTTTTTTTTTTAAATTATAACATCCTTGAGATAAATAAGGGTCTTCATTTCAGAGCGTCCTGCAATTACAAGTAAAATTTGTGCAAAGCTATGTTTTACCCGCTAGTCTAAAAATTACATGTTTCTTTTGTAATAATAATACGCAGTTGTTGCGTTGCTGACCACACACTTGAGATGTTGCTTGGCATTGGAGCTGCACTCGGAGCAAAAGAGTAAATTACGTCAGGGCTCTCATCGCAGACCGAAATTAAAGAGTCAAGAGAGTTTGTCCTTCTTTAGACTGGTGCGTTTGCTAGCGATTGTTGGAAGCACTCACTGCTCAGTTAGTTCCTTTTTGATGACGGAGAAGGCGACTGTGAGTGTCTTGTCCCAAGCGTCTGCTGCCGACGGTGTCAACTTCTTGCCCAGTTTCTCGGACAGCACTTTCAGGGCGGCCACCTTCAGATCCTGAAGTAAAAGAGAAAAACGGTGTAATATTTAAAATTAAGAAGTGTAAAAATTTGCATTGAAAGTTCATTTCACTTTTGAAATTTTAGTTGTTTTTCTCCTATCTAAAATACTGAAATATTTGGAGCTGGCAAAATTTTTCATTTAGAGAATAACTACATATTGCATTAGGAAACTAAACAGGAAGCTAAAATTGCACTATTATTCAACTTTTGGATTTTTTGATAGTCACAAATAAGAGATGAAATATTTTTTTGCAAGGGCCTAAATTAGTCAGTTTTTAGATCGATGGCGATTATGAACAAGCAGCTTTATTTTCCCTTTGTCTTCCCTGAGAGCAAAAGAAGCGGCAGCAGCCTCCAAAGGGAAGCAAGAGAGCTCCTCCCGCATCGACAAACTCGAATAAGAGTCTCTCTCGTGCAGTGCACGCGAGCGGGCGGAAAAATTAATGGACTCTCTTTCGCAACTTGCTCAGCATGGCGTGCTTCAGTGCAATTTGTCGGCGGCACTTTTTGTGCCAGTTAAAATAAAAACTCCGAGGCTCGTTTTTTTTTCGCTGAAAATTTCGAAAAGCCTTTAGTTTATATTTTTTTTATTCAAATACGCTTTCATTCAAATCAAGGCCGTTTATTAATGTATTTTTCTAATTGAATATTCGAGGCGTGAAGTGCACGCAACGGACTGGAGCTCGGCTGGCGCCTCTCCAGAATACCAATTAGGTCGAATTCTTTGAGGCTGCTGCCAGAACACACCACTCCTGACGACGAGACCAGAGACGCTCCACCACGGGCCAATTAACTTTTGACGAGATAATTGCTCTACGTAATAACAGGCCGTGAGATGTGCAACCGCAACTCATTTTCATTTAAAAGCAGTTACGACGAAAGAAGCACCAATTTTGACCAAAAATGGCCAAGCCTAAAAATTGCCCAATTATAAATTGCAACATTTTGTGAATAAATTTTATATAGTTTCTTATACTTTTGGGCATGCGGGCTAAAAACAAACACTACAAAAATTTAGAATGTCCATTTAAAATATTTCGCAATGTTCCAAATTTCATGGAAAGAAACTCCAAAGAATGAAGTAAACAAATTATTATAATAAGATTGACGTTCGGGAATTAAATTAGTTTAATTAGTTAATCATGGTTCTCTCTCATGGTTTTATACTTATTGAAAATGAAAAAAATTATTACAAAGGCTTTACAGATTTTTAAAGTTCTAATCGAAAAGTAAATAATTCAGAAGAAAAAATTCGACTCTAATTTGATAGCACATAAACTGCTTAATTAAAGTTTGTATGTCTCCTTTAACGCTTATAAATAATAAGCATTGGCTCCTTTTGTCAACACGTACGCGGAATAGCAAACAATGCGCTCACTTCTTGAGACCTTCAAGGTTGTTAATTAATACATAAAATAATGCGTTTTAACTCACGTCGAAGGCTTGCGGAGGGACGTGGTGCCTGGCGTGCGAGTTGCCGATTTTGGCGCACAGCTCGACGAGCACCTCGGTGTCGTCCAGTCCGTCCACCAGGCCGGTGAGGCTGAACATGACGTTGCTGCAGTGCGCCGTGAACTTCTTGTTCTTCCGCAGATCTTCCACGCTTAAGTTCGCGAACGCGGGGAACAGCTTTTGGTGATGCGGGTACATCACGAAGAACCTGCCAGCCATCAATTACTTTAAATTCATTAAACGACGCGCTGTCAATTTAAATTCTTCAACACTTTGGTCACTGCCTTTAATAGACGGCATCTTCAATTGATATATAGGGGTGTAAATTAATAGACTTGAAGAGTGTTAGATCTAAATTTCAAAGAGAATAAATCAGATTTGTGTGGAGGTTGAGATATATCTGGATATATCTTTTCTTGCATTTTACTTATAGTTTAATAGTGTGTGTTTTTTTTATAAAATTAGTATGTAATTTTAAAAGCCATTTTAAAATAAATTGAAATTAAGGCTTAATATTCAATTTGTTTATGAAAATTGATGTTTATCATATTCGCCTTGGTATAGAGTTTGAATTGGAAATAAAATATAATATTCTTCGGCATGTAATATTAATTGTATAATTTATCTCTGGCTGAATTTAAAAAAAAAGGAAACAGAAAATTTCAAACCATAGTAATCTTTCGTTTTTTGTTTATTTTGAAATTACTTTGAATCAAAGTTTAAATAGGACACATTCTACAGTCGAAATAATCTTGGTATTAGGGATTAGAGAGGCTCAAGTCAGCAGAGCACAAAAGGAAGTGATATTAATTGGCACGTGTGTGTGGCCGTCCGTCTCGAGTGCACGGCAAACGCGCGGCGAGAAGTGGCGTGTCTGCTCTTTGCGCTCGGACTAACGAGGCCCTCTCGCTTTCCGATGCCGCCCGGAACATAATTATTCTTTTGGAACTACTCACGTGGTCAGCAGGTCGACGCCGACGGACTTGATGTTGGGCACCACCAGGGCCCACGTCGAGCGCACGTGGTTCTTCTGGCGGAGGGTGAGCCCCGTCGCGGGGTCCTCAACGTCCAGGTCCTTTTGACCCAGGCCCAGCATGCCCAGCAGCGAATCCAGCAGCCCGGCCATCTCTGCACCAAACTCTCCTCTTCTATTGAATAAAAAGTTTTTATTTTGATTCCTCAAATTCAAGCTAAAATATATTTCCTTTTTTTAATTATAATAACAAAGTATAGATTCCATTATTTTAAAACAGGAAATTTAGAAAACATTATTCAGCAAAATTCTAAATAACTGTGTTTATTGTTAAATTCTCTGCGCAGTTCTTTTTACAAGAACTTTGAATACTTCAAAACCGTCATGCTTTTCAAGGAATAGACAAAAGTTGTGATGTTTCACATCCAACGACGGTCACAGGCATTATTCTTTAAGAGAAATACTGCAAATTAATTTTACTGCCTTTTTTACGCTACGTCATCCATTAAGCGAGAAAAGTATGCAGCAATATTTTTTTTATTCATCTTGTGCAAGACTATTTATGTAGAACTTTTACCATAAAAAAAAACTGCATTGGAAATACGTTTTGACTTTTAACTGGAGAAAATATTCCAGAAAACTTGGGCATATAAAAGCAGAAAAAATTGCCATTTTGCTGTGACATTAATTTAATTCTTAATGCATTTGTAGTGTGGTATGTGGTATTATAAATTTACTCTGTTCCGTTTAACGAACCATCAAATTTCTCTGTGAAATATTTCACACAATAAATCACAGCTATAGGGATTTAGTTTGGCTGTCAAGATGTAATGCCATTTCATACTCCGTCGGCGAGCAGGTGTGTTCAATTCTTTATGCTTTTTTTTTTACAAAAAGGCAAACTTTTGTAAGCAGCTTTTCTCCTTTAAAACTGTTGAATTGGCGTCGGTGGCGGTTAGGGAGTGAATTTATGGCAGGTGAAATGTCGTAAATAATTTAGAACGTCGTGCACCTGCGGATTTCCCTCGGGACCATAATTTGCCTCCTCTAATCGTTCAAGAAATGTCTCTGAGGGGCGAGCCCCTGTTTTCCAGGTCATAGCAACTTTTTCGCGTGGCAAAAAGAAAATGACTTTTATTCGGCGTGAGACTGACTCACAGCGTGCGAGGGGCAAAAATGTAAAATAATAATGAGCTCTGCCTGTGTGGGAATTTTAGAATTTCGCCCGCGGCTCGAGCGGAAAATTGAGGCGTGAAATTAGCTGCCTCGACCCGCGACACCCTTGTTATGAACGAAAAAATTACTGACTTTTTACGGAAATGAATTTAAAAAAAAGTCGCAATCAAGTTGCACCTTTTCCGATGCGCGTGGAGGAATTCAAGCTTGGCGCTTATCTTATCGAGCACTTTGTTATTTCTTTAATCGCAGCCATCAAAACAATCCACACCAGGCAAACAGAGGAAATAAATTCTCTGAGCAATGTTTGACAAGTTTAATATTTTCTTACTCACGTCAACAGATTTATACTGCAAACATAACGCATTATGAAATATTAGGCAAGCAAATATGTATTAATTGCAAAAAAGTATTGCTTGCAAGTAAAATAAAATTATTCATCTTTTTTAGAAAAACAGGAAAAATGATGTACAGCGTTGTTTTTTAATTTTCCTTTGCTCCTACAAATAATATAGATAGAATTTTCAATTTTATCAACAGCGTTTGTTTTTAATCCATTTGCCTATCACAGATTATAAATATAGACTTAAAAAAAAAGCTCACTGGTGCGAAATTTAAATGAATATTTTCTTAATTAAAGACACAAATCCTAATTCGTCAATATAAAAATTAATATTTTGTTTTGATCTAGTCTATGAAAAATAAATTGAAGTTTTTTATAATTTACTCTTTCCAAACAGGACTTGGTTTAGAATTTAACTTATCCTATACTTAATAGTAAAATTGGTGTTTTTTAATAAATCAATTTAATTCTTCACGACGATGAACTTTTGACAAATAATGAGATTAAAAAAAATCACTGCCTCTTTAAATAAGAAATAATTAAAATGTGTCACAATTTGTGAGACCGTTACCTTGCGAAGGTTGGATAGGGTGTTGGGAGTCTCTCGAGTGTGTTTGCGGTTCGGCTGCGCTCTCGTGACTGCCGCGGCCGCCGGAGCCTGATAGATGGATGGACGAGTCCCCCGCCGCCGCCGCCGCAACCGCTCGTTTTTTAATGAAGGGCGAGAGTCAGTTTGGCGGAGTTGGGCCCGCAATATTGCATTACCAGCACACAATGCACATGCCAGCGTGCCAGAGACAGAAAGAGCTCTGCCCGCCACACACACACACACGACATGCCAGCAATCGAAAATTAGATCTGCCTCTCCATAGTGCTGTACATCGGCTCCCGCGCGCTTGATATCCGCTGCTCCTCTTTTTTCTTGTGCGTTAGAGCGGAGGATCAGAATTACACATCGATTGATTTGCACAAAGAGTTATTTCAATCATTCCAATATACCCTTGGAGACGGTCCGATGATGGTCTATGAAGGCGAGAGACCTTTTCCTAATGTTATACCAAACTAGGAAATAAGCTCTAAGACACTTTTTCTCTCCTTCGTCTGAAATGGAAATGAACAATTATATTTTTATTTTAAAATTTTTTATTTAGTTTAAAATGTTTTTGCAAAAAAAAATTGAAGCAAACTATTTTTGAAATTATTTTGCTGGAAAAATTTTACTTTTAAGTTTTAAGGGTAAAAAACTTCAATAAGTAATTGAAAATCCTTCTTTTAAATTCATTCGTTTCTTTTTTTAAAACTCAATTTACAAAATAATAAAGCATTTATTTTTTTTTTAATTTCACGTGTTCTAGTGCAAAGTAATTCTTTTTTGTTAATTTGTTAGTGTGAGTGTGTGTTTTTTTGTAATTTTTAGTGTAGAGTTGTGTCGTGTTTGCGTTGTTAATAATTATTATCTTTTTTGAATTCACAACGTCAGGGGAGTGTTCCTTTCTTAGATTAAAATAACTAAAACTTGTTATTAAATAAATTATTTTGTTTAAATTTGGCTTAGTTATTTGGAAGATGCATTTATGCACAAAACTTAAACCTCAAGGCCTTCTCTTGAGTGTAAAATTTTCTGCAACATAAAAATAAGGGAGGATTTTCACTGGAGTGAAGATTTATTTTAAAAGCTAATGTTTACAAAAACTCAAATAATTAAATATTAAATTATCAAAAAATCCTCAACAGATTGGAGAATTTCTAAGACTTTTATAATTGTATTACAGCCTCATTCAATTCAATGAATTTTGCTTTCAAAATTGAAGACTTGTAAGATATTTTAAATATCCTCCCATTCACTACATAAATTTCAAATCCCTAATCTGACAGCATCGTGTTGATGTTCGTGGAACACTTTAGAGCGCGCACCATTGCAGTCTGCGAGAGGCTCGAGGCGCATAAGGTTGAATTTCATCGGAACCGGCGCACTTGCGGGCGCACACGTCATTCAGATTTGGCGCGAGACACACATTCAATTTAAAGTTCTTATCTCACTTGTGTCATAAAAAAACGTCCCAAATACTGTTAAATCCATTCGACAAAATTACTCTTGATAAACAGATTTTTAATTTCTTCAAATTCAATTTTAAGCGTACGAATTCTTTTAATTTTGGCCCTGGACCAATTAAACAAGCACTATTGAACCTTATTGAACTTTGAGGCGGGGTGCTGATTCGTTGCGGAGCACGCCTGGCGTGAAAAATAAGATTTGTTTTCGCCGCGAGACGAGAGGGTTGCTGTCTCGGGATGGGAGGGGGGAGTGGCTAAACATAGGAGCGATGCACGTCATCGAGGTCCAAAAGATTGTGAATTTCCGAGGCGCGCCTTTCCTTTCTGCTCACTGCAACCCCCGCCGGCGGCCGAGATGGAGCGACCTGCCTTCTGGCGCATCCCCAGGAACAAGCCCGACCCTGACGACTACCCCGTCTTCAGCGTCAAGAAGAAGAACAGACACAACACGGTACAAACTCTTTTTTTACTCTCTTAACGAGCAAAAGAAGTTAAAAGCCTCGATTACATCTTTGGCAAGAACGTCAAAGTCAAGGCTGACACTTTCGATTTCGATCTGGCTTTTTCATTGCATTGAATTTTTTGAATGACGAAGTTAGTAATGCAGCTACTCTCATGGTAGTGATAAAGAAAGTCTTATTTTAAATTGCTTTTTATAACAAAAGCAAATTTTTCTGGGCTATCACGTTGCTGCCTGAATAGATGTTATTAAATATGTAAACAATTTTGTGTTATCAAGAACATATTTTCTCAGAACTTGCGGTTTAAAAATTGAAATAATGACAAGGCTGACTATTTTGCAGTATTTTTTACTAAGAAAATTGCAAATAAATCTAATTTGAGTGGTGAATGAAATTGAGTCGTGCCTACGAAAATAGGCGTGGGACTCACTCCCGCGAAGCGAGAGAGCGTTTTGCAACAATTAAGACCGCGGGCGCTGAGTCACAATTATTATTACGAGGGCAATTAGGACAGCGCAAAATGAATCGGACGAATTTAACTTGGCGGATTATTCAAATCGATCAGACGCCAAATTCGAGTTGGCCGCGGACGGAAATAGAGAGAGTGTTAAGAAAAAAAATAACACGAGGCGGGCTGAATGAACGAACCTCGGGACGGTTTGTCAATCATGCTGGCTGGGATTTCGCAACTCTGTAAACAACTCACGCGTCGAATCAACTTTATTGGCCGGAATCACTTCTTCGAACTCGCCAAAAGTTCAAAACAAAGATCATCGTGATTTGACAAACGGCACGAGGATAACGGATGGGTGAGACACCACCACCTGTTCAGACACCGAAAATAGAAAACATTTGTCGCCGACAATGTGTTCACAATCCTTATTTTCATGATAAGAGAGGCGAGTTGTCAAGTTATGCAACCGCGAGGGCAGCAGGGTCAAGCGGGTTGCTTACCCTTGATTCCTGCAGGCGTCAAAAATGTTTTGGTGCTTGAAAAAAAAAATCATAGAAAATTATATGAAATAACCTTTTATGTATGTACATTAAATTTTACATATTTTTGCCAGTCAATTTAGAATATTGCTGGTAAAATAAATTAAGTTTTGTGGCGTTATGACTGAAGATTTCATACAAAAAAAAAAATGCTTCTTATCTCAGCTGCATCATTATTTTGAAAGTTTTTTCTATTTTATTATGAATTAATATTGTTTTTCATTATTTACACTATTAATAATCAATATAGTCAATTTTATGAGGAACCTTAAAAGAACCACGATTTTTTAAATTTCAATACTGTGAAGTTAATTTTCGTTTCCTTTTAAAACTTCCGCAGCACTTCATTGAAAGCTAAATTTCCGCTGGCTTCAATCACTCGACGCAGGGTTCTAATAATCCTCCCACGTCCGACGGCGAAACAATAACTAATAATAACCCGCCGGCCGGGTCTGGAGCCCAAGGTGACCGCCCAGATCTCTTTCTTCTAGCATCATTAATAATTGATCTGGTGTTTGCGAAGCGAAAGTGTAAGCAAGTAGTGCTCGCTCGACTTTGTCTCGGTGAAAATAGACTCGGCCGAAGAGGGATAATTTATTTTTATGCTGAATTATTGCTTATTTGTGTGGACGAAAAACGGTTGCCTCATTGTAGAGACGCGCGTGGATAAAACACATGCGTCTAGCCAAAGTGCCCAACGACAAGCAAAACAAAAATTTCGTAACTAGACGCGCCGCTTTCGCGACTTCTCTTGGCTCTGAAAACAAAGTTCGTTTAAAGGGAAGAAGTATATTGCTTCTGGACTGAATAAAAACTGATACACAGTTTCAGACCGTTTCAATTCAAATACAGAGCAATTGGGCATTTCAATTGATTTTACAAGGTTTCCTGATTTAAATAATATTTTAATTTAAAACAGATTTATATACTTTATATACTTGCTTTAAGTTTTGAATATATTTTTGCAAATAACTTACATTATAACAGATAAAAGCAATGGGAGTCTTTTGAAGAAATAACGGTGCTAAATTTAAACTTGTATGATTAAAGAGTTTGAGATTGTTAAATCACTTGAACGGCTACATTTCTGAATTAAAGAACAACAAAATTAAAAAAAAATGTTCTTGGTAAGAGGAAGACATAAAATAATGAAGTATGACTTGGTCTTTTGAGATTTAAGTATGATGAAACGGCGTATTTTAAGTGAAATAAAAGATACATTACTGAATTGTGTCTGGTTGAAATTTCACTGCAAATTGGAATTAAATTGTAGCTTTAATTGAAAGGTAGAACCCGCATTACTGCATTTCTGTCTGAGACAAGCACAGTGTCCTCATTATAAAATTTAAATTAAATTAATGGGTGAATCGGGTGACTGAAAGTTTGAGATTTAATTATAAATTAAACTCCTCAAGCAGTGCTGAGTAGACGAAAAATAAAAATAAAATATAGAAAAAAGCAGGTGATTATTTATTTGCATTTGCAGCAGAATAACTGTTTATAAGAACCGCATTTGGGTTGAACCTTGGTGATACGCATTCACATCAGTCAACAGGCTTATTAACAGTTAACGCTGAAATGCTCCTCATTCCCACTTGAGATGGAAAAAGACATATCTTTGCGTGTTAAGAGAAAATATAAATGACTTGATATTTATTTACAAAATGTTAAATTTTAATTACGGAATAAATATTAACCTTGTATGATAAAAAAAATCTTCATTTATTAATTTTTGTGTAACAGTTTTTTTTATATAATATAAATTATTGGATATAGTAAAATTTACTACACCATTTATAATTCTTAAATCTTAAACAAACTATACGTGATGGAAATTTGTTTTTTATCTTGCGTTCAGTTTTTCCAAACTTTTTCTTTGCGGGTCAAGTGCAGGTGCATCTGTCCGTTGCAAGGGGTCCGCGCTAAGTGCTCCCTTTCGGAGGGGGGCGAGTGCGATCCCTAGCTTGCTGCGGCCCGAAATAGCCGTCAGCGAGCGGCCGGCGGTGGCGCGCGCGAAGAGAAGAAGTGGAGGCCGCGCTCACTCAGTCTCAGTGCTTTTTGATAGGCGAGTGCGTGCGTAGTGCGACTTGGTGCGAGCCAGCCATCGAGCGGCATGGCCAGCAGCGGCAGGCGATTCTCCAGCCCCAACCTGAAGCAGCAGAATGTGTCCGTCACCCTGGTGCGCGACGGCTTCGGCCAGCCGTGGGGCTTCCGACTGGCCGGCGGCGCCGACCTCGGCATGCCGCTCACCGTGCAGAGGGTGAGCCAAACGCCGCCCAGAACGCAAACACTGACCTCGCGCAACTCTCGCATTGCAACACTGCCTGTCGACATCACATCAACATTCGCACTCGGTTCTGATCAACCTGCCTTTCGACTGACATCAAATTTTTGCAAAGATAATTATTTTAATGAGTCAGATGGAAAAATATTAACTTAATTAGCAACTAAATCCTGCGAAATACAAAGTATTCTTTGTAGCGTTAAAAAAAATTAAAAGATTAAAAAAATGTTTTTAAAAAGATTTTTTTTTTTATTTTTTTTTTAATTATTAAAAATATTTTAGTTTGTGTACCAGGGTTACAAGGGTATGAAATTTATAAATATTAATTTAACGTCTCATGATATTACGCAGCAAAAATCACAGCTGATTTGTTGAAAAGGGAGACGCATCTTTGCAAGAAACATCCCCATTATTGCCATTGCCATTATCTTTGTCTAACAAAAACTAATATTATTTTGAGGCCCTATATAAATTTGTAAATTTTCAAAATTTTTATTGGACCTATTCCCTCACCTTCAAAACTATTTTGCTTATGTACCCATGCTTATAAATTTTTTCTGATAAGGTGACGTTATTCGCACTTTGAAATTATTAATTAAGTGCTTATAAAAAAGATAAAGTTTATCCAAATCGTACAACTTATTCAATTTTTTCACCGACGATTCTTGTGGGACACATAATAAATTATTTTTAATTTGATAATACAATAAAAGAAGAGATATAAAAAATTTTCAGCGCTGACAAACATTTCTGCTTAACGTAGCAAATAAATTAAATTAATTTGGGCGCAGCTATAACGTTTGCTATTAGGAGATCAGAGAAATCGTGTTTGGAGCGCGAGCGTGGCGCAACCACCACCCTATCTCATTTCTAGACTTTATGGTTTGCGACCAAACGCAATTAGGCGAGGCGCGAGAGGTTATTAAAATGGAAATAGGCCGCCAAGATTATCTATCTTTCCTCCATGTAAAAGCAGAGTGCATTATTTCTTCACTGATGATTTTGAAAATTTCACAGGCGCTGGCCGGCACCCCTTCCGAGGGCGAACTGAAACCCGGAGACATCATCACCAAAATCGGTGACCGCGACGCCCGCCACCTCAGCCACAAAGACGCGCAGCACCTCTTCAAAAACGCCGGCAACAACGTCACCCTCCAAGTCCAGAGGTAACATTTTCACTTGAACTTATTGAGACGCCCCCACTTTATCCGAGTGTTGATTTTTTCACTCGGTCGGGGTGACATAGTTGTGCCGACCAAAGAGTTTTGTCATGTTGAAAAACGAAATCGGCGTAATGATCGGCCGTGTTTTTGAAACAAAATGCCGCCGCGTCGCGCGAGAATCCGAGCAGGAATGCCCTTATTTATTGGATCAAGTCCAAGACTGAAGCATCTAGAGCGGCCGAGATGAGACACAAGCGCGCGATTATTCAACAACAGCTTTGTGAAATAATGAGAGCGCAACTTTCCTCGTTCCAAATGCTTTACTGCTTTCTCATATTTCGCAAATTGATAAAAGAATTTGAATAACAATGAAACTAAAATTTGATGTACTGAATGAAAATGTTTTAGATTAAAATCAGCCAAAAAAATTTACATGAAAAAATTATTGGATTTTTTTTAGTTGGAAACATCGCAGATTCCTTTCAAACGATTTAGTTAGAAATTTTAACAATGCGTGTTGGGCAAACAATAAGAAAATAATGTAACAGTGCAAATTTTCTATTGACATATTTAGCTAAACATGTCAATTTGGCATTCTCAGAGGAGGAGATCAGCCGAAACCCTTGGCCTCAGGACCCATTTCTCCCCCGTTGACCCTGTCCAAGCAAAGCCCAGTGACCAACGGAGGACACGCGTCGCCTGTGCCCATGAATAGACCCCTGCAAGTTCAGACTGCACTGCCGCCTGCGGCCATGGAGGTCTTCAGCCCTGGCCCTGTGGTGCCCGCCAGAGGTCCTCAGGGTCTCGCAGCGCTGACCTCGCCACCAGCCGGCGCCCCTCTGCCCAACAGTGGCAACTTCTCAAAGGTGACGCAAAACTTTTTCGAACATTTTGTGAGAATAAATTATTCAAATTTGCAGACAATCCAGAGTCCAGTGCACAACCTTCCAGTGACAACTTTCCCGCCTCCTCTGCCCGGTCTTGCCAACTCTCACTTTGGCCTTGAAGCACCGGAGTGCATTGACATGCAGGTCAGTTTGCAATTAAAAAAGTAGCTTTTTGCTTTGTGGCGGGGTGAGGGCGAAGTCCGTCCGCTATTTCAGGCTGATTGAATCACCGACACGCAATTTACGGCCCCTTGGTGACCGAGCGGCAAAGCATTCGACGCACTTGACACTCGCAACCTCTTCATTTCGCGCACTGTCAATTTTAATCAGAAACAAAAGCAACTAACGAGGCCCTTAAATGAACGTCAACTCCATTCCGCTCCATTCATAACAAAAATTTATAAAATTGATCAACTGTTAGATGGTTTTCAAGGAAAATAAATATAAATATTTTTTTATATTAAAAAATATTTTTCTCACAAGTGAAATTTTAAATTAAACTTTACTGAAGGCCATAGAAATATTCTTTGAGTTTCCGCTTTTGCAAGTTCGCTATTTGCAAAAATGTCGATCTGTTCCGAGAGATGGCTGGAGCGGTTGCTCCAAAAATCGCTGGTCCTCCAGAGCAGTTCGGCGAGCTGGCGCTGCGCCAATCGCACGTTCCTCCGACGCGGCGTACCCTACTGCTCACGCAAACCAAACTCGCGTCGTTCAGATTCAGACTCGGTCGCTTCGTAGAACAGAACACGTCGGGTGGTTAAATCTTTCGGACAGTGAGGAAATGCGAAACTAAATGGGGGTGGCCAGCAAGAGGTCGTTCAACTCATAAACACCCAAATGGCGTCTTTGGCACGATTATCAAATTGCAATGACCTTTTTCTTTCAATTAATATTTTGATTAAAAAATTAAATTCTGTTCGATTGCAAAGAAATGCAAAAACAGCAGCGCGGTTTCGAAGAAATAATACAGGCGACAAATTAGCCTTTTTAAAGCAGCAGTGTAGTTGGCATCAGTTGTTTTCGCACATTGTTTTGCTTTTAGAGAAGGCAATAGAGTATTGCAAAAGGATTGGTTTCTTACGTGGTTTTTAATATTGTGTATAAATTTATTAACAGGTTACGATCAAACAGATTTACTGTAAATTTTGTCAAAGAAATTCCTCTCTTACACTCTCTTACATAATTTACCAATTCTTTTGCACACAAAATATTGGCTTATAGACCAAACAAATTTGATCTGCTTTCAATCTGCTTTGCATTTTGCAAAGTAATTATAAATTTACTACCAGACGCGCAAATCCGTTTCAGAAGTGGCGAATCTGCTTCCAAGATCTTCAGTTTGATATTTTCGAGTGCTGCTCGTCAAGGGGCACAATATAATTCTGAAGCGAGCGTAGGCGGATTGCGACACAAAACGGCCAGCTGTTGGCTTTCAGGGGTCTCTGCTTTTGCGGCGCCTTCCAGACGATTGAGCAGGACGCGAATAAATAATGGCGACTCAAGCAAAAATTAATGAAAGTTTATCTCGAGAAGACTCTCTAGAATGTAAAAATAGAACGCACGACAAAGCAAGTTTTAAAACTGAAAACCGAATCGGAGAGTGGATTGCAAAAGGCTGGCCGATAATATAATATGTTGAGCAACGGGTGGAAAGGACGACACCCAACAGCGGCGTCCAGTTATGTGGCCGGCCGCGGTTTATTTTCGGTCTGGTGCGAACTTATAATATCTGCGCGGCGCGGCGCGCGCCAAATGGAGCAGCCACTCTGAAAAACCGACACGTTCCAGCATCTTCAATCAGTCCGTCGCGACCGCCCAGAAGAGACCGAAATTGTCACTTGCTCCGATGGCCGGAGTGCAGGCACGCAGGCATTCGCAGCCTATCAACAACAACCACCACCTCGCGCGCGACGACGCCGAAACGCTCCTCTGGGTGAGCCTGCAACTCTCCACATTTGTATCGTATTTCTCAAGTGCTAGGGATTTTTGGTTTATTATAGCAAAGGGGAAAATTCGAGAATTCTACTTTCCACTCGCAAACACCTGCCAAAAAATTATTAGACTCCGAAAGGAAATTGTTTATGGAAATTAATTACGCAAGAACGCAGTTGCGTCAGTCAGAAACTGGCAAGCGCCCCGTAATTAGGGCCAAATTTACTTAGCGCGACGTCACAAGCTTGAAACACAAATATGTTAGCTCAGATTAAATTAACGGCCCGCGAACTTTGGTTTTGCCAAATTTTAATTTAATCATTTTGGTTGGAACACGCAACTTTTAAATCTAGAGTTTTGATAAAAGTGTTTACACAAGTAATCAATAAATATTTACTGAAGTGCTCGGTCTGTTTTTTCGCCCCGTTTAAAATAAAATACATTTTGTTTTATAACTGTAAATTATATATTTTTCTTGCGACTTTTAACAGTTTTTTTTTTAGCAACAATTAATATTGCTACCAAAACTTGTGATTCACCTTTTTGGCAAACTAATTTCTTTCTTTTTTTAATTGCTTTTTTTTTCTTTTTAGATAGAACCGTTTTTGCGCCCAGTAAAAGTTAACAGTAAATTCATCAGAAAATTTAAAAATTACATCAAATTAACCCATTGTAATTTTAGAAACAGACAGCATTAGTCTTTTTAAAAATAAATTATATATAAAGTAAACATAAAATATTCAACAATTTCTTATTTCAACGCGCTTGAAATTTTCAATCAGAATTTTAATAATACTTGTAGGAAATCATTTAAACATTTCTGTACGCAAAACTTCTCATAATCTTTATGAACGATTTTTTAATTGGTAAAATTCTTCTTTATGCTTTGACCTTATAATAAAATAGATGCAAGTTTTCAAAAAAAAATTTCGAATTTTTTCCTTTTTAAAAAGGAATTTAAAAATTGAGGGTAGCAAGATTTTGGTTTCTTGTTTTCTTTCTTCGAAAATGAAAGTTTGACGCATAATTTATTTTCCTTTGGCCCACCCCGAACACGGTCGATTCATTTTCAAATGAAAGGGAAGTTTGCGTCCAGTTGCGGTGCTCCATGGAAGGCCATCAGAAATCGGATCAAGTCGCTTCGGACGAGAGAGAAAAGATTGGGCGAGAGAACGAACGGCTTCGCTCTCTCTTGAAACTGGCCACCGAAAATAGCACGTGGCCTGCTTCTTTTTCCTCGCACTTGCCCACGCCGGCCTGCCTGACGCCTCCCCCGACTTGTAATAACTTGAAAATAAAATTTTGTCTCGCCATTTTCTATCTACCCACGTCACGCAGGAAACAATTAATAAACACAATTTTCGGTTTATATTATATATTAAATTTGGAATTAAAAAGTAAAGCAGATCGCGCTTTTGGAGAAATTGAGGCCAACGGAGCAGAATTATTTCGTATTGATTTAGGGACGAAAGAGTTGGCCAACGGAATTAGCCCGCGTCACAAACACAAACACAGCATCAAAAGGAACGCGGCGGCAGATCGTTTGACGTGTGCCACATTCGGATTCGGGGCAAAATTGTGTAAAACAGGAATATACCCTCCTAAAAATTTCAAGTTGCCAAAATTTCAAACATGAAATTTGAGCAAGGTGGAACAAAATCTAAAAGCAGATTTTCTTTCAAAGTGAAATTAAAAAAAAAAAATCTTGAATCGCTCAATTTTTCGTTGTCTAGAAAAAAAGTGATAAATTTATTTAAGAATCCTTTGAATTTGTTTTAGCCGTACCGCACCACCCCACTGGTGTTGCCCGGCGCCAAAGTGAAGCGCGAGGTGCCAACGACCTCTTACCTGCAACACCACCCCAACCCTGCGATGAGAGCCAACCCACAGCACTACGACCCGAACCTTGAGGTTTTGATGAAACAAAAGGTTAGTTTGTTGCAAATTTTACATTTCTTTCTTTTGTTTTCCACCCGCAGCCGATTTTGGTTTTCTTTAATTCCCTCTTTAGCAGAAGATTAGTCTCCCGTTTTCTTTAAATACAAAAACTTTTGATCATTATTGTCGCTTCTGCACATACGATCTTTGTGCAACACAGGTGGCCGACACAGTTTTGGAGCGCGTGGCTGGTCCCGACGCCGCTAAGAAGGTATAAATTCAGTCCTGTGGTCACGGACGGAGCGTGTGTTTTTCTTTGTTTGCCCGGCGTGTATCCAAATACACAGCACATAATATACTCTCTGAAGAAGAATCAAACCATGATGCAGAACGACCATGGCTGTTTGTGTCTTGTACATACACAATACAAATCATACACATGTTTTCAAAGTTTGTTTGTACATGCACTTTCTAAATCATTGGCATGGTCTCAAATTCACATATTGGCAGCACTTGGAAGCAGTTCTGAAATAAATACCATTTTCTCACCCACAGCTTTGAGTGTTGTTTGCCGAAAGCGCTCCGTAAGGTTGAAAATATACGGAGCCGCTTTGAATTTCATCTCTCACAAATCTGATCTAACAAACAATTTTATAAAAAAAATTAAAAAAAAAATTAAATTTTCAGAATTTTTACTTTGAAGGCTCTTCAAACCGTCATACTTTTTTACCCATTTTGGACCATAATCAATTTGCCTGGCTTAATTTTAACGCCAAATAATTTTACTGGTGCTTGAATTGCAGGTGATGCACAAGCAGTTCAATTCGCCAATCGGCCTGTACTCAGAGGACAACATCGCTGACAGTGTGCAGGCGCAGACCGGAGTCACACCGTGAGTGTCATTTTAGTTTTTTTTTTCAACTCATATCCGAATCGCAAAACTGCTAGGCATCGATTTTTCGCACACATTCTACACTAAAAATTTACTTTACAAAAAAGCAGACACTACTACTCGCACACCTACCGACGAACCTTCTCAATGCCCAGACTGCCGAGAGGGCAGCCATGCACTAGGCTAGCAAGGCAAGTCGCGTCCTGAGACAGTAGATAGGCGAATGAAAATCAAGTTGCTTGATTCTTTGTAGTTTTGGGTACTCTTAAAGGCAGAGGCTATGCAATAGGAGGAGGAAAATGTGAAAATGAAAATAGCAAAAAATTTATTGAACATTTGAAAAGGGAAATGAAAATAATAAGATAAATTAATTTGAAGGCTCAATCGTTGCCGCACATTTAAAAAAGGCTACTGTAAAATTATAAATAACGAAATGATAACTTATTTTTATAGCCTTTAATGAGAGCTTTTTTGTTAAATACACGCAAGTCATCTGAAATTCTTATAGTTTTTATTTAAGCCTCCCATTATAGCTGAAGCCTGTTTTATATAAAAAGATTTTAAACGAATTTAAAAAAATTGCCTGATTTTTCAAGTTAGTATTTCTAAAACACTTGAGATTGACTTTATTAGTATAGAAAAGATTTTTCTTCCACAAAACACAACCTGCACACAATGATAAATAAAGTAATTTGAAATTAAAGTATCAAAGGACAGTGGTGCACGGCTAATCTCAGTATTTTCATTGACCTTTCCTTCCTGAAACAAAAGCAACAGCCGCCACCACCACCCCCAAAACACCAACCATCCTTCACCCGTCACTTTTGAGAGACAAATCAGTCGAATAATCACACAATCAACAAGGAGTAAGGTCATTAATTAAAGTTTTGACCTCCTCTTCCCCCCAATTTTTCTCTCTCTCTTCCAACTAACGCCTGACCAACGCTAAACAAAATGAAAAAAAAAAAAAATAACAAAAATTAGAAGCGCCTCGCTAACAGAATTAATCGAAACTGGAATTCACCTGTTGAACTCTCTGTCTGTGCCCCAACCCTCCGTGATCCGCCCCCCGTGTGCACAACCCCGCAGTTATAAGGGCAAGAAGACGCTGTACTATGACCCTGCCAAGTCGGAGACCTTCAAGGCGCTCAAGGACTCGGAACTCGGCGACACCGTCACTGAGGTGCCAGAGCCCATTCAGCCCAAGGTGTTCACCCCACAGAAGCACATCCAGCCACCACTCAACCAATTGCAGAGGGTACGATTTTTATTAAATGCAGTATGAGCAACTGTAAATTTTCTTAGATTATTCAAATTTTGTGTTGATGTTAAATTTTTCACATAAAAAATTTTAATTCAAATTCAAAACTTCTGAATTTTTCTTTTAATATTGTTAATAATAAAAAAAAGTACATAGCCACTTAGTAAGTTTCTTCCATTGCGTATTTTTGCAAGGTTGAAATATTTAAAATTTATATTTTTAACTTTAGTTCTGGGTCATACTAGATTCAGATTTTTTAATTTTGGTTCTTTTTTCTCACTTGTGTCTTGACGCTGTAAAAAGCTTTTCCAGTTTTAGAAATTCACCTTTTGATTGCTTGCCATTTCAGCAACAACAGGCAAAATCTCCTCATCCTCAGCCAGTAAGTGAATTTGAAATCAATTGGTTTAATTTTCAAAATTCAAATTTTTTTGTTTCTTCAAAATTTAGATATAGCATCCTCTTCATCTACAATGTGTATAAGGGCTTCAAATTTTAATTTCCATTTCAGGAGAATTTGCTGGGAGACGACAAGATCCACCAGAGCTACTCGTTCAGACGCCTCATGAATGAGGTCCTTGGGGAAAGCGACTTTTAAAAGGCAACGATGTCTATAAGCTGGTATTAATTAATTAATTAATCTACCTATTTCGCCGCAAAAATCATCGCAAAAAGATGAATTTGAATATTGCTATTTTTATGAAATGAAAAATTGTTAATACTGATATGTAAAAAGAGAACACTCGATTGGAGAGTAATAATTTATGTTACGGAGAATTTCTGAATTAAATTATATTGCAAATATGTTACTATATTTAATTAACCCTAAGGTAAATAAGAGCCACTAAGTGAGAGTAGCTAGCTGTTGCGTAAATATTCTATACACTTTAAAATGATGCTGGATGTCTTTTGTGCATAAATGCGAATCTTATTGCCCGAATTGAAATTAAGTTATACAAGAGTTTGCAAAATAAAGAATGAATTTCGAATCACAACTGATTATTCCTTTAAATGTCTACCTTCATCAGAGATAAAGTTCATTGAGGGAGCGGCCAATCACAAGTCGGCGGACTTCACTCGTTCCGCCGCCAATTTCGTACAGCTTGGCGTCGCGCAGGTATCGCACCGTCCGACCAATATCACCTTTTGTCCCAAATTTTTAGAGTGCATGCAAAGGAATAAGGTGGTACTCACCAACACACTGGATGGCCTGAAGGGCAAGTTGGGTGGCTTGCTCGGAGCAGTGCAAGGCCACCGAGGCGCATTCTCTGCGGCTGACGCTGCCCTGGTCACAAGCCCTGGCTACAGAGTAAAGGTATGACCTGGAGGCCGACAGAGTGGTGAACATGTCGGCCTTTTTGGCCTGTAGCAGTAGGTCCTCAGAGGGTTGTTGGAAGGCGGCGTCGCAGCATGCTTGCATCACGCCAACTGGCGCTGCGGCAAAAACAACCCGCTCTAGATCGACACCACCAAAAAGCACATAGATGCCCTTGTTTTCTCCGCCCAGAATGTTTTTTACTGAAATAATATTTTCAAAGCAAATTGAAAAAATTCTTATTTGAAAATATACCTGGGACTTTGCAGTTGTCAAAAATCAGCTCGCCAGTATTGGAGCCACGGATGCCAAGTTTATCCAGTTTCTTGCCATTAGTAAAACCCTCCATGCCCCTTTCGATAAGAAAGGCTGTCACTCCATGCTGAGGTTTGGCAGCGTTTGGATTTGATTTCGCAAAAACCTAAATAAATTCGTAATGTTTTTATATGTCTGTCCCAAAGCGTGAGAAATAAACGTATCAATTGGAAAAAACTATTATAGTTCTTACCACAAGTGTATCTGCATCTGGTCCGTTGGTGATCCAAAACTTTGTCCCATTCAAGACAAAGTAGTCACCCTTCTTCTCAGCTCTCAGTCGCATCGAAACAACGTCAGACCCAGCCTCTGGTTCCGACATAGCCATGGCTCCCATGTGTTCACCGGAACACAGCTATACACAAGATAAAATAATCAATGAGTAAGTTTAAATTCAGTAAGCCTCATTTTTTCTTACTTTCGGCAAAAATTGTTCCTTTTGCTTATCAGTGCAGTGTTTGTTGATAGCACTGACACAAAGGTTGGAGTGGGCGCCATAGCTCAAAGAAATTCCTCCTGACACTCTGGCCATTTCCTCCATAACAATGCAATGCTCTAAAACAGAGCAATCTGAGCCACCATATTTGCTTGAAGCCGTGATGCCCAGCAAGCCTAGTTTTCCAAGCTTCTTCCAAAATTCCTAAATTCAAACTATTGTTAGAATAATTTAATGCTTTGAGAAATATAAAAAGTACCCGCAATTCTGGAAAGTCACTTTTCTCATCAATGGCATCAGCTTTAGGCGCTAGTTCTTCTTGCAGAAAATTAAAAACAGTTTGGCGAAGCTATATATGTAATTGAAACTAAAAATGTTGTTGTTAAAATTTTTTAGTACCTGTTGCTGCTTTATTGAGAGACCAAAAACTTTCTCATCTATTGGGGAGAAGTTGGAAAAGCATCTTTTAAGGTTAAGGGTAAATCTGCATCTGACAACAAATGCTACTCTAATATTTTTTGTTGCTAAAAACATTGCAAACATCTGACTAGATGCTAAATATGTTTGGTAAGATTTGAACTGTTTGAACTATTGATGCCAGTACTCTCGAGATAACTTATCTTGCAGATTGGAACTTTGATATGCTAAAAATAATGCATGGTTTAAACAGAGCTGCACTTTATTTTAAAAATATTTTTGTATAACGCCATTTTAAAAAATATATTTTTTCTATTATAGTGTTTTTGAGCAAAGCTCTTTACTCTTGATTTATTATAGTGATCCTGAGAGTAAAATAGAGTGTAGGAGTATGATAATATCGATAATATGGCAGATTGGATCACAGAATTCATTTTCAGTATTGTCGGATTACTTCGTCACTCCAATAACTCTCTACCTTAGCGATTTCAGGCAAGAAATATCAGGCACTTTTTCATTTGTACAACTCGTTGAGAGAGCGGCCAATGACTAAGCGACGCACCTCACTTGTTCCAGCTCCAATTTCATACAATTTGGCATCCCGCAAGTACCTCCCAGTTGGGTAGTCATTTATGTAGCCATTTCCACCTGATAGAATAGATATGAAGAATATGAATAGATAACAAAAAATTTGGAAGTAGATCAAAAATAGAAAGTTAATTTAGGAGTCACAAATTTCTTATAATTCATGATAGCTGTTTGCAATTTTTAAGGTAAAATGTGGCAAGACCGTCCAAGATCATTAGAGGTCGTTCGAGGCCGTGAAACAACCATTTCCCCTAAATACTTTGTTGTGTAAAAGAATACGAGGTCGTTTGGGACTGTTGTTTTTGATAAGGGTACAAATTATTTTGTAATTGTTTTTTGGCCCTTTTAGAATGAATAGCCAAAGTGTTTTATTCCTTTTGCAGTTTTCTGGGGTTTTATTTTCATAGTAAAAAAGACGATCATCTTACCAAGACACTGGATGGCTTGGAGCGCAACCTGAGTGGCTTGTTCGGCACAGAAGAGAATGACGGAGGCGCAGTCACGTCGGCTGACGCTACCCCCGTCGCAAGCCCTGGCCACATTGTACATGTAGGACCTCGAAACCGACAGGGAGGTGAACATGTCGGCAATCTTGGCTTGCATCAACTGGAACTCGCCGATGCGCTGACCAAACTGCTTGCGCTGGTGAACATACTCAAAGGCCGTATCACAGCTTGCCTGCATCAGGCCCACTGGGCCAGCGGCCAACACCAAACGCTCCAAGTCCAATCCACTGAACAACACATAGATGCCCTTGTTCTCTTCTCCCAATATATTTTTTGCTATTGATGATGAATTGATAATGATATGAAATGAATGTAGTAAATTAAAACAAAATACCGTACCAGGGACTTTGCAGTTTTCAAAAATGAGCTCGCCAGTACTTGAGCCACGAATTCCCAACTTATCCAACTTTTGGGCTGTGCTGAATCCCTCAGTGCCTCTTTCAACAATGAAGGCTGTAATTCCATGCTGTGGTTTGGAAGCATTGGGATTTGTTCTTGCATAAACCTAAAATAGAAGAAAAATAAACTTATAACATAATGTAATGAGTCTTATTTGAAAATAAAGTTTAAAAAAATTTACCACAAGAGTGTCAGCATCAGGGCCATTAGTGATCCAGAATTTATTTCCGTTTAGCAAATAGTAGTCCCCTTTCTTTTCTGCCTTCAGTTTCATCGAAACAACATCAGACCCTGCTCCCGGTTCTGACATAGCAAGTGCACCAATGTGCTCACCAGAACACAGCTATGAATAAAAAATTTCTCTTGGTTAATATCAAGGCATCAATTTATTTTAAAAAAATTGTAAATACATGCATGAAAAAGAAAAATAAATTACAAAGGAATTTTTTCGGAAAATACATAATTTCATAATTTATATTAGAGAAAGTTACCTTTGGAAGGTATTTACTCTTTTGTTCATGGGTTCCATTGCGATTGATCTGGTTAATACACAAGTTTGAATGAGCACCATAGCTCAAGGCTATTCCTCCAGCCGCCCTAGAAATTTCCTCCATGATGATGCAGTGGTCCAGGTAAGAGCCATCAGAACCTCCATATTCGCTTGAAGCTGTAATGCCTAAGGTACCTAGGCTTCCTAACTTTTTCCAGAATTCCTATCAATCAAAATATAATTATTTACGAGTGTAAAAATAAAAAAAATAAAATATTGACCCTCAATTCAGGAAAGTTGTTTGTTCTATCGATCTCAGCAGCCTTAGGCGCCAGTTCCTTCTGTACAAAGTTGAACACCGTCTGCCGCAACTGGGTAAAAACCATGCCAGTCTCAACACTGGAGTAAAAGAGGTGGACAGATATCATACCTGTTGCTGCTCTTCAGTGAGTCCAAAGATTTTCTCATCAATAGGAAAGTACTGGGAGCTCTTCCTGCTCTGCAAGACACTGACGCCAGGGATGACATTGCACCTCAAGAGAGTATGAGGGCACTTACGGGACAGCAGTCGAATAGCAGACATGGTGCGCAACAAATGAACAAATCACCTAAAAATTAAATAATTGAGGCTGCAGCAGTCTTCAAAGAAAAATATGGAGTGGGGGTAAGCATGGCGACGATTTTTACTTTTGGAGGGAACTTACCCAATAGTTTAAAAAATACACTTTATGTATGGATGTAGAATAATTCATCGTAATTTTCCTTAGCAATGAAACAATTTTCAGTACAGAATAATTAGTACAATCTATTCTGTCCTCAACATCAATGATGCTTCAGGTTAAAATTTAAATCATCTAGAAATTATACGCTGTTTTCCTTTGTCATTTTGTACATCATCACTTATTGTACTTTAATACTCTCATGTTAGTATAGCAGAAGAACTTTGTGCTTACAAGCACATCACAATTGACATTTTAAACATCTATCAGGGAAATAAAAAATGAAGGCGCATTAGAAAAAAAAGCGAAACTAGAAGAATATATCAGGCAGCTTAGCCTAGTAGCTGAATGTTATAAATAATTAATAAATGCAATGTTGTGGAATAAGATGGTAATGGTAAGTTTTTAGTCTGCAACCGCAGGCAAGCTGCCCTTGTCCAAGTCGTTGAAGAAGGGGTGGGTGACTGCATCTTTGGCAGACAATCGCTCAACAGGGTTGTAGATGAGCATTTTCTGATAAAATTCAAAGATTAAAAAATATCTTCTCCTATTAGCACTTATTTTACCTGCAACAGATCCAGGCCATGGGCATTTATAGTAGGCACATGCTTTCCCAACGTGTTTTGGTTCCACTGAGGGAAACTAGGTTTGTAGTCAGGAAGTTCGCCTACGCCAGGCCAAATGTCTTCGTTGGGTGTCTTCAGGATGCTGAAACATATATATTATATTTTAACACAATGAAAGCTTGACCGGATAAATCATTGTTAAAGAAAAGAAAAAATAATAATAAACAATCTTTCAATGATATACTTTTACCATTTCTACACAATCAGATGAATTCATTAAAGTGTTGAAAGCAGTAAAATGAAATAAGAAAATATATAAGATTTTTTCACTCTGACAACATAAATTTGGGATTTTTCTAATAAAAATTTAGTTCATTAATACTTAGCACATCAAAATTCTCACCGGAAAATGCGGAAAAGTTGGTCAATCTCAGAGTCACCCTGGAAAAGGGGCTTCTTGTTGGCCATTTCGGCAAAGATGCAGGCAATGGACCATATGTCCACAGGACAGGAGTAACGGCTTGAGCCGAGCAGGATTTCAGGAGCACGGTACCAAAGGGTGACCACCTAATCACAAGACGGCATGTAACATAATTCCTTAAAAAGAGGCCATTGGTACCTCATGAGTATAAGCTCGGACAGGAACTCCAAAGGCACGGCCAAGTCCAAAGTCTGCAATTTTAATGATACGTCCAGTCTCGTTGACAAGCAGGTTCTGAGGCTTCAAATCACGGTGGAGAACTCTGCGCTTGTGGCAGAAGAGAATTGCCAGGGTAATCTATTGAGTTAAAATTTAAAATTAATTTATTTTTAATTTTTATAGTAGTTTGAAGTAGCTGTTTAACTGTGAAATTAAAAATAAATAGATTATGAATTAAGTTTTTTTATTGCTCATAATAAAAAAATGATTTCTTTTGATAATAATTTAAGGCTTAATAAATATGAAAAATTTACCTGGTAAAGGAAAGACTTGATTGTTTCTGCAGGCATCGTTGATTTGCCCAGAGAGTCCATGTACTTGCGCAGGTCCATGCTCATGTGCTCAAACACAAGGTACAACTTGGATTCTTCCATGAGAACATCATGCAGCCTGTGAATTTAATCGTCCAACGAGTTGAAACTTTTTACAAGCAGAATATTCCAGAAACATACATAATTATGTATGACACTTTAAAATAAAATTATTCAACTATGTAAAAGTGGGGATGCGTGTTAATTAAATATTATGTACAAAAAAATTGTGCGTACGAGACAACGTTGGGATGGGCAAGTTCCTTCAGCAAAGAAATCTCGCGGATGGCAGTGGCAGGAATGCCTTCTTCCTCCTCAGCACGGATTTTCTTCATCGCCACGATCTCATCCGTTTTGATGTTGCGAGCTTTGTACACAACACCGTATGTCCCTGTGACAAAATGTGAAAATCATGCAAATTTCGAGCATCCACGTCAAAAAACAAACCTTCTCCCAGCTTTTCAAGTCGCACAAATTCATTCATTTTCGACATCAGGAATCAGGGAGTTAACGATGACGTTCAACAATGCAACGATTGAGATTCTCAGCAGGAGGATTTAGGATGGATTGACATACAGGTCAGGACCTGAGAGAAAGGTTAAAAAAGCGTGACCTCACAATTTTTCGCGTGTGCTGGTCAAAGTCAATGTCGGCGCAAATGAGCCCTGCGATCAGCGTCCAGCGATCAGCTTGTTGCGCCCGCTTAAACTACTGCACACCGTTTACTGCGCACCACTTGTAAACAGACTCCGGCCTTCTGATTGGTTCAGCATCTAATCTCAAACGCGGGAGCTTTAAAATTTCCATAAATTGAGGAAAAACATCTTGCTTGATTCGGTTGTGTCGGTCTGAATTCTGCATTCAAATTTAATTTTTATTTTGAGTGATTTTGAGCTACGTATAAACAATAAATTAAGATTATTTCGGAATAAGGTATGCTATGCTTCTAATTTTTAGTTCAATCTAATCTTATGCAATTAATTTGCAAAAATGATTTACAATTTTTGGCACATTTATTTTAGTTAGTGAACAAAAATGGAAGTTCTTGCAAGGAAATTGGGTTTTAATGAGGTGGTGATGAACAAGGCTAGAGAATTGGAGCGTCTTCTGGAAACTAAAAACTCAAACACAAACCGGATTGATGCGTCGCTGAAGGGTGTCGTCTGCCTTCATATTGCAGCCGACATGAAAGGTGTCAAAATTGATAAGGTTTGTATGTGCAGAAGATGGATATTTTGTTGCGTAAAATTTAATGTTTTGATGTCTCGCCAAATTTTCATAATTTACTCTTGTATTATATTAATTTTTTTTTAAATGTCATAGGACCTTGCTTCGAAGCTGTCCGGAACGAGCAAAAAAAAGTATAGGACTCAATTGTATACTTTTGAGAATATGCTGCAGTTACAAAAGGTAAATTCAATAAAGGACATGTGTCTCAAGCTGGGTTTGGCTGAGCTTTCAAACGAGGCTACCACTTTGATGACAAAGTTTGATCAGACGCAGGAAGATGAAGAAGTGAATCTGCCAATGTACTTCGCAGGCGCAATTTGGGTTGTGGCTAAGTAAATATTCAATTTTCTCATATTCATAACAATTTAAATTAAAAAAATTATTAATATCAGGTCAAGGAAAGTGTCAATTGAGAAGACAAAAATCCTCGAGTTGGCCAGAACGGGTAATTTGCCCACATTTGAGGCTGTGGTGACAATGATGAAGAAGCTCCATGATACTAACAGCCTCCTCAGCAGTACCAAAAAGCCGAAAAGAAAACATGCATACCAAGAAATCATAGACAATATAAATGAAAAAAATGCTCAAGGTTACTTAATTAATATAATTTAAAATTATAGGTAGCCTAATAAAAATAATTATAATAATTGCAGAAGAATATAATATGTCTGAAGACGATGGTAGCGATGATGAAGAGTATGAAGTGTGGCGCGAAAGAATGATAAACATGGCCCGTGAGGAAATCAAGCTTGCTTCCAAGAAAGCAAAATATGAAGCAGGCAAAAAATAGAAATTAATCGTGTTGACTGATGTGTACTGAACATAATGATCATTAAGTTGTGGATTTTAAGAAACTTTAAATTTATTATTTCAGCATGTGCAACTTGTGTATAACTTTTTTCTGAAAACTTCATAATTGTAACTTTATATTGCTTGTGCGTAAAGCTGTTTGAATTAGCAAGCACTGGAATGATAATGATTTTCAATTAAACAACTTTTTATTACACAGGTACGTGGCACTCTCCCAAGAAAGATAAAAACTTAACAGCTAAATCTGTGCGATTCATCTCACTATAATTTTTAAGTCGTCAAAGATTATTTGATTTTACGGCTCCCCGTACAAATGACAGCAAATCTGCGCCCTCAGCTTAATGTTGGGAACATAGGCAGTGTTAGTCATGTCCAGGTTGGTCATCGGGCTGCTCACTTTGCCACTGAGGAACCATTCGTCAATTGCGGCTCTTTGTAGCAAAATCCGTCTACAGAGAAATCAAGCATAAAAAATATTTTATTTGTAAAAGCAGGTTTCTAATTTTAAGGCTCACCGGCACAAATAATAAGTTCTCTAAAGATCTCCTGGGCAATGGGACACAAAAGTTCGTGAGGCATGTTTGAAATATCTTCGATACTGCCCACATTCTCATGTTTCAGCCAAAACAGCTGCTTTTCCAGCTCCCTCAAATGTGCTTCGCCGTCTAATTTTTTTTTTTTTTTTTTAAGTAATTTATTATTTAAAATATTTCAAAAAACCAACCTAGTTCAAAAACACTAGCCAGAGTTTGGATAGTAGAGTTCAAAATGTCGTTGCCAGTCAGATGTTGATAGCGTAAGTAAGGAATTTGTGGCAAGTCGACCCATGTCAGCCACTGAGTAATATCTTTGCTCGTTCAGTCCTCAACCTTCGTAATGTAAACAAGACTTTAGCTTAAATAAGGTTAAGACTGGTTAATTTAATAATTTCAAGTGGTTATAATTTAAGATTTTAATTACGGTTATAATACGAGATAATAATTTCGTAGCAATAATTACTCCAAGATGAATTTGTCTACCGAACAAAAAAAACAACAATTTTTTCATATGATTAAAATAATTTACAATATTACTTGTGTTACTGGGCACAGGACTGAAGTCAGCAGCAGTGATCCCCATGTCATGGGCTCCATCCTGAGTGGCCAGCAGGGTGCCATCGTCAATGTCATGGATATGCAAAATACCCTGTGAGCATCCTGATGCAACAAAACTAGAATCAGGCGATACAGACAGTGCCTGCACGGTCTCCTCATGCGCTTTGATTGTCCTTTTAGGAACAGATAATTTTAAAATTGAGTAAATAAGATTCACGATGAATTATCTTGCTGTACCTGACTAGAGATCGGTGAGCCAAGTTCCAGAAGCAGACAGTTCCATCGTCCCCTCCAGTGACCAGCTGTGTTGAGTCCGGTGTGAACCGACACACCCTTACTGCATTGCCACTTGGCTGAACAAAGTGGTGGATTTTGCAGCCAGTCTGTTGAGTTTAATGAAGATAGTTTTATTGACTGCAGTTAAGTTAAAATAAATTAAAGCTAAAAAAACTGCCAATTAATTTTAACTAATTATCCGATTGATTGGGATAAAAAGATCTTGTATAGATACAATTTTTTAGGGGTTTAATTTAATTATATTAACCCTGATATTCCATAGGACAGTGCACCCGTCGATGGATGAAGTTGCCAGCATAGTTCCCTGAGGAGAAAAGCGAGCGTCCGTGACCCCGTAAGTGTGGTGACCAATTGGGGAAAAAGCCACCTCTCGATATCCATGCCCTGGTGACCATTCCCATGCTCGCACCGACTTGTCACTTTAACAATAAATCAAATCTTAGGTAATTTATTGTCTCTTTAAAATGAAGATTTAAATTGGCACCTAGAACCGGAGGTGAGGGTGAAGTTTTTGCCAAAATCGCAGCAAGTGACATCGCTCAAAAATGCGACCTGATCGTCTGCATCGCCAAAGACACCGCAGCCATGTTTCCTTTCCTCTTTCCTCACATTATTCCTATCAAAGATTAGATTAATTTCCACTCTCTCACGCCAATCGATTGCCAACCTTATCTGATCTATAATTTATGCACAAATCGTGAAGGCGAAATTGTATGGAATCTTCAATGTTTACGTTCGTGACAGAACGAACGTGAACTCTAACGAGAACAACAACGATTTGCCATTAATGGCGCCGATTGGCTGGCGACAAAATCATTTGGCCAATCAAGAATGACTTTGTCGAAAAATAGCTGAGCGGCGCGATATACAGGGTATATTATCCTCACACGCGAAAGCAACCGCGAAAGTTTGGAATTCAAAAGAAACTGAAGAAAGTATGCTTGTGCTTCCCACCGCTAGGTGGTGGACCCCCAACTGCAGATGTAGACGAGTGGCGCGTTGTGGAAAACAAGCTGTCATTTGAAAACGGCTGAATATTTTTTAATGAAATTTGGATTCCAGAGTTAAAATTGAATTTTCAATCGATTGGCTATCCTGATAAAAATCTAAAAAAAAATTTTACATTTTTACCATATTTTGACTTAGAGCCTTCTTTAGGTAAGTCTAATAAATTCTGAAGAAAAGAATTTGATATATCATCTCGTTTTCGAAACAGATGCGGTTTTATTCGTTTTTGCTTGAGCGAGTTCTTGAGAGTTGAGGGGCGTTCTGAAGTCCTAGAAGAACCATGATTTGATTGCTTGCCAGATTTTCACAGCGGTGGCCAAAGCCAAGAGTCCTCTCGATACCCACGCAAGCCAAATCCTCCTCCTTTTTCATCTCTGGAAAAAAATTTGATTGGAATAATTTTTAATTGATACGTCCGGGCGGTCTCTCTTAAACCCGAACACACTTCTCTAGACTCTGGACACTGTCCCAGAGTGCTCAGGTCAACTCAAAACCCTCTCAGGGTGCTCTCAGGGTTCACAACACAAAATCACACACTCTCAAGTGGGAAGCAAGAGATCAGAACCAACAAGATCAGAACTAACTTTTATTAGCGTAAGGGTTGCCAACATCATAGACTTTACTGCCAACCTAACATTAATAAATTTTTATTCTTACCTCCTCCGTTCCGTGTACACATCACAACTGTGCAAGTGTGCAGGCGGCCAAGATCACCTGGCAGATCAGCCCTATCCATCGGTCCAAGCCTCCGCCTCCGCCACCGACGTTAACATTAACACGGACGTTGCATGTTAATGTTTATGAGCCCATTGAAGTTAACCGCCGGTGGCGGAGGAGCCTCGTGGTGTGCAGGTTGAGGCGGAGGCTGGACGGGGACCGCGGGCTGCTGGACGGGGACCGCGGGCTGCTGGACGGGGACCGCCGGCTGCATGACGGGGACGGGCGGCGCCGACACTGGCTTTCTGCGGGCCCTTCCGCGGGTTCTCAGGGCAGGGCCTTCATTTGCCATGTTTCCGTTTGAATTTTGACAGTTAAATGTGCTGATTAAAATATTAATTCTTGTTGTTCGATTGTTGCTTTTGAAAAAACGGCTTTGTTATATGGATATTGCAACAGACGGGAAAGTGGATTGGAAAAGGTCAATTAAAATCCAATTGTTGCCTGCATAGAAATTTACATTGATCATATATGGTGGAAGGCAAAACTGTGTTTTTTTTTCAATGCTCACTTTTTCCCATATATAAGGGAATTTCATCGAGTTTTTTTGAGCTCTGAAGCCACTTATTCAAATTCAGAATAATTTTTATTTCATTATATATATATTCAGCAGATGGATATTTTGTTGCGTAAAATATTTTTATGTCTCAACAAATTTTCTTAATTTTACTCTTGTATTGTATTAAATTTTTTAAAAATTTCATAGGACCTTGCTTCGATGCTGTCAGGTACGAGCAAAAAAAAGTATAGGACTCAATTGTATAGTTTTGAGAATATGCTGCAGTTACAAAAAGTAAATTCAATAAAGGACATGTGTCTCAAGCTGGGTTTGGCTGAGCTTTCAAACGAGGCTACAAATTTGATGACAAAGTTTGATCAGACGCAGGAAGATGAAGAAGTGAATCAGCCAATATACTTCACAGGCGCAATTTGGGTTGTGGCTAAGTAAAAAATATTCAATTTTCTCATATTCCTAACAATTTAAATTAAAAAAATTATTAATATCAGGTCAAGGAAAGTGTCAATTGAGAAGACGAAAATCCTCGAGTTGGCCACAACGGGTAATTGGCCCACATTTGAGGCTGTGGTGACAATGATGAAGAAGCTCCATGATACTAACAGCCTCCTCAACAGTACCAAAAAGCCGAAAAGAAAACATGTATACCAAGAAATCATAGACAATATAAATGAAAAAAATGCTCAAGGTTACTTAATTAATATAATTTAAAATTATAGGTAGCCTAATAAAAATAATTATAATAATTGCAGAAGAATATCAAATGTCTGAAGACGATGGTAGCGATGATGAAGAGTATGAAGTGTGGCACGAAAGAATGATAAACATGGCCCGTGAGGAAATCAAGCTTGCTTCCAAGAAAGCAAAATATGAAGCAGGCAAAAAATAGAAATTAATCGTGTTGACTGATGTGTACTGAACATAACGATCATTAAGTTGTGGATTTTAAGAAACTTTAAATTTATTATTTCAGCATGTGCAACTTGTGTATAACTTTTTTCTGAAAACTTCATAATTGTAACTTTATATTGCTTGTGCATAAAGCTGTTTGAATTAGCAAGCACTGGAATGATAATGATTTTCAATTAAACAACTTTTCATCACACAGGTACGTGGCACTCTCCCAAGAAAGATAAAAACTTAACAGCTAAATCTGTGCGCTTCATCTCACTATAATTTTTTAAGTCGTCAAAGATTAATTTGATTTTACGGCTCCCCGTACAAATGGCTGCAAATCTGCGCCCTCAGCTTAATGTTGGGAACATAGGCAGTGTTAGTCATGTCCAGGTTGGTCATCGGGCTGCTCACTTTGCCACTGAGGAACCATTCGTCAATTGCGGCCCTTTCGTAGCAAAATCCATCTACAGAGAAATCAAGCATGAAAAATATTTTATTTGTAAAAGCAGGTTTCTAATTTTAAGGCTCACCGGCACAAATAATAGGTTCTCTAAAGATCTCCTGGGTAATGGGACACAAAAGTTCGTGAGGCACGTTTGAAATATCTTCGATACTGCCCACATTCTCATGTTTCAGCCAAAACAGCTGCTTTTCCAGCTCCCTCAAATGTGCTTCACCGTCTAATTTTTTTTTTTTTTTTTTGAAGTAATTTATTATTTAAAATATTTCAAAAAAACCCAACCTAGTTCAAAAACACTAGCCAGAGTTTGGATAGTAGAGTTCAAAATGTCGTTGCCAGTCAGATGTTGATAGCGTAAGAAAGGAATTTGAGGCAAGTCGATCCACGTCAGCCACCGTGTTATATCTTTGCTTGTCCAGTCCTCAACCTTCGTAATGTAAAAAAAGACTTAGCTTAAATAAGGTTTAAGACTGGTTAATTTAATAATTTTAAGTGGTTATAATTTAAGATTTTAATTACGGTTATAATACGAGATAATTATCTCGTACAAATAATTACTCCAAGATGAATTTGTCTACCATACGAAAAAAAAACTGCATCATTTATAATTCAGAATACCCTTCCTCTGCGCCCCCGAAGACTCTCCTCAGCTTGGTTGCGCACCAACAAGTCTCGAGGCATTTCCCAAATTATCACGGATTTGTCCAAAGAGCCTGCAAAAGCCAACAGTCGATTGCAAATACTTTGAACGTTCAATTATTTATTACCTGTCGCAACTAGAGACCCATCTGAAGAAAACGCACAACTTGTAACAATGCTGCTATGAAGTTCCAAAACAAACAGGCACTCTCCTTGATACTGTTGACATAAATTTATATAACAAGTAACCACAAAGGAAAGGAAAAGGTTATTTTTTACATACGAGTAAGGTTATTTTAGTTACCACATTCCAGATTCTAGCAGTTTTATCAGAAGCAGCCGACCCCAGTAACTGGCCACTGAGCGAAAATCTGACCGATGTGACGGTTCCTCCATGACCAATGAAGGTCCGGGAAAGACTTATTTGAGAACAGCCACCAGGCACAAATTTCAGCGCCCACAATTTAACCAATGCGTCATTTCCACCCGATGCCAAAGAGTAGTGCCCACCTGCAATCAAAATTTATTTGCATCTTACACAAATTAACAAACAAATTAAAAGATTAAGTATTACCATCATTTGAGCCTCTCGATGGGGAGAAATCGCAGGTTTGCACGCCAAGATCATGAGCCGACTCAACTACTTGAATGCTGCAAGGCTTATTGCTCTTTTGCATAACCCAGATTCTCATTGAACCAACCAGATCTCCAGTTGCTAACAGTTTGCTGTCTGGAGAAAATGCAGCACAAGTCACAGCCTCAGTGTGACCCTCCATCACCCTGAATAAATTGATTGGCTCAATTTAAAAAAAATTAAATAAATATTTAGATAAATCAAACAAAATTTGTAATGTGAAAAGTTGTAACTTATAATCCCAACACTCACTGGATTGCTGTACCGTCCGGTATGCTCCAAACGAGTGCTCGTTCGTCATCACCACCAGTGACCACCATTCTTCCGCAGGGCGAGAAGCGGCAGGTGCGCACCCCAGCACCACTGCTCTGTAGAGAAGGATTTGATCTTTGCCCATTCTCTGCATTCCACAGGCTGGCACTTCCATCCAATGAGCAAGAAGAAAGTTGACTGCCATCAGGCGAAAACTCCACTTTGTTTACAGAATAGCGGTGCGCCTCAATCGGAGAATAGGTAGCCTCCCTGAACCGGCCCGAGCTTTCTTGTTGCCAAATCTTAACAAATTTTTCTCTGTAAAAAATGAAATGTAAGTTTAATTGGATAAACCCTGAAAATGGTTAATTCAAATAAATAAATAATTTAAGTACCCTGTGGCTGCTGCCAATACATTGTTCGAGCCAGGCGCAAAGTGGCAAAAATTGACCGCTACTCCACAGTCGATTTTCTGCAATAGCTTAATCTCAGACGCTGACCGCTCCTCCACCAGCTTTCCGTGATTGAATTCAGCTGACTGTCAGTGAAATATTAGCATTAATTATGCAATTTAAATCCTACTTGAACACAAACCAAGCCAGAGGCGGCAGCAGGCACAAGTACAGATTCCAAGGTCACTCGGCCAAAGATGTCCCAGAGTTTGACGCTCTTGTCGTTTGAACCTGAGGCAAGTAAAGAGCCGTCACGAGAGAAGCTGCAGCTTGTCACATAGCGGTCGTGACCTTCGAGCACCCTGATGCACTTAGTTGAGCCCACCTATGATTTTTGATTTAACTTCAAAATGCACAACTTCTTATTAAAAAAAGCTTACCTCCCACACTCGAAGGGTCTTGTCAAGACCGCCCGATGCCAGATGAGTGCCACTAGGGTCAAAGCGGACACACAACACAGTTGACGAGTGGCCGAGCAATGTCTTGGCTGTTTCCAGCAGAACCCTGCTCTTATAGACAAGGACATTCCATAAGCGGATCAAATGATCGTGGCCACAGGTAGCTAAGAGAAGCACCTTCTTCACACCTGGCCCTGAGAAAAATAAAAAATTAATTACCTGAAAATTCAGAATTGTAGTTCAAAATTGTACTTGAGTTTTCCTTTTCATGTGATATTTTTTTTTTTTTTTAATTTCTAATTCATTAAATTGAAATAGCAATTTTTTCATATGATTAAAATAATTTAAAGCACAATATTACTTGTGTTACTGGGCACAGGACTGAAGTCAGCAGCAGTGATCCCCATGTCATGGGCTCCATCCTGAGTGGCCAGCAGGGTGCCATCGTCAATGTCATGGATATGCAAAATACCCTGTGAGCATCCTGATGCAACGAAACTAGAATCAGGCGATACAGACAGTGCCTGCACGGTCTCCTCATGCGCTTTGATTGTCCTTTTAGGAACAGATAATTTTAAAATTGAGTAAATAAGATTCACGATGAATTATCTTGCTGTACCTGACTAGAGATCGGTGAGCCAAGTTCCAGAAGCAGACAGTTCCATCGTCCCCTCCAGTGACCAGCTGTGTTGAGTCCGGTGTGAACCGACACACCCTTACTGCATTGCCACTTGGCTGAACAAAGTGGTGGATTTTGCAGCCAGTCTGTTTGAGTTTAATGAAGATAGTTTTATTGACTGCAGTTAAGTTAAAATAAATAAAAACTAAAAAAACTGCCAATTAATTTTAACTAATTATCCGATTGATTGGGATAAAAAGATCTTGTATAGATACAATTTTTTAGGGGTTTAATTTAATTATATTAACCCTGATATTCCATAGGACAGTGCACCCGTCGATGGATGAAGTTGCCAGCATAGTTCCCTGAGGAGAAAAGCGAGCGTCCGTGACCCCGTAAGTGTGGTGACCAATTGGGGAAAAAGCCACCTCTCGATATCCATGCCCTGGTGACCATTCCCATGCTCGCACCGACTTGTCACTTTAACAATAAATCAAATCTTATGTAAGTTATTGTCTCTTTAAAATGAAGATTTAAACTGGCACCTAGAACCGGAGGCGAGGGTGAAGTTTTTGCCAAAATCGCAGCAAGTGACATCGCTCAAATGCGACCTGATCGTCTGCATCGCCAAAGACACCGCAGCCATGTTTCCTTTCCTCTTTCCTCACATTATTCCTATCAAAGATTAGATTAATTTCCACTCTCTCACGCCAATCGATTGCCAACCTTATCTGATCTATAATTTATGCACAAATCGTGAAGACGAAATTGTATGGAATTTTCAATGTTTATGTTCGTAACAGAACGAACGAGAACAACAACGATTTGCCATTAATGGCGCCGATTGGCTGGCGACAAAATCATTTGGCCAATCAAGAGTGACTTTGTCGAAAAATATCTGAGCGGCGCGAAATACAGGGTATTATATCCTCACACGCGAGAGTTTAGAATTCAAAAGAAACTGTAGAAAGTAATCTATCTTGATCTAACTATTTTTTGGACGAAAAAATAAGCCAAAATAATTGAATTAATAAAATAAATAAATACAAAAATTCATCGTTTAATAATAAAAAAATTGGAAAATAATTGAGCAATGTTGCAGAATAAATAAATACATAGTAAATGATAACTTTGATAATTTATTGTTTAATTACTAATTAGTAAGGGTCTTTATTATTTTCATTATTAAAAATAATATATATTATAATATTTTTTATGCTTAATTTTTTTCGTATGTTTTAATTTTCTCTTGTGAAATAGAACTCAAGAGCTGTAGTTAGTAGCCAAAACTAGTTGTACTACTTTTGTATCCACACTAAAATAATTATTTTTCAGCAAGGATCTGATAACTTCAGGTTCATTCAATTGTCATATTAAAAAAGAAAAATTTTGTACTATGTTTTTTCATACTTTCCGGTATTTTCATTCAAACCATTTAAAGGTATGGTAGGAAGATAAATTAAATTAGAAATATTTTTCACATCTTTTTCATGAAGGTTCCTTGTCATAAGCTTTGATATTTGGTATTTTAAAAATTTTTTTGATGAAATTTAAATATCCTGTTCGTTTTTCTTTAAAATTGGCGTTCCTCTGCTGACGTCAAAAATTGCATGATGCGGCGAGAATATTTCTTTTTGCTCATATTCTTTATTTATGGACGCCCGTGATTTTCATTTTCATACTACAAGCGTTCTGCGAAGTCACCGAAAAAATGCAAGGAGAGAAAATTACTTCTGCTGACGTCAGAAAAACATAGTGTTGAGGGTCAAACGCAGCAGAAAGCGTTTTTGCATGACCATCCCTTTCTTCATCTTTACTCACATCTAGCTATTGTTCAATTAGCAAGTCAGGTAATGACGCGGGAAAAGGACCGTTCGCGCCTGTATGTTTCCGCTCAAATGACTTGAACTATATCTTTCAAACTTTTTCTGCGGAAAACCTTGGTCAAAATTGGCTTCATATTTTTTTCGAAAACCGCGTATGTGTCTAACATGTTTAAATATTCTTAAAACAGTCGCAAAGGAGGAACATATATATTTCAAAAACCAAAAATATTGAAAAGATAAATGTGCATAATTATGCTTTTTTAAAAATCTATTTTAGATTGTGAAATTTTGAGTGTCATTTGCATTATAGTTCAAGGTCATTGTAGGATAGACTGTTAATATAATTGCGCGTGGGAATTGAATTTTGCCCAATTCGATTAGCAGATTAGAATACAATTGTTTGAGTGGGAATTGGTTTACGTGCAAGAAGTATGGTATATCACAAACAGCATTATAAATATTTTTTTCTTGTGGCTTTGATTATAATGATGTAAAAGATTGATTGGTGGAAAACTCCCGCGGGGCAAAAACGAAATGAAGTGTCGTTTTTGTTATGTTGCGAAGATATGGGGAAGTCCAACGATGGAAAATATCCAGTACTGTGCCGCGATCTGTGTGCGTTACATATTATATAATGTATATGGCACGTGATCATCTAGTTGGTTTTTCCAGCGTATTAACTCATTGTTGCTATAGACAGGAATAAAATAATATGGAGTGAAGAGACACAACAGGTGTGGCTGATAATGTCAAGTACATTGGAACGGATCAAAAAATCAGACCACATCAATATTGAACCAACAGCTGAGCTTTTAGATAAAAAAAATTTTTTGGCAGAGCTAAGAAAGTCAGTGGCTAAAAGAAAATCATGAAAAAATAATTAGTTATTATAAAAAGGTAACTTATAAAAGGATTTTGGGACTGCGTGCAAATAAACTTAAATTTTACTATGCAAGTATCTTTAATAGATTGGATAATAATGCAAAAAATTTCTGAGATAAGAAGCAAAATCATTTATTTAATATATTTTACTACCTTTTTTTATCTTTATCACTGTTACGGATATAAGGAGCCGTGCGGAACAGAATTAGAATGTCACGGCCTTCGCATCATAATGCGTTAACGCGTGCGAATTTTGAGGGTCTCGCTTCGATTACTTGCAACTTCACTCAAGAGAAACTTTTCATTAAAAGGAAGCAACTAATTTTTGACCAGTACGACACACCAACTGCACACTTCCGGTTAGCAAAAGAAAAAAAAATATAATTTCAGAGCAAAAATTAGAAAATAAATCAAAGTAGCTGTTGCAGTATGATATTTTTAATTTTTAATTAATTCATTTTATGGAAATGATTCCGAGGTGCTCGTTTGACTTAGGAGAGACATTGCGGCCTGGCCATATGTGTTTGTAAATAGAGTTGTGTTAGAAAGTTTGGAGTGCGTGTGTGCGTCGGCAGGCGAAAATCGTGAGAAAGTATTATTAACGCAACACGGCGCGTGTTTTTCAAATGGACACACTCAGAAATTAAAAGAAACCAGGATTATTTTTGTCCACTTGCTATTTCCGTTTCAACAAATTTTAGTCTTCTTGAAATTTATTGTTAGAAATAACGATTTATAGTAATTTGATTGCGTGCATAATGTGCAATTTTACTATCATAAGGGGAAAACAAGTCGTGCGACTTTTGCATGTGGCACGTTTGTGAGAAATCTAAATGAACATGTGTGTCAATCAATCATATGCGCGTAATCGAAGAATGCCAGGTGGAATAAGAAATGGCAAATGTATAACTTCGCTTATTAAAGGAAGAGCATTTAATCGATCGACTGGGAATACCAGTTTTTCCACAGTGTGAGTTTTTATTCGAATGAGAATATTTGCAATCTCTCATCAATAAATATATTAAATATCCAAGACTTAAATTTTTTAATTAAATATTTTGTAACAAATTTTGATTAGTGAAATAAACCTGATATTTTGCATTTAAGCCTTTGTTTAATTTTGTGTTTCACGATCAGCGAGTTTGCATGCGGCAACACATGTCATGTATCATAGGAATTGCAGGCGTGGCTAATGGACCGCGGGCATTTAAAAGGTCCTTTCTTAAGATCTTTGGAAGCGCGCGGCAGACCTAAAGCACTTTCCCTTTTTCCCGCCGCACCACCATCGCGCACTTTCATTATTCGAGGAATCCCATTCAAACTACTTCCTCTTCGCAATTTAAAATCCTTCCTTTAAAAATTAATTTTAAACAATGCTGCACATTATTTTGATAAATTTTTCTTGCTCGCGTTGAAATCTCCTAGAAAATGCATTGCAATTGCAAAAGCAGACGTAGGTGAATAAAAGTTTTTTAATGCTATGGTTTTTCCAAAAGTAATTTCCTTGTAATAGTAATGCAACTTGCGGTCCCAATCTTATTGGGATTTTCATTGACTTTTATATTATGCAGTTGGCCTTGAGCAGAGATGTAACTTGCTGAGCGCCAGTTGTCGAGCGTATATAATTGCAATTTTCCTTGCTTTTTTGAAGAGGGAAATATATATAAATTTAATGGAAACTATAACAAAAATTTTTACCTCACCATTTGTACCATTGAGGAATTTGATGGCGCAAGCATAGTTTACAAAAGGTGTTGATTTTTATCGCAGGGGAAATTTGTGACTAGGAATTTTTATTTTCCCTCCTCGAAATGTTTGGTATTGCACAATTAAAGGTCGGCGAGTGTGCGTGCGTTTGCGTAACACACATAACTACAAGATCAGCGTGGAGGAAGCGGTGCTGCTGGTGAAAAGGGCCGAGCATCACCTGATTGAGACCGTGAAGAAAGAAAGCGATTTGTAATTTAAGAGTTTGTGTACTATATATTTAAAGAATGCCCGGCAGCTAATTGTGAAAATTTGCCGCCTCTAAAATATAAATACCCAGAGCGAGTGTGGCTATAATTACTCAAATAGTGCCCAGAGCATAGTTTGATATTATCTATTGTTGTTCAAAAAGATGTGCATCCATTTTTATTTATTTTTTTTTTTCTGTGAAATTTGTTTCAAATAAACTTTATGTATGTTGTGTCCTTCTAAATTTGTTACAAAGAGAAGTTTTAAATAATTGAAATGAATTTATCAGACGCATTTTGTGAATTAAATCAATGTTGCTGGCCTCGACATCATAATAGGCTTATGCTCATTCTCCATGTTGACGATCAGTAGCATTTATTTTAATTTTGTTCTTCTATTCCTGCATCAGCGACGCGCACGCAATAACAATCATCGCTTTGCTTTACTGCAGTTATGTAGAGTCAGGAGAGTAAAACGTATGAAGACTTCGAAAAAGGGAGGTATAAAATAATTACAGCCGAGAGAAAGAGGCTCGAGGCTTTGAACGGATCATTATAGAAATAAAATAACGCGCGCGCTTCTCCCAAGAAATAATTATTAATGCACTTGAACTATTCTTAGTTTGAACTCGCTGCAACTGACCTTCCTACAGAGCAAATGCATATTATATCCGACGTACAACAAATGCGGTGTCAAGAAAATTTTGCGAAAGCGAAGTTATAGTCACTAAATGTATAATTTTTTTTTATTCCTTTGAGAATTCCTGCGGCTGAACTTCTCAAAGTTTTAAATATTTTTTTTAAGAGATATAAAAGTATTTTAACGTGTAATATTATTTTTGTTGATGAAATTCTATTAGTACTATCACAACTTTCATTAAAATTATCAAATTTTATGTCATAAAATTTATTTAAACAAGTTAGTATAGTACCCAAAAAATTTACCTGAAATTTAAATAGCACTCGGTCAAAAAGCACAATCCCCACACCATTCTATACAATTAATTTCAAGCAAAGAGTGAGGCAAAAAATCTGCAACATAATATCACATTTTTCTTACAAGTCATTCTATTTTATTGACATATAATAAGGATGACATACAACATCGAAGAGCGCGCGCTTCTTTCACTTCTTTGCGGAAATAATACTTGTATTTCTCGCATATGGAAGGGTGAGCTTGAACCACCGGCTAGTGCATGTAAAGTGGAAAATTGTCATCGTCCACTGAGGTATCGGGTAGAATGCGCTGGAATGACGAGGCCGTTGAACTTAAAGCTGAGCGTCTTTATTTTTCCACATATTGATGCAAACACACTGCAGGTGCCTCAAGCGCCTTTATATCTGGTGCACTAAATACCAAAAGTGCTGACACCGCTGCTGATCTCATCACCTTTTTCCAGTTCTCCAGGCCAAGTCCATACTTCATCTTTATTTAAATTTTAATCCTAAGTTCTAATTTCTCAATCCTTGAATTACCAAACAGTAAAATTAAAGGTAATAAAGTTTTTAATTAAATAATGGTGGATTTGAACTGATATCATGCAATGAACGCTAACAAATCTTGGTGCCCATAGCGTCGCGCCTAGTTCATGTTAATGCAAAAACGAGGCGGTCAGTGCTTTTAGTGAGGCAGCATAAATAAAATGTGCTCATTCAGCCGCTCTTTGCCAAATTCTCTCACGGCCGCGCTCGGCGACGTTAAAAATAGGTCGCGTTAATTAATTAAGGGCCACAGCAGACGCTCGCAGTCTGAATTTTTTTGTTCTTCTAAATGCTACGACTCTGCCAGGGATTGTGCGTTGCTTGAAAAGAAAAGACACATACAAAATTTCAAGATCAATTTTCAAACTTTCTTTATTTTCTTGGTGAAGCATGGTATAATTTGGCAGCCGTGATTTATTTTTTACCTCATTCACTTATGTACAGACAGGAATTACATTTTATAATGTGGTTACATACGACGACCGGATAGTGCTCGATTTCGTGTTACACAATAACAGTATAGAAGTTCCTTAAACGCTAAAATGCAAATTGAGAAAAGTGTAAGTCTCAAAAATGCCTGCTGGTTTCTCGTCGTCAACTGAAGAATATCGGAATTAAAAGACAGGCTGGATGGAAAAAAGGACTGAATGATAACATAACGTCTCTCTGATCCTGACACCGTTGGGTTGAACTTTGACATTAAAAAGTGTGCTTGGGCCCGAAAAGCCTCTTTTTCCATCCACCCCAAACGTTCAACTTTCAACAAAACTGCAAGAAAAGACAAAATGCGTCGATCGAGTCAACGAATCGACGAGAAAACTAATCACAGAAGCTGACAACAAAAGGGACTGGAGTCCTTAATCGACGTAGCGAGTTTACAAACTGATTTTTTCTCTCCACAAATTCCAATCAAAGCAGACCAATCGCTGTATGCATAGCATATACACAGAGTCGCACTTAGTTAAATTAAAAGGCTGTCGAGTAGCGATTAGATTTTCATTAATTAATTTATTAATAATTAATTCAAGTACTTTTCGGTAAAGTACACATGCACGGATCCTAAGCTACGAACTGTCTAAAGCGCGCGTATCTAGCAGGACTACGGATGTTGACCAGCAAGTCAAAGGTCAATCTGAATGATGCGTTGTAGTAAATGCTGCTCTGAAGAACTCCCACGCTCTCTCAAAGTGAGTGTGCCTCAATGCTTTTTTTTTACTTTCTTAAATTTTAAATTTCAACTCGAATTATCTGCGCTTAATTCAATGCAAAGAAAGGCAACAACGAAAAATTACACGAAAGAAAAAGAAATTGCGGAAACCACCAGCGGCTCCCGCGAGCGCACATTTCGCACACTTCAGTTTATCGCCTGAGCTTTTATACTACAGTTTAGTTTCGGAGCCAGCTCGTAAATGTCAATCGTCGCGCCTCAAAATCATCACAGTCTCAAAAGTATACTCTACGGACAGCAAATCCCCCTTTAAATTTTTAACTTTGTCTCGATTTGGAATGCAAATTGAGGTTTTTTGTTATCAACATAAAAACTAAAAACAAAAATCGATCGAACCACCGGTTTTTGTGCTTTTCCTTCCAAACAACTTTTCATTTTTATCGGTGCTGAAAGGAACCAGAAATAGTCGACAAGGCCGAAAAATTACCCCTCGCTCTCTCTCGTTAAGTTACACATACGTCTAATCTCTATACGCTTGTTTTAAATTAAGAACACTCTCATTCACTCACGCAGACAAACAAAAACAAATAAATGACGACTTTTTGTTACGCAAGCCCGACTCTGGAAGGGAGGAGGCTGGGAAGGGAGTCAAACGGAAGATGGCTGGGCCGAACAGTCCCTCCGAGGGGCCGAATATGCAAATATCGCGGAGGCTCTCTCTAGCACGCGCGGCGAGAACGGGGTCATTTCGTTTGTGCAGCATCCGAACAAACGCAAATTTTGACTGCGCCGAGGCGGGAATCGAATCAGAATCAGGCGGAGGGAGTGATTGTTTTTGACGGCGGTGGTTATGCAAAATTCTTGTAGTTTCCGCAGAGAAAGCCATTTTAAAAGGTAATGATGGCGAATTAATCAACAATAATAATTGTCATATTTGAGGGAATGTTCGCACAAAAGATCTTCAAGACAAAATACATGATGGCTTTGTGCCCAAACTTTTGGATGCGTCAGTCAGGGGGCCACTCGTTGAACCAAAGACGTAATGTTAAACGAAATTTAAAAAAAATCTAAACTCAGACAAGAGTTTGTAGACTTTTGAAAAAAAAATTCTTCAAAGACTTTTTGCATTGAAATTCTCAGAGATTTGGAAATGTTAGTTGGTTTTGTGTTTCCTGCCTGTCGTTAGTCCATCCGAGTGGCTCCCAGAGTGAGAAATGCAATTCGGCCTTGAGGAGAAGGGTCGGGATGAGCGGTCACGGGCGTCCTTCACTCCACCTTGGTGCGCTGCTGGCCGGTGAGCAGGCCGTACTGGTGGCCGTTGGTCGTCTTGTCGTACTTGGTCGCGGCCGGGGCCGAGTGGACACGCGCCGGAGGAGGGGCGTTGCCCTTGCGTTCCGAAAGGTACGACTTGTGGAAGAATCTGGCAAACAGCACCGCGTAGCTCAGGTACATGGTGAACGAGAGCTTTATGTTGGTCAGGCTGATGTGACACTCGTCGCCGTTCTGCAGGTACTGGTACGCCCAGTAGTTGACCAGGCAGCCGACGACCATCTGCGACAACTGCGACGCCGTAATGAACATGGCGAATTGCTTGGGCGGTCGGTAGCCCATGGCGCGCAGGGCGTAGTACGTGTACATGACCGAGTGCACCAGGTAGTTCATGACCACGTACCAGCGTGCCGAAGACGTGTACTCGGCGTACGAGAACCAGCTGTACAGCAGCACCGTGATGTGGTGGTACCAGTGCAGGAAGATGAGCGGCTGCTTGCGTAAAACGATAAACACTGTGTCGCCCAGTTCTGGAAGTTTTGACAGCACGAACATCCACGTCCAGAAACCGCTCACCTTGTCGTACAGGATGTAGCTGTGAACATAATATTTCAAAATCAATAAATGCAAAAAGTTTAAAACATTTCAAAATTTGTTAAAAGAGGGGTTTGCAGGTTGGGAGATTCTTCGATGCCAATACAATTGTCGAGCCACTCCAATTTCTCTTAACATTTTACTCGACTTTTTTCAAAGATATTTTATGGCGACGCTTTAGTTTATAACGTAAAGAGTCTGCAACATTTTTTGTTTGAAGAGGGATTTTATTTGGAACAACTGATAGTGAATGAAAATTTTCACAGTTGCAAATAATTTAAGTTGTCGTCCGACACGTTTGCAACGAGAGTAAGAAAGTTGCAAGTCGATTTCATCAACGGAAGACACGGAAGTGTGTGTAGAGAAAAGCGCGCGCAGGAAGACAAGGAAAGAGAGTCGACGGTGGAGCGCGCGCGAAAAAAATGCAGAGCAAATTCATGTCAAGTGCAGCTCGTCATCGTTTTTCTTTGAGCCACTTGAGCGCCGCCCTTGCCATTAGTTTTCGCGGACCGTAGATAAGAGGGCGGCTGCGGATTATAGAGGATTTGCCACCACAGGCAAGCTTAAGCGCTCTAAATTGCAAACCTCATTCATCTCACATAAAAGCTTTTGGTATTTTAACAATTTTTGCTCAAATTCTAAATATTAGATCATTTCTCCCAGTTTCTCCTAATTACTTTAGTTTAAAATAAATTATAAATCAAAAACTTTGTAACTGGCAAAACAAAAAAATATATTCATTTGATATTTTAAGCAAAATTATTTAGATGAATTAATAACAAAAGAATGAATGCAAGTGTTTCTAACAATCAAGAGCAAATAAAAAGGAAATCTATCAGCTGTGGTGACGCAATTAATTGAAGATGATTGCTCGTAATTGGACAGGCGGACGATTTTTACACGCATTTTTGCGGCAGCTGTTTGGAGGGGAGAAGAAATTCCACGCGCGCGTCTTTCATTAGATAATTACTACCGGGTGCGCCGCGAATGCAGAATGGAAAGTTGCGTGGATCGTTTAAGCCATACTCGCTCGCGTAACCAGCACAGGGAGCACAGCCGGTCTGTCGGTCGACCGAGTTGCATGAATGACGCTGCCGAGCAAACAGGCCAATTAATTAACGTGCTTTTGGCGTCCGGTCCTGATAAAAATAATGCGGCTGATAAGAGTGGCACGCGAATAGAACTTCAACGACTTCAACTAACTTGACAAGCTATACACACAATTCCCCAATTAAATAATTTTTTAAATTCATTAATTAATTAATTTAATGAAAAAAAAAGGAAAAAATGCTGAAAATGAATATACTGACACGGTGCTTATTTTTAGAGAAAAAATGTGAATAGAAACAATAATTATAGTGCTGGCATCAAACTGAAAGTGCATAATTAGATCCACCCAAATAAATCCCTTAACTCTTATGTCTCATGCGTTTAAAAATTTTTAATCGCAGTCTTTAGAAACACGATTTTTGCACACCAATGCAATTCCTTAAATGGAAAAACAAATAAATGTAATATTGTATCGGTTTTTTTTTAATAATAAACAATAAAGGATAAAAGCTAGGATGTTATGTTCACTTATTCCTAGATAACTTTAAGTTACATTTATAATTTGAAAAGCACTTTATTTCACATTTCCTAGATAAAAAAAAGAAACAAAACCTGTTTAATGCAATTCCTGATTTTCTGTATGTAGTGGAAAAACCAGGTGGTGATTAACGCAAAATTCATATCACTTAACTCTTACATAAGCGCGAATCAAGAGTGGACTCTTGACAATGATGATTCATTTGATTACAGGTAGGATCAACCACGTTTTGCGTAAGTCTTTATCTTGCACGCAAAACCCCGTGGAGAGCTTTTTTCGATAAAAATGAAAAGCTGACGCCTCTTTGCTGATCGGCCAGCATTTTCAAACCACAAAGGATGACGGCAAAACCGTAAACAATTATTTTTGCTGGGAATATCTCTTAATCAAAAACACTTGCGGCCAGGAAACCTTCAAGATATTTTTTTATTATATAAATACGAGACAGTGAAAAAAAGTACATTACTTTGAATTGAAATCAACAATGATAATGATGAATATAAAAACTAATAATAATTGACGCAATCTTTTAGGTGAAATCTGAATAACGTTGAAATCGTCGTGCAGTATAAATGAGAAAATCTTTCACCTTCGGGAAGAGACGGACGTAACGGGGAAGTGACCCAGAGCCGGAGCCACGCCCCCTCGCCCAAACTCAGCACTCGCTTGCTGGTGTTCATGGTGTGTATTAATTTCTTCCGACCAGACTGCAACGGCACGAGACCGCTCTATTTACCACGCAACCCAATCTGCAATTTCTTTCTTTTGATTCCTCACTGGTATATTTTAGTCCGACTGCCACGTTTGAATTGCTTTGCTTTCTTTGATCCAGAGCGATAAATAGCCAAGAATCTTTATTCAACAACAAATTAATTTAAATTATAAACGGTTGATGAGCATAATATTGTTTAAAATATTTTTATCACTTTGAATGTCAAAACAAACCGATTATATTTTAAATTGAAGTTTGATTGGAAATTGTTTGGTAGGAAAATTTTAATTATTAATTTTAATATAAACTAATGAATAACTAATCAAAACACCCAACAAAGGCACCACAGAAAATCTATGTGAGTGCACAACTTTATTAATTTAATAAATCAATCCCTTTATTCCCGCAAAACTTACCTATAAAAATAAATCTTTCCAAATCTTTTTATTTATTTTCAGGGTGGCTGGCTTTAGAGATTTGACTACACAATAAAATCTAAAAAGCCTCCCAGCAGGCAAAATACTGGGTCAATATTTTTTTTATTGTTTTTTTCAAAGTAGAAAAAATGGAAGTGTAAGTTAGCGTGTATTTCTGAGGATAAGGAATTGTTAAAATTAATATCTTAATATGAACAAAATTTGATTCTTTCCTTTTAAAAATAAGTATGCACCTTTACACAGAAAAAAGTTAATTTTGGTGGAGATCTGTTGATTTAAAAAAATTCTTTTTTTAAAAAAAACCGCTTTAAAATGTTTGCTGTTTGTATAAAAATTTTATGAGGAAAACGTTTTTAAATTTGCAAAACTTAATTCAGTTTTGACAAAAGAACTTCTCAACACAATCTTGCTTAATTTGAAATGATCCTCTTGACACTTGGCAACATTATATCAGTCCAAAGTTAATTTTCAATTAGATTGGTCAGCTAGGTCGCAGCGATAACCCGATTGCCGAGGTAGCGAATTTGGGATGACACGCGCGATTTAACAGACCACTCAGCATCAGGCCAATTAGCATCTTCAAACGACCCCCCACGTGCCTCCCTCGACCTTGGCCTTCCACAATCGCCAAAGACAACGTGGAGACGATTTTCTTATTTATAGGCAACTCTTAATTTAGGTAACATCCGGCCCACCCTTGTTTGGTGCTGCTGTCAAAACAGATACGACGAAATTCTGTTTTGGAGCTGGGCAAGAAAAACAAGAGGTTTTAAAAATAGAAGGTTTATACCTCGTGTGTTTAATAAATATTCTAATTCTAATGAAAGTATTTTTGAGCACCGTGCGGGGAAAAGAATAGAAAATGGTGAGAATTAAATAATTTAATATTTAATAATTTAAAAACGTTACACTCTAAATTAAAATTTTTATTGGCACCGAAAAATCGAATATCTAAAAATTTCAAACTATTCGAAGGGAAATGATCAACACAGAGGGAATTCCAAAAAGCTCGGTCATTAAATGAGAGAAGCAAAAGCACTCCCAACATCCGGCAAACACTGGGAAGTGGCCCGGAAATGCAGGAGATTTTTAGTTGAAAATTTAGTTCAATAAAATTTGAGCCATTTCTGAAAATTCATTATTTTCCCTGCAAACTCAGAGGGCTTCCTGTCAAGTGGAAGGGGCGTGGTGGGGTGGCTTTGGGGGTTTTCCTGTTTGTATGCTTGATTTTCGTGCTTACCTAGGGATGCAGACCGAGTGGTAGACGCCGTGGTTTTTGAGGGTGTGCAGAAGTTCGGGCAGGGTGCGGCAGGCGCCGAGGATGCTGAAGCAGGCCAGGGCGGTGTTCCACATGACGAGCACACCCCTGAGCTGGAAGCGCGGCCGACTCTGCATGTAGTGCTGCCCGCCGAAAATGAGGATCATGTAGATGCCGACGTAGTAGAAGCCATTCTTCCAGTTCTCAATCATCCACACGCGCGTGTCCTGGTGCACGAACTCCTCCTCAAAGTTGAACACGTACGAGTAGTTGGGCACCGTCAGGTCGAGGTACGTCATCTTTGCTGAAGTGCAGCAGCCGGTGTGCCTCTCAAACTGAAAATGACTCTTTGACTGACTGACTGCGGGTCTGACGTTTGTTTGTGTCCTGCCTGCACCGAGCACACCGGACGACCAACTGGCTGCGCTGTGCCTCGACTACTCTCAGCTCTCAACAGCGCCGACTGCTCCTCACCATCCCACTTTCCTTCCGAACGAACTCCGGCGGCCCTTCTTCTTCGCTCCCAGCCCAGGTCTAGTTATGCTTTAGTTGAGCCAGACGTCGCCAGGTCGCGCCTCGCCCACCTCTTGACCAATCAATGAGCCCGCTTTACGTCACGCGATCACCCCACACGGATGTAAGCAAAGGAGATACGTGACGCCGCCATATTGAAACTTCTGCACCAAAAGCCGGTATTCGCATTATTGGCATCTTCTTGCTTTTTATCAGTTCAAAACTATTCGCGATCTAACTTCAATTATCCTCATTGTGGAATTGCACTTTGATTGCCTTAATAATCCAAGCCTATCATGCTTCTAATCAAGGGCAGGGGCCGTTGATTTTCAACGTGTCTACCAATAAGTATCTTCCTTTGGCCTTCACATTTTTATTGCAGATCCGTCCCAAAAATTAACCGGTGGTGCCACCTTTTGGTGCAATTGTTCATTTTACCCATTTTACAGTGCACAATCCAATCCATCCAAGGAGGGTTGGTCTTTTTAGCATAATAGCTTGTTTATCTTTTTCCGTCTCCCGTTTCTCAGAACTTTTGTCACGATTCTCGTTTCTTCTAGCCTTATCAGCTATAAGAAGATTCAGGAAATACGATAAGAAATGACTTCAGCACATTTCGCTTCTGACGCTCCGAGGAAACGAAAGTAAACACAGCTGTTTTTGATAGATAAAAATAAGCCACCGAACTTTGAGAATTGTGCGTTTTGCTCGAGTCGCAGCCTGTTGATCCAGGAGCTGTTGCTTTAATTTTTATTGCAACCATCGAGGTAATTATTGTAAATTGCTAGAAGTATAACATTTAATCGTACGCCCACGTGTCAGAGTTGTCAGACTGTCAGATCTGATTCATTTCATACACAAGTTTTGCGTAAACCCGTAAACGGGTAAAAGACGAGATTAAAAATAATTGCACCTCTCTTGACAAGCATGTTTTGCTAAAATGTCATTTATAATAATTAGTAATTCAATTTGTGAGGATTTTTTTTAATTGGCGTCTGCCTCCTATAGGATGTAATATATTTGTTAAAATTAAACTTTTCTCTCTCGTAATTCTCTAAGTTTGTGTGAAGCAGCTCGTCAAGAAATGATCTCCTAATTTATATATGTAATGTCGCACACCTATGGTGTTCTTTAATAAATTCATTCAAAATTAAACTTTTTATGTAACGCACAAAACACTGCAGAGTACCAATAATTGTGGTTTCAATGTAATTCTCATTCTTTGAAAATTTGCGGCTCAGAACTAGATATATAGACATTCATTTTTATTTCCTTGATATTTATTTAATTGCAAATGGACGTGTGTCTGTAAACACAAATGATACTTGTGGAATTTGGAAATTATTATAACAAAATTTTGAATAATATAAGTAGCGGTAGCGTTTATATTTGTGTATTTTATTATTATAAATTTTATAAAGCTCTTCAAATTATATCTAAATAATTTTACGAAATCTACTTTTGCACAACAAAAATCCCATGCTTTGTCAAATTTATTATATTACCGAATAATATAATACGTATTATTGGTTTAATATAATATAAAATTGTGTTTAATCAATATATTCATTTTACTGGTTTAAAATTTTTTCACTCTAAATATTACATACAATATTTGAAACAAATTTAATAAAACTTTTTCAAACGCTGTGAAGCGATTTTTGCTTGGTTGCTAGATTATATTTTCATTATAATTATTCAAAATCAACGTATTTGGCAATTAAAATACAAAAATCCTAACTCCACCGTTGCTAAAAATTAGTAATAAATTTGCGCACACAATTCGAACGCTAAATTATTACCGAATTTTCTACTTCAAGGCATTCAAAAAGCATATTATTATGTAAATATTTTAATTTTTTTATTTATTGCGCTTAGAAGAGCGTACTCAAGTCATCTTTACCCAATTTTCATCAAAAATTTGAACAGGATTTGTTTTTGCTAATTTTGCCTATAACTTATTTATCATGAGGCCATAAAATTAAAACCGTTTTAGTTGATTGAAGTACTTCAATCTTAGGCTTTTTAGCATAGGAAAGGAAATCTTTCAATATTTCTGACTCACATTCAATATTTTTTCTGTAGCTTCGTCTGCCTGGGAATAATCCATCCTAGTGGCGTGAACGTGAAATCAGTTTGGTGGAGTACCAAGAAACTGCCTAGTGCGCGTATCCATTCTTTCCTCTTACCAAACCAATCACTGCACACTGTGCGCTCTTTTGGACTACATTCTAAAAATTCAAATTACATATCCAAAAAAAACAATGCAGCCCTCAATTGAAACCTCGTTTGAAGAGCTAGTGAACAAAATCTTGGATCGAGTCGAACAGCAAGCAGAGCAGCAAGAAATTTTGCAGAGCTACCTGAAGAACCACTCTGACCTATTTGACGTGAGATTCCGCAGCACTTATTTGGATGGTAAATTGTCTAAACTGGTGTTCGAACTGGTGCGCACCTGCAGTGTTGCCGAGGACAACATTGAGTTGCTGTCTGACATTGTCCAGAATGACCAAGATTTAAAGAAGGCATATGACCTCCACAAGAACCGAATCATAGATAAATACAATGTACAATGTGGAAATCGCATTAACCCTGAAGGTCGAGTTTAAATATTAAATGTATTGTGAAAAAATAATTTTGTTTTAATTTATAGTTGTGTCCACAATATCAGAAAAAATTGGCAAGAAGTGGATGGAGTTTGGACACCAGCTAGGTGTCCCAGATGGTATAATAGATGATCTCGAGAAAATTCCCAACTACCAAGAGAAAATTGAACGGGTAAATTATATTCATCAATGGGGTCATAAATTTGATCTTTCGTACGGTTTAATATTTTAATACTAGTAACAATAATTTATGATTGGCATAATCTCATATCTGTTTCATAATTGCAGATGTTTGCGTGGCTTTCAAAAGACAAATCTCGGAGCGAACAAGAGAAATTGATATTAAAAGCTTTGGAAAAGGCTAGGAGGACCGACCTGAAGGAAGAGGTGCATGACTTAATATACAAGTAATTTACAAGAATGGGGCAAGTAAGGTTATTTGTTGGCAGTAAAGGCTCGTGTAATTTACAAACAACTTTTATTCTCAAGTCATACCTGTTACATGCTCAAACACAATTCTTTGGCTTGAGTAAAAAACCAGGCAAGTGGGTGTTGCTCGTCGAGTGGTGACATTAATCGCAAATAGCTACACCTTAATTTTGATTAATTATCATCTTGGAAACCAAATTCATTAATCAACGACTTCCTACATTTAGAAAAATACTTACAATTGATTCACCCACTGATTATATAGAAGTTCCTTATACAAATACACAGACACACTCGACCAACTGCCAAAATCAATTACATATTATTATTCTCAATATTATTCAAGCTATACATAAAGAATAACCGCAATTCTCTTTCGCCACAACAACTCGTTATGTACAAATTGAAGCTTCCTCAGGATTCAAGAGCAATTCGTAATAAATAGGATTATTATTCCAGCACTGCTTGGAGTGTGTGTGTGTCACTAGCAACGTAACCATTCGGAAGTAATAGAAACAGAGAGAAACGAAAGAAGTAGTAGTCCTCTTAAAAAAGCTCAGCAGCCTTAAGAGTTTATCTTTTCCTTTATGTCTGAGTGAGCACTCGCAACAGTCTTCAGTTCGTTCGCAAAGTCCTTTCGAAGCGCGAGGGCCACTACACCTGATGTCTGTTCTTGATCACTGAGCTGTTCTTCACCGTCAAGTCACGGTGCAACTGATAACCAATCAGAACCTTGGCTGGGATGTTCAGCCGGGACTTTATGCGTTGTCTGAAATCACAAAACAGAGTATAAGCAGCAGTAAAAATGAATTATGAAAATTAGCCTTTGGTTTTAAATCTCTATGAAATTAAAATTGTTTAAAATAAATAGTAAATTCAAAAAGTTTCTTTCAACTTGAATTGATGGTAGCAGCAACCCCCAAAGGCAAGTAAAAATAATTTATACCCAATCTCCATAATGCAGGTGGTGCGAGTGCCATCAGCAGTCCAGATGCCAATTTTGTCGCCCTTGGGCCGTATGTTCATCACAGCGCCGTTGACCTCGTCACTGTACTCATCAAAGGCCTCACCAATCATGCATAGCATCTGCCAAAAAGTATCTAGTATAAATATGGAGTTTGTGTGTTGGGGACAAACACCGACCACTTCGAGCCAGCAGTTGTTCAATTCAGGGCCACGTTGCTTTTTCTCAAGCGACACAAGCCAGCGGCCGCCGTTTTTGTTTGCAGGGTCTTCCCACATGGGTCGTATGCCCTTCTTGAAGAGCGAATAGTCAGTACCAACCCTGAGCTCACTGGCTGGCTTGATGTGATTCACCAGCCTGTGGATATCAAAGTAAGATCAAAATTACGGAGGAAGAGAAAAATTATAATTTGAATTCTCTATTGGTCTTGTTCTATTAAAGTTAAAAAAAATAAAGCAATTGTTTCATTTTAAATCTTCAGCCTCCTATAATCAGTCAAACCATAGAATTATTTGTATCGGCCTTAGACCAGTAAATAAAAGTGTATTGGGTCTAAGTCCTATTAAAGCGAGGATTTAAAATTTTTGGTAAAAGTACCACCATACTTTATATAATCTTGTCTTTATCGGTGCACACTGCACATTAATCCAATGATCAACTTTGAAATAACATAAATTAAAATTTTCAATAAATAAATTATGCTCTGCAGTTAGAATTTTTACCTTGGACAACATAATTCATAAAGATATGTTTTTGGAGACCTCTTCATTTTCAGGCTCACATAATCTCATGGGATAAAATTAGAAAATTGACAGAGACTTACGCCCAGAAATCCTCAACGGTCTCGAAATTGTAGATCTCAACCTGATTGTCCTCCCAGGACTTGGTACGGTCATTCTCATAGTACCAAAGCGTCCACGAGTTTTGCAGAGGGTGCTTGATCACGTCACGAGGCACGTCCCCCATGGGCTTTGCCTCCTTTTGCTCTTGCTCCATCTGAAAAAAATATGCGAATTAGAGATTTTAAGATTCAAATTTTGAAATTTTCAGAAAAATTGGATGAACCGAGAACCAAGTGGCGAAAAAGTAGCACGCGCTAAAGGGCAACGGCACCCAACCAACCGAGAACCGACCATATGAGGTCAACGATTGGAGGTATCCACGTTTTTGCCCCGGTGAAACCCCGTGCTTAGTTTCAACGTCGGTCTAGCATGGAGGAAGGCCGCGCCCGCTTAAATACCAACCACCTTAAGCTAGACAAAGGTCAAATATGACAAGTAACCGCACCGCCGAAAAGCAATTCACTGAAATTTCAGCAATTTACCTCTTCAGGAGCCTTCGTATTTCCGACAGCAGCAGCCATGTCACCGCGATTATTCGCTAGAGAATTTTCCCCACACGGTCGCCGTTCCGCGGCCAACGCCCTCTTTCGTACAATTCAATCATAAATCGTTCTGCCAACCTATTATTTTATTTTTCAAAAATGTTTTTCTATAGATATCGTTTTGCATTAATGAATTTTAAATTTTTCGCTTAATTTCATAAATTAAAATTTACTTGAAATATTTTTAATTACATAAAATTGATTTTCCCTTGTGCAAGTAACGGAATTTAATTTTGTTAAGTTGGTTTAAATGCATTAAGTTTCAAAACAAGTGCGGTAAAGGTAAAATTGTCAGATTTTGATTTTTGTTTGTGTTTGGGAGCTCAATTCAAGGCACATCTCGATCTTCATACTTTTAAAGCTTTTGTGATTCTAGACTTGTATTGGTTATTCGTATTCTTGAATTCTTCTACAATATTTTAACCTCATTTTTAATTTAGGGGATACCGGGATAGGACGCCGCGGAGGACTTTTCTGCCTGAATATTTAAACACGGTGCAAAAAATTATTACATCCATACATTTAAGTTTTATTGGACAGAAGAGACAGAAGCAATACAAAGTATTGAGCTCCGCTGCCATAGAGACTACAGAGAGAAACCTTTCAAACGGAATGCAACGCTCAAATTGAATAAGAAAGTTTGTGTGCATTATTTTTTAAGCTTCTGTGTCAATGCTCTTCCTCGCTCTTCCTATTAATTGATGTACATTAAATTAAATTTTTTTGATAATTACAGTATGTATTTTGCAGTATCAAAATTTTAAACATGGACAAGAATTTGAACAAATCACCAACAGTATGGACTCGTCCCGCTGACGTTATGAAAATGCACAGAGTGAAGAAGCGAGCTCTACAAGCTCGTATGTTGGACAATAGCACTGTCTCAAGAGGGAACATACTTGACATCCTTGGGGATAACAAAGCAGCGTCCAGCAATGAAATTGAAAAGCCTGATGAGGCTGTTGAATCACGCCTCAATCCATTTCGGTTTATAACCAAAATTAAAAATTTAATGTTAATAAATCTTCAAATTTCTGTGCATTTTCAGGAGAGATTTGACTAAAAGGTTTAAGGCTTCCTCTGGCAGTTCAATCTCAAACTGTGACCTTGATGCCTCAAATGACAATACTCTGTTTCAATTGCTCAACCAGTCCAGCTCGAGGGACTCGCAACAAGGCCCGAGCAAGGAAGCTCTCACAGACTCTTTTGCAGACTTCTTAGATAAAATCACCGGATCCCAAATCGTACTATACACTTCACCTAAATTTCATTCTGGAATTTTAATTGACTCTATTATTCCTCATAGGCTGCAGAGTCTCTAAAAAAGAGGGACTCTGTCCTTCCTATTGACTGGTCGCTCAAATCTAAAGTGAGATTTTTCTCAAAGAAACCACTTCCGTGGAATCAAAACCTGAAGGTTGTTTACGATTTTTTTTCTTTATTTGTTACTTTCAAATTTTTTATTAGATGCTGGACGAAGCATCAGGGACAACTGCCTTTGCAAGATGCATGGATTTGAAAAGTTCAGAGACCTCACCATCCATCAGCACAGGCATTAATGCTCAGCTGCAGCAGACATGTCTGACATGGCAACACCCTGCCTTGCCGTGGCTCTCCCTGTTTCCTAGGACAAATGCCGATAAAAAACAGAAGAAAATTTCTACACCCTTAGATCAAATAATAAAAGATGCTCTACACAATGCTTGGTTTGATGAACTTTTATTCAGTTATGAGGAAGCTGTGTAATTAATCTTGTAGGAGAGAAAGTTTTCGGTCATTGCTGCAGCTGGTCAGAGCGCATCAGTGCCCCTACTTTTACCTTTGCGCAAACAAGTTCACATGTTTGGTGCGAGCAGCCGGCATTGGTGGCTTTGAGGAAATAAATGCAATCATATCACCGACCACCTCTGGCTTTAGGAGGCTCCTGCAAAACGATGGTATTATAATATTTAACTTAAAATGTACTAATCAAATGAATTAATCAATTAGAAATATCCTTCACGCTGCCGTTGCAAAAGGAAGGAGTATCAAGTAACTCTTCGCCTGGTGACCTAGATGAGTCAAGAGATGGCCAAGCAAGTGACACTGATCCCATTGAAGAGACAGAGGACGAGGTGGATGATGAAGAGGCAGTCGAGTGGTTGCAGAGCATTGGTGTTGCTGAGGCAGAGATCAAGAAATTAAACTCGACACAAAGCAAAATGTAAGCCATCACTAAGGGCTAATTTTGTCTTTAAACAAACATCCAGAATATTTAACATATCAGTTTAACAAAAATCATTTGAGAAAAATACAATTTATAGTTTGACTAATTAATATCACCTTCTTTTAGCAGCATCACATTTTTTAATTTTATTCTTTCTTCTCTAATTATGCCAGTTTTAAAAACCATTTTTTTTTTTTTTTTAGTAAAAATGCAAAAACCACACAAATTGATCAGAAGCCGTCTTCAACTGTAGTTGTCCAAACAGATGCAGAAGTCATGGCTCTTTTCAACCTTTTGTTGAACTGCCGCAGCATAACAACTACCATTGGCACATTGGCAGGGATTCCCCCAACTCTATTAGCTCCCGTTGCATTCCACGGAGCAACGTTAGTGCCTCTTTTGGTAAATAATATTATGACTTTTGGTGTCCTATTGAACTGTAAGAAAAATTTAATCAACAGGTGGGGCAAAAGACTGTAAACATGAAGGGGGAGCAGTTTTTCAGTGCCGAGATTGTTGGTCCTGTTCTTCCACATACTCTACGAGAGCTGTGTGCACAGTTAGAGGCACACCAAAGCCAATTCTCCATGACTAGCTCCATCGTGGATCATAGCAAGGCCTTTTCGACGCTGCCTTCACCTGAAAAGCCACCCAGCACAAGCGCCTTTGCTCAGGAGAACCTTAGGGACTGCGGACTGACCTCCTATTCGCTGAAAGCTTTATGCCAAGTGGGCCCAATGTCTGTGCTGGCTGGGGTTAAATTCCAAAACAGCCAATATGTGTGCCATGACTGAGTTTCATCAAATTAACAATTATTAACTAACTCATGTGCCTTGGGAAATTCATATTTAAGGAATAAAAAGTTACATTTTATTGAAATAATTTATTTCACTTAACGAGGCAGAAGTGTAACAGAATGAGCGCAATATATTTTTGTTCTTATTGCTATAAGCACTCGTATCAAAGTTGTATAAACATGGATTAATTTGTCTTCTTTACTAATTATTGGTCATTTTTTTGAAAGTGTCCATGTTGGCGTCTTGGGTGCGCCGTCATTTAGAGACAGCGATGGGAAATTATTGTTGAGCACGTGGCTGTCTATGTGTGCTTTCTTGTCCTTGGAACTCAATACCTGGCCGCAAGTCACACACTCAATGAAATCACCTTTTTGACCATGTGCCAGCCAAAGCTCCTAAGAGATGCAATTTTGAGGTTACATTGTGTTAGAAAATCTGCTCCGAAAATTGGCATTTTTATTTAATATTTTTTTTTTTATGAAAGACCTGCTTTTATCGAGTTAATATAAATTTGATAATTTTATTGCATTTGGATGCCAATTGTTTTTTATTACTACTGTGTTACAAACCTGTTGTTTTCTGATGTCAGGCAAGAGAGCCAATAATTCTGGGAAAATTCTGACAAACTCTTTGTCGCCGACAGACTCTCTACAGTGGTTGTAATACTCGAGCGCCTCTATCTGACCTCGACGGAATTTAGAGGACATCTGGCAAAACTTATTGAAACCCTCTGGCTCTGTCTGCAGAGCTTGTATCCGCTGCACCAACTGAGAGTTCCTCTCCTTTGAATTGGTCGGTTGTATAAAAACACCAGCAGTCTGAAAACCACAATTAAAATCAACCTCAAATGTGAAATAGCGGTTTAAACCTGTCTTATTGGAAAACTCTCTCCGCAACTATTAGTAAAAGTGAGGCCATTGGCGGGACGGGCAACAGAATTAAGGGTGACTGAGAAGCCAGGTGGTGGACTGACAGGGGTCTGCACACATGCAAACCCTGGTGGAGGAGCAACTGATGGGGCTGGTGATGCCAAATCTTCTTGCAGGGCTCCAATTTGCAGCTCCGAGCATTTACGGTCCTCTGTTTTTTTACTCTTTGTCCCACTTGATGTAGCCGAATTTACTGAAGAGTTTGATGATACTTGTGGCAGAGGACTTGTGGAATTCTGTCGTCCCTTATTTTTCTTCTTTTTTGATTTACTTGATTTGCTCTCCTCCGCCTAATTAAAATATTGCATTAAATAATAAAAAATTTGACATCCTTAATTTTAGATGGAGAATATGTAATTAAATGTGATTTGAATTTAAAATCGGCTTTTCCTAAACAAGTTTTTGAGAGTTGTTTATTGTTTAAGAAAAACAATATCCTGCTTTACATGTTTCAGCTGTGGGCTGCAGCCATAATTCATGAGCTGTGAAATCATTTTCACAAGAATTAGCCCGCAGCTGAAACATGTATTGCAGGATATTGCTTTTCTTAAACAATAAACAACTCACAAACCCATTAAGGAAAAGCTGGCTTTAAATTCAAATCACCATGAATCAACCCTCGATCAAGAAATTCTTCTCCAAAATGTAATTAAAATTTCAAGTAGTTAAAATATTATAATTTCACCGTGAAAGAAATTTTGAAAAAATATTTTTTTGTAATTCAGAGAAATGGAGAGTAAAAGGAAAAAAATAATTACTTTACTAACGTCTGCTGGAGCGACAAAGGACGGAGGCTTCACTGTGACTTTGCTTTTGCCATCAACATTTGAACCAAGCAAGTTGCTTTGGCTATGTTGCTGCTTAAGAATAATAATTATATTTAACTCTTAATTTTAATAACTTCATTTTACAGTAGATTGACTTTGGTTCTGCGGTACAACTTTGCCGACTACATTTCCCTTAGGAACAACTTTGCCTTTCCAACTGCTAGCTACTGGCATTTGCTTGGCAGGAGCTGCGAGGGAAGGGAAGTCAGCAAGACCTCTTTGAAGAGGCGCGCCCGAAGAACTTGGAGGCGCCGAGGTCTCTGGTCTCCTTTTATGCTGAACCTAAGAGAATGGTTTGAATAAGGCCTTGATAAATGCATTTTGATTTTTTTATTACTTTGATTGAAAAGTTGTTTGAAAGGTTATTAGCTCTGTTATTGACAGGGCCGCGCTGGAGACTAATGTTCACGTTTGATGATTCGGCAGAGAGAGATGGAAAGTTTTCCTCTGTCATGTTTAATCGTGTGCCACCACCCTTGAATCTAATCACATTGGTGGCTGAAGAAGGTGGCGTAGATGAAATAGAGCCACCCAGAGAAGGAAAATTGTCTTCGTGCAAATTGGGACGGACTGGTTGCTGCACCACAACAGGCTCTTGAAAACCTACTGCACCCTCACTATCCTCATTGCTAAAAAATGGGAGTGAAATTAGGATAGTATTATTTTAAATCGAGATGATAGAATTTTAAAATGATAAAAAATTCCTTGATTTAGTATGTAAAGAGAATTTTGAAGCTGTTCAAAAAAAGGACTCTGCAATAATTTAACTTGGCAAACTACAAATATTTTGCTCACTTTTGTTGTCTTCTGTGAGCATGACTTGCAGAGCCTCTTGGCCTGGGCGCCAGGGTAAACTCTAGTTCCAGAGTTCGAGCCTGTTTGGTAGCTGCCTTGCCTAAAGCCCTGCCGTGGATAGAGGCTCTGTGCGCCTTGAGGTCAATGTCCGACCTGAACACGGAGGTGAATTTTTCCTCCTTGCACTCGCCCTCTTCACATAAATAGTGGTCTGAGCGAAAGTGATCCCTCAAAAATTCGTATGTACTAAACAGGGAAATTTTAATTAGTGCCTGTCAATTTGCACATTAAATCTTTATACTAACGGAAAGTATCGATTGAATCCATCAGCATCACAGAAGTGACAATAATGGTGAGTGCGCCTCATGTGGCGGTACAGCTCATCGTTGTCCATGAACCTTTCATCACAGAATTCACAGAGAGGGTGGCCACGGTGCGAGCGGTCATCAGGGTCACCCCTTCTACGATGTTGAGCCAGCTCCGGGCGTTTGTAGCAGCGACGCTCACACGAAAAAATCTAAAAAATGATGAAAAAAATTAGTTCTCCAAACGTTCAAAATTTTGGCACATTAAATCCAAGCTTGAATGGTCGACTGGTTCTTTAAACCTAAGGTTTCTCAAGTGCATGCTAAATTTTATGGACAGGTATTAATGAAAAAAAAAAATAATAATAAACTTCGAAATTTTTTAAAACAATTTGGACATTCATTTAGCTGCATAGTCAATCAATGGCTAATCGGCCTTTTAGTTATCAATTTCTGAGGTAATAAAGTTTTTCCTAGAATTTTGCCAAGATCTACCCCTGCTTCTGATTAGGACAGCTGTCAAATCCATCTCAACGAGTTTAAACTTTCAATATAAAAAAAAATTGTTTCAAGCTAAGATAAAAAAAAGCGTGATTATTAATATTTAAGTCCATTTGCCTTAAGATTGGCTACACAAAGATCACAGTAGAAGAGCTCATGTTCCTTGCGCATGTGGTCCTTAAGTAAATTGAAGGTTCGGAACTCAGGTTGGTTGGCGCACATCTTGCACGAGTGCCGCAGCAGTTGGCGGTACGCTTCTTCTGCCGTGGAACTCGAGAACCCGATTTTGTACTTTTTTTCAAAAAACCTCTGCTGCTGCTTTTTATATGGCTTCACTTCCTCCGCAAACACCACCTGTCAATTTAAGATGATAGGTTAAAATCACCGAATAAGGAATTGGAAACGCATCCCTATATATACAAACAAATAAAATCTTTCTTCAAAATTTTAATCAACATAATTCTTGTTTAGATGAAATAATATTGTCAACCCAAAACAAAATTTAGCAGACTTTAAGCAGAGATATGTATTGCAGAATATAATCAATGCATGCGTACCCTGGGCATGTCCTGTCTGCAGATAGGGCACTCAGTCTGCTGGCAGAGCACACGCATTCGAGTGGAGCACTCGAAGCATACAGGGTGATCACATTCGCCCACAGAAAAGATCTCCGACTCTTTGAAGCACACCACGCAAGTGTTCGCATTTTCGTCATCATCACCGCCAGCCATCCTCGTTTCCTCAGTCACAACAGTTGTCTGAATTAGACAGCCTCCTATGAGTATGACGACAATTATTAATAAATCTTATTAAATCTTATTTTACGCAAGCAATAAATTATAGCAAACAATGAAGATCGAGTGAAAGTGGGACGCAGGGACACATATATTTTCCAAATTTATTGAAATGCGGGTGTTTTGAAAAACGGCATGATTGTTAGAGAAAGCACAGGAGGTTTATTTTGGAAAAAAATTTGAGTTTGGCCTTACCACGACATATTTTTGCACATGCAAATGTGTAGCAAACAGATGTTAACACGCTGCAGTAAATTTTTGTTTTTACGTCACTTTGCAGGTGCGCGATGATGATGATTTTTGGCCTCTTGGCTCAGTTAACAGGCATGCGCCAATTCTACTTTGCTGATTGGCCAATTTAAGCTGAATAGACCAATGGTAATGCCGGAAAAGTGCGCTGGAGTATTAAACGACTTTAAAAATAGAAAATCACAAAACAAAGAGAAAAACTGAAAAATCTTATAATTTTATTTCCTTTGCCAGCTTTGTCCCACTAGACTAAGAATTGAAGGGTATTTTTGGTAGGATAATATTATTTTTTATTCATAGTCACTGCTTTTAATTTCAAAGCAATTGTTTCGCAAATAATGAAATTGCATTATGTATGAACCACTACATATAACACTCGAGGAGGACAGGTGGGAATTCCTAGTTTCGAATCTTCAACAAGTAAAACTTTTTTGATGACAATTTTTGAAAATGTTTCTAAAAAATAAATTATTAACTAATATTAGATGTAATTTTAGTGACAAAATATTTTTAATCGACATTATTATATGAAATAATTGCATATGAGCAGCTGGGCGAGAAATCATTGCTCGGTTGTCGGTCGCCATAACAGTTTTGGTTCGGATTGGATCTGTCGCTCGCAAGAACGACATGAAATATCCCAGTAATCCTGCTTAGAGATCGCACAAAATGATCTCGTGACTTGGAAATTGGCTTGATAAGTGCATCAGCTGTAGAAATCTGCGCATAGTTTTTCCACAGAGAGCACGCCAAGGTAATTAGACGGACTGGAAAAGTTGATACCTCGGAGTCTACTTTGCCCCGATCGGCCATTTATTATTATCATCTGGTGTTCTGGCCTCCGCATCTATTTTCCGTGTATTCCAAACTTTGGTTTTACTTCTTTTTTCGGAAATTTTAGTTAACCACAGTGCATTATTTCGATTGACTCTATTATTCTAAACAGATTTGATTTGAAAATGCACTTTCCTGTTGTTTCTGCTTCAGTGAATACATATCTATGGTCAAAAAAGTGGAAATTTATTCGAAGATTTTTTTATGTTTTTATTACGACTTTTTAGAACGAATGCTGCAGACTTGCTCTGAGTCCTTCCAAGGACTGAAATGCCGAATTAATTTAAGTACTCTCTATTTGCCCTCCATGTTTTGATTATGGTTTGGGCAAAACTTTGCTCTGAGCATTGTGTAATGTGATTAATTCCAGGAAGAGCGTTTTACTTTACGTAATTTGACAACACTTGACCTTGACGAACATTTTGATCAATGTGTGTAGAAAAGTCAAATGTTATTTTATTACACCCCGTTAAGATGATGTAGTCTTTAATGTAGCCTAAATATGCGGCAAATTAAAAAAATAATCAAATTTTCTATTCTAAATAACGTTCTTATAAAAGTGACTAAAACAGTGGTGTACATATACACCAATTAATTGTACAGTAAAAAGAAATTATTGTGCAATATTTTTCATAGGATTCTCCAGTAGTTAAAATAATGCTATTTACATAGCAAAATAGTTGTACTGAAGGGCCATTGTTCTTAACATAAAAGCTACACCTGCAGTTGCAAACAAAATGGTTGAATATTTTGCTGAAATTTGAAAATTCTATTTCAAAAATATTTACTTGGTTTTTATGTCATCCTTAAATTTAAAAGTATGTGCACTTTAGTCACGATGTTGGCGCACATCGTCAAGTTGTTAATCCTTTTTTCTTTTTTTTTCTAATTTTTAAAATTTTTTACCTATCGAGTGTAGAATAAATAATAGTATTAATAATACTACAAAAAATAACATGTACACTTTTCTTCAAATGGGTCTTTTGGAAGACAGAGTGGACAGAAATTTCTGGGTAACAATTTCTTTGCAACAATACACTCAATGTAAATTTCTATGCGGCCAACAATCGTTTTTTCAGTCTCCATCCTCATTCTAATTTTAAACCAACAAAAATTCTTCAAGTATGCTTGAAAAATATATATTATTGTTCAAATCGTTGTTGCTGATCTACAATTTTTATAATTTGTTTGATTTGGCAGCCGAGTCCCAAGAAAATGGAGCTCCGGGTGGGCAACAAGTACCGTCTTGGGCGGAAAATCGGAAGCGGTTCCTTCGGTGACATTTATCTAGGTATTTTTTCATAAGTTATTCAAATGTTGAAGAAATAATATAATGAAAATTTTATCAGGGACCAACATAACAACGGGGGAAGAGGTGGCCATCAAGCTTGAATGCATCAAGACAAGGCACCCTCAACTGCACATCGAGTCAAAGTTCTACAAGATGATGCAGGGAGGAGGTACAAGATTGTAAATTTAAATAGGTCAGATTAACTAATTTAAATTGCAGTTGGAATTCCGATGATCAAGTGGTGCGGCTCTGAGGGCGACTACAATGTGATGGTCATGGAGTTGTTAGGACCCTCACTGGAAGATCTCTTCAACTTCTGCTCCCGCAGATTTTCTCTCAAGACTGTGCTGCTGCTCGCAGATCAACTGGTAAATATTTTTTTTTAATTTTATTTTTGTGACTCTTAAAATTGAATTCACTTGCAGATTAGTCGAATAGATTTTATCCACTCGCGCAATTTCATCCACCGCGACATCAAACCCGACAACTTTCTCATGGGCCTCGGCAAAAAGGGCAACCTGGTCTATATCATTGACTTTGGATTGGCTAAGAAATATCGTGACGGCCGCACGCACCAACACATCCTCTACCGCGAAAACAAAAATTTGACTGGGACTGCGCGCTATGCCTCTATCAGCACCCACCTGGGCATTGGTAAGAGATTAATCTGGCTTGTTGATCAAATCATAAACGATTTTTATTTGTTTATTTTTATGAAGTTGCTGACGAAAAATTTCTTTTCATGATAAAGGAAAATAGATGATGGATATAGTTTTTCATTTGAATTTTTGACAACACGCTTTTGTCAGCTCTCGAAGAATGAAACAATTCTAAATTCTTTAAAAATAAAAATCAATGAAAATTTGCAATGCAATAGTAAAACACTACACATGACACCGTCGGCACCTATCAAAATCTTCTTTCCCTATTTTTTGATATCCACAGAATTGCATTAAATTTTTTTAAGAACTAGATTTGTGGTGATTTGAATTTAGTCGGTTTTTTCTGGATGGCTTTTGCAAGTTGTTTATTGTTTAAGAAAAAAACAATATCCTGCTCTTTTTTCTGCTGCTTTTTTTAATAAAAAAATCACCAGAGTAAACCCTCGATTGTGAAATTCTACTACAAAAACTAGATTTAGTTTTCCAATAGGAGAAGCTGAAATTTATTTTCCCAAATTTATTTTTTAGAGCAAAGCAGGCGAGACGATTTGGAGTCCCTGGGTTATGTGTTGATGTACTTCAACCGTGGCTCACTGCCGTGGCAGGGCTTAAAAGCTGCCACGAAGCGGCAGAAGTACGAACGCATCTCTGAGAAGAAGATGGGCACACCCATCGAGGAGCTCTGCCGAGGATACCCTGGTAATACAATTGATGAACTCATAACCATAATGAATTCTAAATTTAATTGCTAAATTTTCAGCTGAATTCGCAACATATCTTTACTATTGCCGATCGCTAAGGTTTGAGGAGCGGCCCGACTACAACTACCTGCGTCAAATGTTCCGTTCTCTCTTCCACCGTCAGGGCTTCACCTATGACTATGTTTTTGACTGGAACATGCTTAAATTTGTGAGTATCAAAGAGCATGTTTTTCACTATTATTGGTCAAGCTAAATATATTCAATTTTTTTTTTTTTTTTTTTTAAATTTGATATATATTATAATCTTCATGCTATTACTGCTACAGAAAAAAAAATTAGTTGCAAAGTGTCTTTGTTGATTGCTTGACATGTATCTTAATAGAGAGCAATTTCCCTACTTGAATTTTTTAAACTGGAAGTGCTTGTACTGCTTACTTAAATAGCCTCTTTTAACTAATATGTTTTTTTCTCATTTTTCAAATGAGTTCTAATATTAAGTTTAACTAAACTCTGAATAATGTTGTTAATTTAAATGAATATTGTTACAGTTGGTTTGTGTTTGCTTTTTCAGGGAGCTTCTCGTTTGGGACAGGAGGAGGCAGGTCGCGAGCGGCGCTACCCAACTCGAATGGGTCAGTTTGTGGGCAGCCAGCAGCAGCAGCAGAATGCGTCCGGTCAGCCAGGTGCTGGAGTGAGTGGCGGAGGCGGGGGTGCTTCTGGCAGTGCACGACACCCAAAGACAACAGCAGCAACAGCTGCTGTGGTCAGTCCCATCGAAACAACATCCCGAACCCCTGCACCTCCCCAACAGCAACCACCAGGACTGGTGGCTGTGTCTCCAGCGGCGGCAACCGGCGGAGCCACAACAGCGTCGCCATCCTCAGGTAAAAGACGGTAGTGGCGCTTTGCACCAACGGAGCGAGGCGCCTCCCGCTGCAAGTTGCAATCGGCGCCCCTCTGCTGCCAACGAGCTGCTGCCCTCCGAATAAGTGAATTAATTTCAGACTGTGATCAAATTATTCGCCCCCAAGCCAAGCTGGTCCATTAAAAATGGCCTATACACGTGAACTTGATCGTTTATATGTCCCTTCGATCGAATTTCTCCAGCAAGTTGGTTCGACTCTCGAGTGAACCGTTCGTGGCGCCGCCGACGCCTCTCGACTGACATCCATCCCTCGGCGTCGGCTGGCTTCTGCTTTTTCTATTTTCCTCCAGCCTCTCTGTCGGGTTTGCTGAAACCAGACGACTGATGATCTTTCGTTTTAGGCGTATATTATTTTTCTCCCCCGTGATATGTGGAACTTAGGTTTTCTCATTTTTTGCAGTGTTAGTTTAATAGCTCACTGGAACTTGCGTTGGAGTTAATGGTTTTGATTTAGTAGCAATTCACCTGTAACCAGAATATTCTAAATTAGCAATCAATCTGATCTGACATTTCCTTCAGAGATTGTCTCTCCGATGCTAAACTAATTAAAATTAAATCACCAATTCCAAACTCGTCCAGTGCGCCCTCAAGAAATTGATTTTGCACATCACCGTGAAACTATTCTTGTCGCTGTATTTGCTTCCATTAGATTAAACAATTTCTTATTTGATACTGAAACTGATCGAAGAAATATGGTTCTTATTAACCTAAGAAGAAGCATTGAAGTGTGACTGAACGAATTCGCTCTGCACTTGTAAGTACTTAATAAGCTGCTCTCTTTCCCTCCCGAGAATGGAGAAGTGGTTGATTTTTGTTGACCCCGAGAGGTCAGATGGACAAAACGACCAGCGCCGCCCTGAAGTGTAAATAATGCGGAGAGGATTGAAAAAGAGTGGCGAGCGCTCGGCTTGAACGTAGAATGGAAGCTTCTGACCGCCGGCCGGCGTCAGGCTGTATCATACACCTTGTACATATATTTTTATACTCGATGTGTGCGACAAAAACGAATTGAAATGAGAAGAACCTGGTGGTGATTGCGACTCGTCCGAAATGAAAGCAAGAAAGAAAAGAGTGTAAATATACAAAATAGACGTTCGAGATTGATCGTTATATCGCTGCCTTATGATAATTAATACTGAGAAAGAAAATTGTAAAAATGTGTTTCCTTGTCCGCGAGCCGATTTTAGGCACGGGTTTTGAATTTTTTTTATATAATTTTGTTGCAACAACAAAAAAATTTGATTGAGAAAAGTTGTAAAATAAAAAAATAATAAAAAAAAACATGATGTGATTCATGTCTATCAATTGCGATCTAACAGGAATTGTATTGATTCTACGTTTAAGGAAAGAGTATAACACATTATTTGTTGTGATGTATACAATTTTCGGGTATTAAAACGTCAAAGAAATCTAATAATCAAAACTTTAATTTGCTTGAAGAACTCGCAAACCAATATTATCCTAATTTTTTATCCCTGCTTTATCTGAATTTGCCACGGTCAGGTGACAAGGAAGCCACCGTCAACTGGCAATGAGCAGCCGTGCACCATGGCGGCGGCGGAGTCGTTGAGCAGGAAAAGTACGGCTTCCACCACATCCTGCTCCTCTACCGAAAACAACACACGGGATCAATTATTATTAATTCTCAAGCCAAACTCGTTCGTGTAATAATATGTCACCTGCAAAGCGCCCCACTGGAATGCGTGCCAGCATCGGGCCAGCCTTGACTGGGTCGCTCCAGCCCAGCCGACCCATCGCCGTCAGCACCACGGTTGGATTCACGCAGTTCACACGGATCTAATAGCAAAAAATAAAATAATTATTTTTTCATCGAATGCACTTCGCAATTTATGAACTAAGGCCTAATTAAATTTTCTTTTAATATCCAGAATAATCGATGAATTCTGTTAAAACTTTCAAAATGAGAGAAAATTAACCTTGTGCTTGCCAAGCTCAAGAGCCATGACCTTGGAAAGGGCATCAAGAGCTGCCTTGGTGGAGCAGTAAACCGCATGGTCAGCCAGGGCTCTCTGCGAAGCCTGCGAGGAAACGTTGACAATGGCACCACTTTGGCCTCTTCCGATCATGTCTTCAGCCACCATCTGACTCACGTTGACCACGGCCTTGACGTTAACCCCAAACGACCTTTAATGCATATAAAAGAATCAAATAGCTGATTCGCAGTTATGCTTTTCTCATTACTGGTCAAAGTGTTCCTCGGAGACTTTGAGGAAGGGCTCGAGCTGCGCTACGGCCGCATTGTTGACCAGGCAGTGCACACCCTGGACGGCCTCCTTCAGCTGAAGCCTGGTGGCCTGCCAATCGGCCAAATCGACGCAGACGGTGCTCAGACTGGCGCCGAGCTCCTCCTTCAGCGAGTCGAGGTCACGCTGGCTGCGGGTCACGGCCACTGGCTTGGCGCCCAACTGCCACAGACGCACCACCAAAGCCCTGCCAATGCCTGCAGGATAAAATTACTATCCGAGCTAAAAATTAACCTCCAAATACTAGTAAAATTTTTAAACCTTTTCCGGCGCCCGTCACAAGGACCTTCTTTCCCTTAAAAAAGGCGTTGTGAGTTCTTCCTTCAGACATGCCGACTAAAAATCAAACTGCTGCGGAGGCTGTTTTGTTTTTTCGTGCCTGGAAGAAGATTGGTGCTCCAACGGCTGACACAATTGGAGAGCGGCAAATGAAAACAAACTTTGATCGCTCTTGATAAGAATATAAAACCAAAGAAAAATAGCAGCAGCGCGAGAGCAAAATTATGAAGATTTTTATATAAAAAAATGCATACCTATTTTTTTAAATGCTTACATAAAATTGAATTGTTTAAAAAAAAACATTATATAATTTAATTATTATTGAAAAAAAGATAAAACCGCATTCAAAACAGCTTTATCAAAAATAATATATATGATTTTTTAAATTAAACTTTGTGTAGCATTATTTAAATATTTTATTATGAATTAACGTACATCATGGATCCTCAAGCAATAAAATTTTTCTGCAGTTTAAAAAACGATTCACATTTTCAGTCTTTTGCACAAGCGTTCATCTCGCTCTCAGCTACCAAAAAGGAGAATTCTGAAAAGAGCGGCCGTCAAACTGGCCAAACCGACGATTGAAGTTGTGAGGACTGCACTTGTGGCGGCGCCGTTTGAGCCTTTTTTGGGGTCGTTAGAGCTGCCTGGACTAGTATCCACCTTGGCCAAAGTCTGCGGACAATCGGGTAGTTTGCAATCGATCGGGGTCGGCGTCGGCGTTGGTCGCAGATCCGGTAGACACATTCGCTCTGCCACCTGAAAAAAAAATATATTCAAGCACAGAGAAAATCATACAAATGGCGATCATAGAGAAACAAGAGAGATTATCTGTTACGAGAGCGCGGCCTGTTTGTTTTGGATGGGAAAATATAATATGGAAAAGGCTTCCCCTAAAGGGTTTGTAAAACGTGCGAACAAGCTTTTATATTTATATATGTGTATATATATGTATGTGTATAAAATATTCCTCGCCTCAAGAAAAACAGCCTGTCCGTTTGAATTCTTCGATTGAACGTAGCACTTTGAAACTTGCAGCACTTTGCCAGAACCACAGGACCCGCTGCAATCTGAGTAGTTAAATTGCCGCCACCTATGGAATTGAGTGCAATATGAGATTTCAAACTAAACTTAAAAATTAAGTGCTTAATTAATACCTTGGTGAGAAGCAGGGCTGTTGGCCGCAGGGCTTGGTCTGCTCTTGGGGCTTGTCGCCGTTGCATGAGGACTCGTCTACTCGCCAGTCGCCCTTCATGCACACCGCTACTGACCTTTGATAAGCTGCAATCCACACAAAAATTATATCAACTTCTCTTAAATTAGTGCATCAAAAAACACTCAAATGTTGAAGGAGAATTTCACATAAAGCGTTAAATTAAATGCTTTAATTTTGTATTTAAAGAAGTCATGGCCGGAATCAATTTTGGATTGAAATTTTTTTATTTTTAAATGTGCGCTGTTGATTAATCTAGAAAAAATTTTAACTTACAGCCGCCGCACGTTATTTTGCAGGGCTCATAAATTAGCCGCCAGGCCGCCGTCCCTGGAAGCAGGCCTGCAATTTGCTTCTCCATCTTTTTTCCATTGGAGTTTACGACCAAATTTACCTGCTTCCGAATATCGATTTTTAATGTAACTTAAATCTTTAAAATAAAAGAATGAAGTTGTGTATATATACCATAACTAGATTATCCAATAAGACGCACATCCCTATGAAAAACGCCGCGTGCGACATCATGTCAACCTGCGTGTGTGATTTGAGTATGGATCTCGTCATGAAATAAACACGGTTGAGGGAAACAGACTACGGGTGCGCCGCCGATATTAATTACAATGTCACGCTAGCTGAAATATTTTTAAATAAGGGATAACCATCTTTCTGTCCATTAATCGATTTTTAGAAATTGTGACAAATGACGTCATTAGGCCTTGCACTCTCGCGCTTTTAATTACTGTTTCAAGTTTGAATTGTTTCTATTTTCATCTCAATTTTACGCCACCATGGAAATATAATTATACAACGCAATAGAAAATGAGTTTTTTAGTTAAGGAGTGTAGCAGAATGTATAGTTGTAAGTTTTTATTTAATTTCATTTTTAAGAGGCATTTTATGTGGATTATTGAAACTCTGCTAGTGAAAAACTAAATTAGAGAATGGGGTTACTCAGTCAGACAGCCTTTATTGCACCAACTTGAATTTACTATTAATTTGCTATTTTTTTTAAAAATCATTTTTCTTAAATAAATACAGATTTGATAGGTAGATAAAGCCACCAGCCTTCAATGTTAGTAAGAAAGAAGTAGAAGAGGAAGAGACTTGAGCTCTTTAAAAAGTTCCAATCAAGTCACGCACAATAAACATCCGCAGACCGACCAACTACTGATTATATCAGCCCGTATTTTATACGGATAGACCCTCTCCTCTGCACTTCCTCTCTATCCTTTGCACCTTGTTCAACTTCATGTAAATAAAAGCAGAAGTGTTTAAAAATCAAAGAAGCCTTCTATCATTAAAAAAGTAACAATATTGTTTTACCGTTATTACTAGTAAGTAATATTAATTAGATTATATAATATCTTCTTAAAAATCGTTATGAATAATACTGTTTTTCAATATATTTTTTCTCATACTCTTAAAAATGTCTCAACGATTTTTGTTGTCGCCTCTATTTTTATATTATACTCATTGTCAGTAGAACCGCTTCTTCTTCTCGTGTCATATCAAACCTAACCTAACAAATGTTTACTGAAGGATGAGAAAGTTTACTCAAAGTTGACGATAACAAAATGTGATACGCATTAATATATTGATATTTCGCGCCGCCAGAGGCAAATTCTTCAACCATAGCGATGACGCCAACAGAATAATTAACATTTGTTTATTAAAACTCTCACAAGTGAACGTAATAAAGCGATACAATTAAACTGAATTGGTTTATTAGACGTTTTTCAAATTTTTAATTCTTGAAGTAAATTTAAAATTGTTTATAAGAAAGAAGATTTAGGATATGTAAATTTTGTCAAGTTGGTAGCAAGGTTGCAGGCGTTGCAGGCTGCTGGCTGCTGTCTCAGGTGTTGTTGATGTCGCCGACCACCGAGTGACTTATGTCTCGGCTCGGATTTGTGTTCAGATCGCGGCTTGGATTGCAGTGAGAACGGAGTTGCGGGTGTCGGATCGCGTGCACCTTGACCGGAAGAAGACGTCCGAGCAAAGAATTGGGCGTCCGACGCGAGCTGCAGCAGGTAATTGCGACGCAAGGTGCGTCCGCCGAGGTGTGGGTGGGGCCTTCCAGCGAAAAACACCCATCGTCGGCCGCCGCACATAGCGGTACATTCGCTGCTGACTAATACCAAGAAGTGGCCTCTTGCACTTGCCACCACGCATTATACATACGGAAAATAATAAGTCCTTAGTCCAATTAGGACCCTGGTGGTGCACGTAGACGTGCGTTGTTAGTTGCCGTCGCGCTGCCCTATCCGATTACGAGCGGCGTTTTGGTACCCAAGTCAGTTTTAAGGGCTCCCCCAGGTAAAAAGCGAAATCGCTTGCTTTCCCTTCTCCCTCTGATCGTGTTCTGGCCAAAATTAGAAAATATTAAGACAAAGTTTTGTTTGTAAGAGAAGCTGAGCAAATTTAATATACACCGTATGATACCTTTTCAATTTTAAAAGGAAACAAAAAACGAAATCATTAAAGCTTGCTATGCATTTGAGTGATTCCTATTTATTTTCCTTTTATCACATATGATGAGAAAATATTTCAATTTCATTTATTATGTTACAACGTATTGTTGGTTTATGAATTATTTTTAGAGACCATTATTTTTTTTAACGTTTTAAGAGCAAGAAAAAAGTTAATATTTTCTAATTGCTTTCTTTAGGCATTTGATTAAATTTTGGAAGAATAAATAAAAGTTAAATTGATAAAACTCAGTTTTTTACCAAAACCAATCCTTCTTCGGTCCTGTGCCAAAATAGTTTTAATTAACCGATCGAAAAGGCAAAAATCTTGGATCCTTGATGGATTTTCATCTCAATATGCCCGAAATTTTGAATATCAAAAAATAATGTTGTTGCCAAAGCCGAGTTCAAGTGTGACATTCTCGCTGGGATTAGTGACGCAAGGCGCTTTGTTTCCAGCTTGCCATGTCCCATCAATCCGATTAGCACACGCAGAACCCTTGCTTCCTTCCTTCCCTTAGTCGTTGCGCGAGTTTGGCTGCGACCGCACGCAGCACTTTCAGTTTTTATTTGAGCCGAAATGGCAACACGACAGCCCGCCCAAGAACTGTTCAGGTGCCAGCCGTGAGGGAGGCGAACTAAACGCATTGATCAGGGTGCTTTTTTATGGTTGCAGGGTGACCAGGATGCTAAAGTTCATCCGAGGCAGGGGCCAACAGCCCACCACTGAGCGCCAGCGTCAGCAGCGCGAATTGCTCAACTTCAAAAAGGTGCGATTTAATATTTTTTATTTTTACATATATTTCTTTAATTTCTACACAAATAACGAGGCTATTTTTTCTTAAAAATAAAATTTTGTTCTTGTGATTCATTTACTGCCACTTGAAACTCCTATTCCATTAAAATTACAATTTAAAATTTATATTTATATGTATTGTATTTCTTTCAATTTCTTCTTATTAAAATACATTAATCTTGCTTTGGAATGTATATAAATATTTGCCAATGTAATATTTTATACAAAATTAAACAATCTTTAATTTTAACTCTAGACCGTGCAGCACGGCTTTCCTAGCAAGCCAACCGCGCTGGCCTTTGATCCAGTGCTTAGCTTGTTGGCCATCGGCACCGCCAGCGGGGCTATTAAGGTCTTCGGCAAGCCTGGAGTTGAGTTTTACGGACAGAATGAGGCCTGCGATGGCTGCGGGGTCAGCAAGATTATTTTTCTGGAAGGAGAGGTGAGAGGCAATATTCAGTTGTGGTCAGTGGTATTGACTTGAACTTGTGCAGGGTCGACTGGTGACCATTCTGAATGACAACTCACTCGTCTTGTGGGAGATTGAGGAGACCAAATGTGCCAAACTCGTCAAGGTCAGAGCGCTGGCTCTTGAGGGAAAGTAAGTCCTGTCCCGTGGTTGGGATAATTGTGAAATTTAGAAGGCTGAAGTTCTTTTTTATTTAAAATTATTTAATTCATGCTGATTAATGTCAAGATTAGGATTTTTTTTTTAAATCCAGACAAATTTAAATTTCTGGAGGTATTTAAAATTAAGGGAAAATGGTTATACAATTATTCTAACATCAAAGTCACCAAACCTTAGCTCAATCCTCCTGGTTTTTTTTAATATCCCTTATTCTATCTATAGAGTTGAAAGTCCATTAAAAATTGATAAAAAATTTCCTTGTTCAATTTAGACTGAAGAGAATATCAGCGTCATGCCTGCAGAGTGGCAACCAGCACTTGCTGCTGGGCACAGAAGGTGGAAATGTGTACCTGTTGAATACACGCACTTTCCAGATGGAGGAGAACATTATCTATCAGGATGTGGTCATCCAAAAGTAAGTTGCTCAATTTAATTTGGCAGAAGTAATTTCAGTTTTTCACTCTAACAGTGTGCCTGAGGATTACAAGATTCGGCCGGGCGCAGTGGAGGCGATGCAAGAAATGCCAGGCAACTCAAAAAAATTGCTGATTGGTTACAATCGGGGCTTGATGGTGCTGTGGGACCTTGAGGCACAGCGCACGGAGCAAACATACATCAGCAGCCAGGAGCTGCAAGGCTTCAGCTGGCACACAGGCGGCACCAAATTCAAGTCGGCCCACAACGACGGCAGTCTGGTCACCTGGGACGCTTCGGTCGGAGGACGAACGCCTCTTGAGGAGCCCACCACTGTCTACGGACCCTTCCCCTGCAAACCCATCTCAAAAATCATCTGGCATGAAAATAAGGGGTGAGATATCAATTACTAATGTTAAAAACTTTATAAATGATCTCAAGATTCATAAAAAAATTCTGCTTTTTTAACGTAACAAAAGTATTTCCTCATTTTTATGGAAATTTTTATTTAAATTGAAAACTTATGTAATTATTTAATCTGCATCTATTTCCAGAGAGGAGCTAGTGATCTTTGGTGGTGGAATGCCTCGTGCAAGTCACTCTGATCGCTACACGGTGTCGGCTATGAAGGGCCAGGATGACAAGCATGTGGTCTTTGACTTCACCTCTCATGTTGTGGATGTAGCCCTAGTGTTGCCTGAAAAGGGGGGTGTTGCTGAAGCGCTGATCGTACTGGCCGAGGAGGAGCTTGTTGTCATCGACCTTTCCGACCCTGAGTGGAGGATGATCCCCTTACCCTATCTGGTGTCACTGCATGCGTCTGCAGTCACATGCCTTCAGATGGTCAGCCCTGTGCCACATGACCTCTGGCAACACTTAAAAGAAGCCGGCAGACAAAGCGAAAGCAGCTATTCGAGCAGCGTAAGTTTTAAATTCAAATTTGTGTTTTGCAATTTATCATATAAGAAAGAAAAAACTACAAAATTTTAAAACATTTCCTTGCAAATGCTTTTCAAGTTTTAATATCTATGCAGGGGCTAGTCTCAAAATCATTGGTTTAATTTTTTTATGTTTATTTTTGTTAAAATATTCCTAAATGCACATGGATGATGCATGTGATGAAAAATTTGGACAAAAATAAACAACAGTTAACGAGAAGAGTAGAACGGGAGATAGAAATTATTGCATTTTATTGTTTGTTTGTAGAGTTGGCCTATTACTGGAGGAAATCTTACCAATGACTCAGACAAGAAAGAAGAAGATTCTAAAGGAAATGTACATGAACTTCTTCTTACGGGACATGAAGACGGCTCAGTACGATTCTGGGACGCTGACGGAGTTGCCCTTGCACCCCTATTTAAGTTTAGCTCCGAGCCATATTTTTGTACCGGCGACGACTTTGACGATGACATTGCTGATGATGCTGGAGATGAGGAAGACTGGCCTCCGTTCAGAAAGGTTTGATTGAGTTTGAATGTTAGTAAGAATAAAGTTTATAACTCTTTGGCAGGTTGGCTGTTTTGACCCCTACTCAGACGATCCACGTTTGGCTGTTAAGAAAGTGACCTTATGCCCCTTCAAGGGCATTCTAGTGGTCGCTGGCACTGCTGGCCACATTCTTCTGGTTAAGCTGAAAACCCAAGATGACCCTCCAAAAAAGATTATGGTGGGTGGATTAAGTTCATACTTTTTAATTTTTGTACACCAAGAGATTAATTACTTCTTTTTCAGAGCACTCTTATGAACATAGTGCGGGATAGAGACGGTTTTGTGTGGAAGGGCCACGACCAGCTAAAATTAACTGAGAGCAAAAGCAAAGCAAAAAAACAGGCATTACAGAAGGGCGCCACTGTGGAGGCTCTAGTGCAGCTTCATCCACCTGCCTCCATTACTGCAATCACCCTGAATTCAACCTGGGGCATCTTGGCAGCTGGAACTGCTCACGGACTTGCTGTTTATGACACCACCAGACATGTCGCTGTCCACACTCGATGTACTCTGAATCCAAATGGTTATTTTAAAAAGAACTACCTTATCAAACTTAAATACTTTTTTTAAAGCAAATTATTTGTATGCAAATACGACTTACATTTTTTTAAATATGAACCATTAACAAGCTTGTCTCTATTTTGGCAGACATCTCGGGTGCGGGAGACACACCAATTTCGCGACGAAAGAGCTTTAAGAAGAGCTTGAGGGAGTCCTTCCGACGCCTTAGGAAGGGAAGGTCGCAGAGAAATACAAACAAACCTGGATCTCCAGCAGCGTCCCCTGGTGACAAGGCTGAAAGGTCAATTTTTATTTTTTTTTTTAATTTTATAGCAGATCATTAAAATGCTGAAATTACATTAATGCACAGCTCCCTACCTGGTACGTCAGCTGGAACGTCTGTTGCATTGTCGAGGCCTGTGGAAAGACAGGTGGAAGCTAGGCCAGTTGAAGATGCCCTAGGCAGCATGGTCAGATGTTTGGCCTTGGAGGACACCTTCCTTGTCAGTCGTAAGCAACTTCAATTAAATCAGCATAAAATTCAGCATATATATTAAAAATTGTCGATGACTCATTTAAAGAGAAACACCAGGTTAAAATTAAAACGTCTTCCTTATTTTGCAGAGCAAGGAACCTCTCCCACTCTTTGGGCTGGCACCAACAGCGGCAATGTGCTGGTGTTCACAGTAACAGTGCCCAAGGGTGGAAAGCGAAAAGACGAAGACGTTTCCTGCCAGCTCGGCAAAGAAATTCAACTGAAGCACCGAGCGCCCATTGTTAATATCATCTTGCTAGATGGTATTGGTTCGCCTTTGCCTATTCCTGGAGAAGTGGAAGCAGGACTGACTCCAACTCCTGACATCGTTGGTCCCCATAGAGTGGTCATTTGCTCTGAGGAACAATTTAAAGTTAGTCATGCTTATTTTTGCTATTATATCGCTCAGTTTGCCCTGTTTCACAAGCAGAAAATCAAAATAGAAAGGGATTGATGCAAATATTGGGGAAATATGACATTTAATTTCAAATGTTAATTTAAAAAAAAATGTTCAATTATTATGCTTCTTCTGATGGAAAAATTTCAATTTTCAAGACCTTCACCCTACCTACACTGAAGCCCTTCTGCAAGAGCAAGCTGACAGCCAATGAGGGCTCTATGCTGAGACGAGCAGCTCCCATTCGACTAACGCCTTCCAACGTCCGAGCGGAGGAAGCACAGTATGCCCTCTTTGGGATAACAAACATGGGTGAAATCCTGGCTCTCACCCTACCAGACTTAAGGAGGCTCCTGGCTGTGCCCTGCATCAAACGAGAAGATATCAAGTAATTATCCTTTCAACAATGATTTTGACAATCCCAGTAGCTACTAATAATTCAACACCAGTTCTGCTTAAAACTTTGATTTCATTGAGGAAATTTTCTGTTCGCTTTAGCGGCATCACGACTTTGGGTTTCTCTCGATGTGGTGAGGCAATCTACCCAATATCGTCTAGTGAGCTGCAAAGAGTGAGCATCGCAACACAGAAGGTGACCCAGCTGCGGTGCCACCTGAGTGGCACAAGCAGGGCAAAGGCGGAGACAAATGGCATCAACGGAGACACTGTGTCCGAGAGCGGGACGTCAGAGGCCGGTAGCAAGAAAGGTACATCGCAAAGGTGACTCGCAACTATGCGTGTCGTGTGCTGATGCCCCTATTTATTTTGGCATGGTTATCATTAATTTTTTTTGTACTTTGACCTGCAACCTATTTCGAACGTAAATCCAAGCATGCTATTTAATTATAGCATGAGATTCTTTGCAATGGATGAAAAATTTTGTCGTGTATTATTATTTTCCCCTTAAACATCAATTCAATATAAAAAACCTTTTGCAGATGAGGCTGTGGGTCTCAATGTGTCGTCTGGAACGGAAGAGCAGCTGGAGGTTAGCATTGGAGAATTGACCCTGGACTCTGTCAGAGATCACCTAACGTCAGTCACCCCTTCAATTTCTATACTTTGTCTGAACAAAATATGTTGTTGAAGGTCTAGCACTCCAGGAGCCACGACTTCTACGCCTAAGTCCTCGCCGAACGCTAATTCCATGGCAAACTCATCGCTGGCGGTTGAAAAGAAAGAGACAATGAAGAATGGTGGCAACAGTCAATCCACAGAGCAAAGTGAGTTATCATTTAAGAATAAAACTTAAAGTTATATAGGTCGTCATCTGCATGGCTTATGTCAGTTGCTTTTAGTTCAATTTTGCTTTCGAGTAGAAATGCTTTTGTTTTAAATGAAGCTTGCGATTGTGTAGAAGTGCTTGACAGCCCGCCAGATGCTGAGCTGGAAAACAACGAAGATGCTCCCGAGCCACCGCACACAGAGGTCAGACTACCCTTCAGAGAGATCAAAACCCTGCGTTGCTAATTTTCAGGGTGGAGGTGGACTCTGTGGAAAGCTTCTCCTTATCAGTTGAAGGACCTTTCTTTAGAATTAACTTGTTTATTTCACTTGTACGCATGCTAGTTCTGGGATGTGCTGGGATGGTTATGAATTGATGTCTGCAGCTTCTCTAGATGCTGAAATTTATTTACTGACTGATTTGTATTGCATGAGTATTTAAAATTAAATTAAAAAAATATTTTATATCAAATAATCAAAGACCTTTTGAACTCTATAATAGTTATTTAAGTATGAAATGGTACTTAAAATATTTAAACCTAAACCGTACTGACTATTTTATGTTTGTATTCCATGAAATAACATATATTTAAAGGGTCTATGATGACAATAATCAAACACGACTATTACCTGGCACTAATACTAACACTGAATTTTGTACATGACAACTTTTCTCTACAAAGTTGTCCTTATTTTTGCAGATTAATGGAAGCGCAGTGGATGTTAAAGCCCCTTTGGCAATCTCCGAGGACCTGTAAGGCTAGGCTCAGATCGAAAAGACTTCTCTCCGATTCCAGCCGATGGATCTTTTTGACGCATTCTTTCGCTCCTCCCACTTTCCAATAGTTTACAACCTCCATCGCCTCTCTCACACAATATGCTCTGAGGCGAAGGGACAAATTTTACTAACGAAAGATGCTTAGAATTAAATTATGTAACAACATGAGTGGCGCATATTAATATAATATATTTTAAACTCGCAATGTATGGCAAAAGGTCGCAATTTAATATGAATTAATTTGACCCTGAAGAAGCAAGACAAGTCGAGAAGTGGCGGCTCTGTTGTTTCCTATTAAAATTAAAATTTGGCTTTAAAAGTGTACCTAGACTTGTTGCAAAACCCAAAGTTTGGAAAATGAAGATGTGTTTGTTTTTATCTTTGTTGCACAGCACACAGCTTGTTTGTATTGATTCTGTCGCACGCCACCTGCAAGCTTCATGGCAGAAATTTTAATTTAGGGATGGTTGATCCATGATCAACTAAATTTTTTGCTGTAAATATAACGCACCCTGACTGGTGGTAGAACTGTTGTAACCACTTAATTATTATAATCTAAAGTGTTTCTCTTATTAAGAAGACAGAAAATTTTGGATATTTTTCTAACAATACCAATATTCAGTATTTCGTATTCTAAGATAAATACTATGTATGTGCGACCAATCGAAAAATGCTTTTTGTGGCAAAAAAAGAGTGATCGGTCAAGTGGCAACGACAAAGTATAATTATATTTTGTGTTACGATGATTGGTTTAGCAATTATTATTTCATGTACTTAGAAGAAACGTGGTATAGCTTTTATGGTACATGTGGCTTTTGAAGCAGAGAGCAGCTTTTTTTGTATTCACATATACGCAGCAGAAACTCGAAACACATATACACGCATCACCTTGTTTATAAAGAAGTATAGCTTTATATCTCTACCAACCATATCCATATTATGTTTCATGATTTCTAGTATCGCTTGCCTAAAGTAGGAAATTATTTTTACCATTCTGATACACAGAAAAATGTTAATTGAATTTACATTTATTAATGAATGTTATTTTGAATAAACAAAAAGTTTTAACCTAATTCTGGAATGATTCTATTTAAAATTTCAAATTATATTTTCTTGTTATCGACATAATTGGCTATATCCAGATTTACCGTAATGGAAAAAAATCTGTAAATCAAATAAAGTTGTGGAATTTCACGCTTCCTAAGTTCCTATCTACAATAGCGCATCAAAGAAAATATACATTATTCAAACATTTGGCGCCTCTTATTGCAACTCTGGCACTTTGTCGAGTTTGTCGCTGAGCATAGTGGGTCGGAATCAACCAGGCGCCATTCCGCGAAGTCGAGCGAAAAATTTTGTTTTTTCGGCCGGAGCAAGTGCAATTTGCGGACTGTGATCGGCCGTTCGACCGCAGAGAGCGTGACCTCTGTCGAATCTATTTGGGCGCTCGTCGCCGCCTTTAGGTTGGTTCCGAAATTTGCCGGCATTTGGCCAGCAATTTGCCTCCCTTGCTCGAACCTCTCACACCTCTCGTCTTGCCTGCACAAAAATTGTTTTTGTCTTTTTACAAACGGCGAAACGGCGCACCTTTCTCATTTGGATGAAATCTATTGACTTGATAATTAGTGGTTAATTTTCTTTTTCGATTGTAAAGTAAAAGTTATCCTCAGTTTCCCCGGAGGGCTTCAATTTTTCAGAATAAAATTTGTGGTCATTTCTTGCACTATAAAATAAAATTTCTTGTGATGCAAAGACAAAATATCAAATATGCTGAGATTTTTTTAGTTTATTTTTAATAACTTTTTTTATTTCAATTTCTATCATAATTAAAAGTGTTAACTCCAATTCTGATAATACATCAATAACATCTTTTTTTCTCGGTCGCCTGAAATGATTAGATAAAATATTGTTCTGCTGAAAGGGAGGCGTTTGCTAAATAAACACGTCATTATAGGAAAACATTTTATTTCTGCAACAGCTTTTTGGAAGTCTGCTGTTTAGGCCATAAAATCAAACCATGTTCTGGAAGTACAACGCCAGTGCCTGCTCTCACCTTGAGACCCTCCTTAGCAAAGAGGTAATATATAGCAATTAATAGATTCAAAGAAACATAATCATGTACTTTTTAAATTGACACTAATTCACAATTTTTATCTTTAACTGCAGGATGTAACTCTGTATGAGGTCTTGGATGAGGAGGACATAGTACAAGAATGCAGAGTTCAAAACAAGAAGCTTATTGATTAGTAAAACCTTAATCATTGAATGTTGAAATAATAATGTTAAAAACTTTTTAAACACATCAGTTTGTTGCGGCCTGAAATTTTGGAGCAGCTGGTAAGCCTGACTGTGGAGGAGCCGTCGATTGAGGTGGAAGAGAAGCACCGGTTTCGCTACTCGAACATGGCTTGTGAGTTGCTGACATGTGACGTTCCTCAGCTGAACGAGCGCCTGGCTGGCAGTGAAACCCTCCTCACAAAACTGTACTCCTTCTTGGACACACCACCGCCCCTTAACCCTCTGCTTGCCAGCTTCTTCAGCAAAACGTTCACCGGCCTTGTCACACGCAGAGCTGAGCAGGTATTTGCACTAGGAATTTTTTTTCATAATGACTTTTTGGGTTTCATTATTAATTATACAGTTCTTACAGAACCTTAAGAAAATTTGTAAAAAAGTGCTTCAAAATTAACTGTATTCAAGGATTTTTTTTGCTAATCCTTATAGAAAAAAATGAACCTTCATTATATTTGAATTAGCTTTTTTAAATTTGTGTGTTGGCATCTTCTTATAAATACTTCATGAATCTTCATCTGGTTCTTTTTAAATTAAAAAGAAGTATTTCTGTGCTTACAAAAAACAAAACTAAAGTAATGTCTCTCCCTCTTTTTCTCTATCTGTTTCTCCTCTCCTTGATCTTTGTTCCTTTCCCACTGCATGATTGCGACCAAATTCTGACCTATCCATTCCTTCCACCAGAACTGGTACTCCTATCAGTTCACCTGCTTGCAGGCTCTAGAATTCCTGAAGAAGCAGGAAGACACTGTCGGAGTCCTTCTGCGCCACCTGGGCACCTCAGCCATTATGGACTTCCTGCAGCGCCTCATCACCAGTGTCGAGGGCAATGACATGCGCAAGAATGTTCTTACGGTTTGTATTTTCTAAAATTAATAATTTGAATTCAATTTTTTTTCTGTGTAGTGGTTAGAAGGACAGAATGTAGTGCAGCGAATTCTGGAACTGATGGGGCCTGAAACTGAGCCTGAGAGGCACTGCAACGCCTCCCAGCTGTTGCTTGACGTCATCAGAATATCAAGGGACACCTTTAGAACCTGTTCTTCCGAAAACGGCGGCCCTGACCCCATCTTAGAAAGACTAGAGTCGTGAGTATCAAAGTTGCTTCCATTATTTGTAGCAATATTTTCTTCAACAATTTACACATTTACAGACCCGAAACTGCCTCAACCATTCTGGACTTGATGCTCTCTGGCGGGGACCAACGCAGTGAGAGTGCCATAGTTGGAGGTGTAGCGGTACTTCTTACTTTGTTAGAGACAAGTCGACTACCTTCGTGAGAAATTATTATAAAACCCAGTATTTTTTATTGATTCGTGGCCAATAGGGACGACGGGTCTGAACATAATGAAGAGAGAGAACTTTCTTGTCAGAGCAACATTTGCAAAGCCATGGTTCCAAGGCTCAAAGACCTCCACGACGTTCTACTTCACCCTCCCAAGGTATAGCAATGCAAATGTTCAGTTTGTTTTAAGTCATGCCATTGTGTGAGAAGTACAAAATAAATTTATTTAAGATGTCAATAATTTTATCAATGTCTGAGAAAATTAAATGCTTATTTAAAATTGAAATTGTGTGCAAGAAAAATTATTTTTATTTTTTAGAAATCTGCGATCCAAACGACGGCTGAGCACTTAGATCCTCCCTTTGGAAATACCCGCCTGCAAGTCTGTCGCCTTATATCAGCACTTGTTGCCACTCAGGATGTTGAAGTTTTAACCACTTTATCAGAACTAGGCACTCTTAGCGTTTTACTGGTAACTACTCGGAAAGAAATTTTGGAGCTTCTTGATCTCATTGCCCTGGCTTTACAGGATTTGTTTTTTGCATACAAATGGAACAACTTTCTGCACTCTCAGGTTGAGCACTGCATCACTCTGCTGCTGCAAAGCCTATCTGGCCCAGAAATTGCGTCGCTCAATCACAATTTCGATAAAACGTTTGCCAAGAGCCCAGGCTCAAGTCCTTCAACACCTCCCGCCGAAGCGGAAGCTGACTCGGGTGATAGTGAAAAGAAAGATGAGGTGGCTGAGACTGAGGAGAACGTTAACGCACCACACATTTCCGAGCCGAGTCCACTTGTGATTAACGTAGGTGCCTGACGATTTTTCGTTTCAATTTTTATATTTTTTTTTTGTCCAGTTGTTCGGCGAGAGTCGCCTTTTAGAGAGAGTCATTGAGGCCTACAAAAAGGATAAAGAGTAAGTATTATCTCTTGGAACTTCAATTAATTGCTTTTATTAAAATTGCAAATGATTATTTAAAAATTCAAATCGATGAATATTAATTTTTATTGTTTTTTTTTTAGTGGTTCCTTGCCTAAAGTGAAGTGTGGATACTTTGGCCACCTGGTTCTAATTTGCAACTGCATCCGGCAGTGCGTGACTGAGGAAACGCTGGCCAGGCTGGTGCCTGCAGAGGATACACGTCTTGAGTGGCATGAGCTGCTGGATGGGCAGATCGAAGAAATCAACAAAATCCAATCTGAGTTCCTGGTAAAAGCAAAATAAAGTAAACCAATGAATTATTAAACTTCTTCGTTGTGGTACTTAGGGAGGGCAGCATCCGTCTAAAATCATTGAGTCTGAGGACAACGACTACCCCATCATTCCGTTCTCTCAAGAGGGCACCGTGCTGCTCAACTTCACCGAGCTTCTAACCTGTTACAAGTCAACACCTTTTGCTGAAGGCTCCTCGTACGATGACAACCAGTTTTTTGACAATGAGGACCCTATGCAGTCAGTATTAAATACCAATATTTTTTTTCTGCTGTGCTTTCTTTTTCGCTGCGGGGTTTTGCATTGCATGCTTGTTTTCTTTTCGTCTGGGGACGTATTACAGTTCTGAACCTGACACATACGTTCCTCCGGGCTACAGGCTTGGCTCATCAGATGAGATGTCACGGCGCCGCGAGCTCTTCTTTGACATGTGCAACCAAAAGACGGGGCCTGGCAATGACGATGATCTGGACAATGAGCTCAACTTTAACTCACCCACCACAGTTGAACCACCCGTGGTTAGGTATGAATCCAGTACTAACTTTCTATACTTTGCTTCGCTATAGAAAAAAAATTACAATAATTATTTGGAATGTATTATTTTAATTAGTTCCAAAATCAATAAAATTTTTAATATTTTAAAGCTCCAAAATGGAGAAAAAGTTATAGTATTTTTTTCAATAGAAAATGAAGATAAAATGCAAAATTTTGTTGCCTATCTCCCCCACAGTTGTTAATTATAATGATTCTTAAAACATTCAGAAATCTCAGTGATGACAGTGATGAAGAAGAGCAATCCAATGTACCTGGTGCTGGAGTCATGGAAATTGATACTGTTGATCGTAAGTTTGCGAATTATTAATTTTTGTAAATTGTTATTAGTCTGATCTATTTTTTTATAATTATTTATTTCATTGTTCAGCCTGGGCCGATACACCTGCTGTGGTGGCAGACGCTGAAAATCCTTGGGAGGCTAGTGAGATTGCTGCAGCCGAACAGGCGCCCGTCGCTGACCAGGATGGCTGGGCCAACTTTTGTGCCTTTTCATCGGGACCGGAAGCTGCGCCTGAAGGTTGCTTTCTTGTTTAATCTTCAGTAACAAATTAAATATTAGTCATAACAGTTAAAGATGAGGAAAACAATGCAGGCTCCGAGGCAGCTGATCAGACTTCAGCAGATACCAACGCCAATCCTCCATTGGAAACACTGGAGGAAAATTCTGAATTAGTTGACAATTTTAGGTACTGGTTAGTAGTAGCAATTTTCCTTGTTTTCATTTCAAATTCCAGGTTTCTTTCGCAAGGACTGATGTCGGCGGAAGGTGTGGCGGTAGACCCTCCCGCCACCCAAAGTGATACTCCTCTGGCTGAAGCAGAGGAGCCCAAGTGTGAGGAGACCGAAGTCGTCACGGACAGGTACCATTTCAAAACTTTTTATTTTGTCTCTAGTTGCAATTAAAAATTGTTCGCAGTCTATCTTTATTCAAATGCTGCCTTAAAATCTAAGCAGAAATGTGAGATAAAATTGTATTCTTAAAGTTCTTCTGATTTGTGTTCCAGTGGCAGCTGCAGCACAAATATTGCGGCCGAAGGTGAAGGAAGCATTTAGTAGTTTTTTTGGTATTTCTTCTCCGACCCCGATGCTCACTACTTTTATTGATTGCGACGGATGGATGGAGGCAGTCGAGTTGTTTGTCACACCAACAATTTTAGTAAAAAATACCACCACGGGTTCCGATACGTGCAATTCAATCTTAGCATGTTTCAATCCATCGGCAGATTGATTGATGGTGCCTTGTACCACACAAACTATTCCAGAATAATATTTATGATGTTCATGAATAATTGTTCTCTGTGAGTTAAGCATTCGCATATCTTGTTTCACCTCTACCAGAGCTAAAACTTTTCTTATGGAGTATCCAAATACAACAACTATAAGCAAGTGCAAATTATGGAACGTATTTTTTGTTATGCGCATCTTGATGAATAGCCTTGTTAGTTTTTTCAAAGTTCCACACAAAGCGAGAAAGAGAGAATGAAACAGCAGTTACCTACCAATTCCACCATGGCTCTTGAGATTTTTTGCCAACTTTCAAGACGCTGCATTATCAGGGAAGTCACCAATATATTCCAACTTATGGTGCTCAACTTTATAATATTATTTAATACAGAAAACTTATGTGAGTGCAGCGTCAGTCTGATCTTTTGGTTGAAATGAAGAGTTTCAGGATGCCAAACTTGTTATCAATTGTGAAAGAGAAATTAGGATCTGTGATGGATATTATTCCAAAGTAGTGTCTTCAAAATAAGATTGTTTTTTATCAACACAAAAGTACACATTCACTCACTCTTGTTAGCTCAAAGAATTGTCAAATTATTTCCACCAACCATTAAGTTTTGATTTATTATTTTTGTACGCCACCGAAGTGAATTTAAAAAAACTGTTTGAAAACTTCAAGATCGATTGGTTGCATGCGACTCGTTCGTTCGTTCACTGTGAGGCCATAACATAGCCAAAGTTGAATGTTGAAAGAATAAAATAATTATACCACAAAAGACCTCGCCAGCCGATTGACCTTTTCATTGCACACCATGTGCCTACCTCCGAAACCAGTGCGATGAATTTACTACTTCCTTTTTTGCTGTATTTTCCAAATTATGTTTACAAGCAGGCAGTTTCATTTTAAATGATGAAATAAAGATGCAAGTAATTGAACATCTCTGTTCTTTATTTAACAATAAATACATTGATAATGGTCTGCAGCCACGTGGGTCAGAAGGAATAATTCATTCTCAGGTTTGGATTTAATTTATTCTGCTCGTGAAACAGAAGATGATTCAACAAGACCAGTTTTCAATCCAACTGAATATCATCTTTTCCATTTTTTTTTTTAAATCTCAACAACAACAAGCTGGGAGTGGAACGAATCAATGTTGTCTTTTAATGGCAGTCTATAATAATAGGGAGCATCACAGAATGAACTTGACGGTGAGCACCACAATAAGCAGGGTGACTACCATGCCAGCAATGAGAAGCACTTTGTCCTGGGCAGCACGCTTCTCGATCAGCCGCATGGTCGTGTTAGACAAGCCGAGTGTACTCGCAATGTCCAGCAGCCGTTTTCGAGCTCCTTTCAGAACTCCCCGCTGATCACGCATCGATTCAAGGATGGAAGAACCAGAGCTCAGAAGGTCATCTACACCCCGGTGGGCGCCCTGCAAGGATGATAATAATTCATTGACTAAAGAAGGTTTTATTAAGATCATGCCTGAAGAGCAGAGTGGTGCTGCAAGGACATATCTATATTGATACTGGTATCCTCAGTGCTGGCCAAAGTGGTAAATCTCCTCGTCAGTAACTCTTCCCTCTCCTGCTCTTCCTGGATTTTCTGAAGCTTTTTGTGTTGGTACATCCGCAAGGCCGCCTTTTAATTTAAAATTGAGGAGAAAAAAATTATATACCTAATAAATCATTTTCATTACTTGATGGTGCTGGAGGTCGTACTTTGCTTGATCAACTTTGAATTTGACCGACTGCCTTCGAGAGACGGGCTCTCTGAACACCAACGACTCCATTCTCTCGCAGTTACTGAAATTAAAAAACAAAAACAATTATGCATTTATAAAAATTGATTTGGATTAATATTAAAACACCTTGTTGCTTGGTCAATTCTGGCCTGCAACTCTCGCTCGAGGGCGTCGGCATCCGGTCCGTAGACCTTCTCAATGCGCTCGAAGCCCTGCTGCACCTCCAGCAATAGCTTGGTCGTCTGGTAGTACAGAATGTCCATGTCTGTCCAGGTTATGTGTATATTTCAGAATATATGCGGCACAGTTGGAAGAGCCCGTTATTCTATGTTTCACAAATAGGTTGAGTTGAAACGAAAAGGCACTCAGGGGCGATCGGGAACTTCAGAGAACTCCGCTTCTGAGAGGACGTGGAAATGAAATTTCCATTTCTATTTGGATATGGACGCTTGTTGATTTTTTCAATATCTTGAGACTTTAGAGACGGTTTTAAGTCTCAGCAGGCGAAACTCCACGTCCGTCCCAAAACGATGACGTCACACACTCACGTGACCACAGACCGGACACGCCCCTTCTTTAAAAAAATCTCACACATTTATTTTCTAAAAATGTTTTTTATATAGTTTTTAAGCACTAAGATTTTTTTTCTTATTTTCTACCACGGCCTCTGCTTGCTTTGCATGGGTCCTGGTGACAAAATCCACGTATACTTCTCCCTAGGCGCAAATGCGGCCTGCTTGTGTCTCGGGTGCGCCTTGCACATGACGTACTTGCGGCTGTCGCGGTACACGAAATAGCAGTCTTTGCAGCGCCTCTTCAGCAGGCCCTTAACCTTCATGCCGCAGTTCGGCACTGCCAGAAGGGTCGCACATGGAGCCTTCAGAAGGATCTTCTCGCCTACCGGCAGTCTGATCTGCGCCAGGAGGTGCACGGCTCGTAACTGAGGACGAAGTCCAACGTTCGCCAAGAGCCCTGCGGCTCTAGGCAGAAGGCACGAGGCCAAATTTCGTGCCAAATTCATCTCGAGAACTCTATCTATCTCCACTTAACACCCGGTTATCCGGTTTCTGTGGTAAAACACTTCGAAATCAAAATTAAATTCGCACACGGCGATCACTTGCCGTTGCCTGTTTTGTTTTTCAATCCGCTGACCACTCCCACTCTGTTGCATTTTGGATTGGTTCTTTTAGAAAGGCGCGAAAGCCTTGTGGAAGTTTGAAAAATTTTAACGAAGGGTATTATGAAAAGGATAAAATGATGTTTTGAAAATATTTAACTTTTTAATGCTTTATGAGTAGTAAATGTCAAAGATAAGAATTTAGAGATCATTAACACATTTTTTGAATGATTTTTGCAATTTTTGATTTAAAATCAAATTAAAGTGAAAGTGGTGTTCTCTAAAGTGCCATTATCCTTCTTTCACACTCCAACATAACAAACAATAACAACATACATAGATAGAACATAACATAACATTAACTAACATTCCGCAGGGCAGGGGCAGGATCGTGGATCGCATGCCGCATAACGCAAAAGATAATTATATTCAAAACAGAAAGATTTTTATTAGCTTGAGAAAACTAGAACTCGAGACTTTGATTAGATTTATATAGATGGGCAATTTTTAACCCAAATTGATAAAGACCTCAAATTATGCATACATCCCATCCAATGGCCGACAACATTGGACAACTCGAAAGGGAAGTTGCACAACTGAAGCGGTTGCTAGTCGAGAAAGAGGAGCTGTTGGCGAACCTTAAGGTCAATAGCGTCTCTCTTCCGGCTTTGATTGACGCCTCAGAGCAGAATCTGTCTAAAGAAGACGTTGTCCGCTTTAGCAGACAAATTATCTTACCTCAAGTCGGCGTATCAGGTAATTAAAGAGTAAAAATAAAACGAATAAAATGATAAAAAATACATATTTACTATATAATTTTTTTTAACAGGACAAGTGCGGCTGAAAAAATCCTCAGTGCTGGTCGTTGGGGCCGGTGGACTTGGTTGTCCTGTGCTCCTCTACCTAGTCAAGGCTGGCATTGGACGCATCACAGTGGTGGACAGTGACCTTGTTGAGATCAGCAACTTGCACCGGCAGACCTTGCACTCGGACGCCACAATTGGTCTTCCTAAGGTTGATTCGGCGTGCAGATTTTTTGCCCTGGACCAGAGTTATGCCAATGTTATTCCTATCTGTGAAAGGTTCACTCCAGAGAACGCAGATCGTCTTGTCAGTGAACATGATGTGATTGTCGACGCCACAGACAACGTTGGCTCTCGGTGCGATTCTTTAAATATCAAATTAAAAAAATCTAATCATGTTGAAAAATATAATTAATAATATTCAGGTACCTCCTTAACGATGCTTGTGTCCGCCACAAAAAGCCGCTTGTATCAGGGAGTGCCCTGGGTCTGGAAGGTCAACTCACAGTGTACAACGGCTTTGTAAAGAAGGACGGCGCCCTGGTTAAAGGACCGTGTTATCGCTGCCTCTTCCCAGAACCTCCTCCAGCTGCCAGCGCCACCAGCTGCAGTCAGTCGGGCGTTCTGGGTGCAGGTTTTTTAATTAATTTAAACGGCAAGTCACAAACACTTATATTATATTGAAATTTTGTAGTTCCTGGTCTCATTGGCCTGATGCAGAGCATTGAGGTGATAAAACTAATCGTCGACTGGCCACAGAACGAGTCTGTTGCTGGCCGAATGATTCTGCTTGATGCCAATGATCTTTCCCTGAGGACTGTCAGGCTTCGATTGGCTAACGAAAAGTGTCCTGCTTGCAGTTCAAACCCACAGAAAAATTTGCCATACTATATTGAAATGTGTGGAGAGGTAAGAAAAATTAAAAAAAAAAAATTTTTTGTTAACCATTTTATAAATTAAAATCTAAACCATTACTATTTTACTTTCTTCTACCAGCTCACAATTTTTATTTTTTATTCTGAAGGATGTTCCAGTAAAGGCACTAGAGGATCATGAAAGGGTCACTCCGGACTATGTGAAAGCTGAACTTGACAAACTTTTGTTGGTGGACGTTAGGACGGAGGGTGAATTCGGAATGTGCGCCATCCAAGGGTCAGTCAACTTCCCTTTTAAAGATTTTGAGCAGATTTTGCCAGAAGTTAAAAAAGCTGTTCTCGAAGCCAAGCAAAATTCTCCATCATTACAAGGTAATGACTGTAAAAAGTTTAAGTAAATTTTAGCAAATAATCTTCCTCTTTATTTTAGTTTGCTTTGTTTGTCGGAGAGGAAATGACAGCCAGCTGGCAGCAGTGAGGTTCAAGGAAGCCTACCCAGAAGACAAAGTTGTAGATATGAAGGGCGGACTGCACGCCTGGGCAAAAGTGATAGACGACCAGTTTCCAGTTTATTAAAAAAATTTTATTCCTAAATAATTTTTTTATAAATAAATCCTGGGAATCAACGCTTGTTTTTTTGGTTAATTGATTTAATCATTATTAAATTTTCTCGCATTACAATTAAATGAGTTCAAAGCGTTTGAGGGAGTCTTTATGGATCTAAAACACCGAATGAGCATTTTCGTTCTATAAAACAAGTCAATCGAGGCTAGCTGGCAAAATGCGTGTTTGTCATAAAATAGTGTCTTGAGCTACAAGCTAGCAACAATAAGTAGTACATGCAAAATAGTGATTTTTCTCCCAACATTGACTGACAACTTGATAGTGTGTGCACTTCACTGGAGGAGCGCTTCTTCAGGCAAGGCACGAGGGTCACGCTGAGTTGCTTTTGGTCATTGTCTTTTGCAGCTTGGCCCTGGTGGCTTTGAAGCAGCGCGACGACAGAGCCGAAAAGCAGTAGGTGCGTCGCCAGCAGGGGAAGTGGTGCTTTTTGGCCTTCATTAGTGCCTGTTGTGCTAACGCTCTAGCAGACTTTGTCGTCATTGGACTGGGTAAATCAAAGAGAGTAGAAACAGCAAATTAATGAAAGTTTAAAGCTGAAAATTTTCAATTAAAGAAAAATCATAATTAAATGTATACTTGAAAGAGAAAGCGATTATTTCTCACTTAGATAGAACTTGGGACTCTTCAATGGACTGAATCAGGACACTCTCTGCATGTTGCGGCTCTTCAGAGGGTGCAGGAACTTGCAGTGCTTTGCTCTCCAACGCTGTCTCCGTCGCTGATTCCGTTTCTGCAGACGACTGAAAGGCACAAAAAAATTTTAAATTGCGAACCGCCTGACAATGAGAACAAAAACAAAACTCTTTCAAAATCTACAACACCTTTAAATATACAGCTCGTGAATACAGAAAGTTGCCTAAAATATAAGTGACTAATTGTTTATGTACAAAAATACAATTTTTGCTACATTTTTTTTCATCTACATTATAATTTATTTCTTCTACTGATTAGTGTTTTGTGAGTCACGTGTTTTGCCAGCAAACTGTTAGCATGGTGCGTTAGTGAGAACATACTTATGAGAATCCATGTTTTTACCTCTCGGAAAGCAAGATGCACGCAACTTCCTTTTTTACTTAAGCGTCTTACGTACAAGTCGAACGGATTTAGACAAGTTTTAAGCATTGATTAATGAAAGGCCTAGCTCTAGATTCAAATAATGGATGAGTCGTCTTTTGATTGAGTTTAATTTCACAGCTCATTACATGAACACCGAGGACAGCAATATTATTTTATTATTATGACAGGTGCGTGTTTTGAATTTTTTGTTTCACACATCAAATTTTACTAAACTAATGAGATATTCGTAGATTTGTTTCTCAATTCTCAAAGTGGATTGGAACTTGGAACTTCCTGAAATTTGCCTCCTATTCATAGAGTTTTACGAAAATATTTTAATGTATTATAACTTAACTTTTGACTTCAAACTGATTGATACTTACAACGGGAACAGTTCCTATCTACTTTGAGGCTCGAGCAATTTCTAGCACATATTTTAGCTCGTATAGTGGGGTTCAATACTTGATCTATAAAAAATATTCCTAATGCTACTTTTGCTAAAATTCAAATCATTTTTGTTACTGACGGCACAAATATTCTACACAGGATAAAGGCACTGCATTTTGTGCGACTCCTTTTACTCTCATAGCAAGTAGGGATTTTGACTAGCATTTTTTTTTCATACAAAATAAAGCTAAAAATTGACTCTCCAATGAGTCCAATGTAACAATATAATCTAACAATATTTTGATAACAGCTTTAAAAGCATTTAAGCTTGACCATCTGTTCTATAGAATACTAATAATAGTAATCAATCATCTAAGGTAAAATATCACCGAAGAGAGACACATAGGATCGACGCAGACAAATTTAAAAACATTAGCACTTTATCTCGAGCTCTAATAAAATTCCGGAAAGTGTCCGAAATGGAAAATAAGAATAACAAGTTGGCGCAACCCAGTAAGAAACGAAATTTAATTAATGGAATACACAATCAACCAATGGACTAAAGGATCGACTACGCGTGTGACATTGCGAGTATAAGTAAACCATAAAAGGTCATATCGATCAAAATAGAGATTACGGAGGCTATTCCTCAAGTACACGGGCCTAGATGATGGTGGTGTCAACTTACTCTGCTCGGTTTTCTTAATTTGCGAGTAAATCTTGCGCAACAGGCCACACACTTTGGCCTATTAAGATCGATCGGCATTGTCAACAGTGTTTTTAAATCAGTCTCGAGTAAGTGCGAGGAAATCGAATGAATCAATTTTGTTCAATTATGTACAAAAATAATTATATAATTTATATGTAATTATCAACAATTAAATAAACATGGTGCTCAGGTGTTGGGCTATAAAATGACGTCGTTCGATCGAGGCAAAAAAATGAGAAACTCGGCTTAGAGAAAAAAGTGCAGCTGAAAAGTCAAAGAAAAAGCAGCGACTGAATAATGAGAAAGGCGTAAATTAAATGACTCACCTAAAGTAAAAAAATCATTCTAAGTAAGGAAAGCAAGAGTTTGAAAATTATGTCATATTTACAATGGGGAAAAGAAATAAGAGAAGCAGCTTATGTACACGAGAAAAAATTAACTCTTTTAAAGAGAAAATGTGAAAAATGAGTTTTGTTCCCCAGCGATCAGAACTGCACCAGTTTTTACAGCGGCTCAACTTTTGTTACAAATCCTCATGCGCTCGTTTCGTTTTAGAAGCAAAAGTAGAGGTCAAACGAGGGATCATGACTCACCTTGGCGCGGGCACTCAGCGCTGGTATGTTTAGGTGGTACTTCTGCTTGCACAAGTCTTCCAGTAATGAAATTCCTGAAGGGACACAAGGCAGAACATAAATAGATATTTATTGCTGATTGTGAAAAAATTGTTAAATGATCTAACCTGGGGATCTATTAGAGTTGTATCGCGTCTCCCATGCATCGAAAAGCATGTTATAGTAACGCGGCCCCTCGAAAAACTGGTGGTAGCGGTGAGTGTACGGAGTTGGGAAGACCCTGATGAAGCCTCCGGCCTGCGTCAGTTCATCCTCAGCCTGCACCAAGTGCCGTACATCGTCTGCAGATAAGTTTTGCAGAATTTGGCCCAGGTACTACAACAGAAAATAATGTGTTCAGATAATTTGACATAAATGTAATTTAATTTCTAATAAAGCTTATTTTGCCCTTGATGGTGTTTAAATTTATGAAAAGTTTGAAGAAGACTCACGTCTTCCCGCTGGTAGGCCTCTTTGGTAAAGAAGAGCTGTTTGGCAGCCTCATCGCGGGAAAGACCAATGTAGTAGAGTCGGTTGTCAATGCACAGCTGATTTGTTTTGACATCAGGAGCAAGATTACGCAGGAAGTCTTTCTACAATTGAGATAATTTTTTCAATAAGCCTCATTTTGCTTTGACAGATCTGGTTACCTGCATGGAGGATGGGAGCTTGTTGGGAATGTGGTAGCCAGCCATATTGAGCAAATTGCACACCATTGGTCCTTTCACAGCCTGGTCAAGTGGGGAGGAAGAGTGCAGCGAGGGTGAGATATTCACCTGTGACACAATTCAAGAATTGAAATCCACGCTCGAAATCTTTAAATGCAACAGACCTCCAAGAGCCACGGATTGAGGTGCTCGTCTAGTAAGACGTCAACCCCAAACAGCTCGTAGCAACAGTAGCGTGAGGAAACATGTTCTCGAATGAGTGGCGCAATTGAGGATTCACCACTGATTATGGTCTTTACCACCAGATCCTCCAGTCGAGACCACAGCTCATTCACATTCACTCCTTGCTGTGCCAAATATGTCCACAGCGATTTCACAGTCCTGTGGTGAAATTAACACATGAGAACAAAATTTGAAAAGCAGAGTATTATTAAATGAAGTTACCATTTATGTCCCTGGCAAGCGTCGGCGTCCTCGTTCTGTGTGTAATGAGAACTATTCTTGTTGATGCTGTAGTTTGTGAGGTGCATGTAGCGGTCATGAAGGCTGCTCATATCATTCGAGTATTTCACAGAGGCAAATCTGACGAGACCATCGTCGTAGAGGTAGATGCGCAGAGGGTCGACGCTGCTCACGAACACATACAATCGCAGGTCAAACTTGCTGCCATTGATGAGGTATGGTTGCGCAATGTAACGCTGCACCACTAGCGGACGCTTCTTTGGGATCTGCGACCACTTGTGCACAACACGAATTCCTGTCCCTCTTGCTGACGCCGGCTGCATAAAAATTTGAATAAAAATGATACTACCTGCTGGAAACTCACATTTTAAAACAAGGTGGTTGATGACTTTATTTTAAAATTTAACTAACTATCCATCACCACCAGATATTTTAATTTAACAAGTAAATTATGAACGTAAGTGCAATTGATAATGGGTTGTTGGTGTGGTACTGACCGGCTTAACTATCCACTTTTCAATGCCGCAAGTCTTCTCCCACGCTTGGCGAAGGAGGCGGAGATCTTGAGGTAGAACGTAGGTCTTGGGCATGAAGCCAAACTCCTTTTTGCCAAACTTCTGCATTAGCTTGTGCAGGTTGCGCCACAGGCGGTCTTTGCGGCCAATTTGAAAGGTGCCTGGGAAGTGGTTCATCTTCTGGTAGTCTTTGATGCTAGTAAACAGTGCCGACTTCATATGTTTTCCCCAAGTGCCAGCCCAATCATTTGTTGCTAAAATTTAAAAAAAGCCCAAGTTGATGATAAAAAATAAGTCATATATTTAAACTAAACAATTAAGTCATTGAGTAAACTAGCAATATTAAGTTTCATGATTCATATCATCCTTTCTTGTTGATGAAATTTGTTTTTCTATTTTTACTTTCAATGAATTCGTAGACACCACTCACTTTTTACTAATCTGAAGTTTGAACGCAGCAGAGTCCTCCTGACAACAAGCGGAGTTATGGGACTGAGCTTCCACTTGAGCAGTCTCTTAACCTCTGCAGGGAGGCCAATTTCTTCACCCTGTGCCCCATCGATTGGCATTTGGAAGCGCACATATGGCGGCACATATGAGAACAAACTGTTCCTCAACGGTGGCTCATTTTGATTCCCTGCAAATTCAAATTACAAATTATACTTTTTAGCTTAAACATTTAAGTGACTAAAAAGAAAAAAATATTGCAGGCGGGAGAATCACCTGTCTTGGTGGCGAGGCTCGGGGCTGTCAGACCACTACAACTCGAGGTCTTGGACAGCGCAGAGTCGGTTAGTGATATACTGCCCAAGGTTTCTCCAACCACCGATGGAGTATTGGAGCCTGGACCACAAAAACACAGGCTGCTCATTAGCATGCATTTGCAATCAAAACTTGCGATGGATTGCTTCAGTGAGTATGTAACTTGATATGTTAAGAAAGAAAAATGTTCATATTTGAGGTGGGCCTTGGTGTTTTGCTATCTTTACAATTAAAATAGTGTCCAGGTGAATCAATTTTTTGGCTCAAAATCAGTAGTTCACTGCATTTCATTTGCATTATTTAGTAATTACTAATTGACCATTCTTAAAAAAAGGGACAATTTGTGAACTTTTCTATGCAGGCATTTAAGAGAATAATAATGATAATAATTTTCTGAAACACTATAATGCTTTCATACATTACCATGAAAAAATAAATAAAACTGAAAGATATTTGAAAGAGTAATCCATACTAACCAGAGAATCAAATAAAATATTAAGAAACTATTTCACACCAAAATTTGATGGAGATTTTGTATTTTAATTCATTATTAAATGCTACTTAAACTAGCTTTAACCATATTTATCCACTGCTGAACAATGATACTTAAAAAGGAGGAACTTGATTCATTAAAAAAAATCATTTAAGATTTATATGGGTCATCTCATAAATTTCCAGCAATAAGAGTGGTATGGCTTGCTGGCAGTCATTGTGGAAAATTAATATCAAAAGTGACAGTGGAGGCTTTCTTTATAATGTATAAGCACTCTGATAAATGCAATGGGGTCACCTGGATCGCTCGACTCATCAGACACAGTCTGCAGCTCTTCGTCCTCATACTCATCATCAATTGGGATGTCACTAAATTATGGAAAAAATTTACAGATCGAGATCAATATAATGTTACATTCTTCACTCAAACCTGGATTCGTTGTCAGCAATATTGCTGTTTGACTCCCAGAGGCGCTGGACGGCCGGCATGCTTGGAGAGACTTCTCTTGGCCGTTTGGTGGCTGCAGCAGAGGCCGCTGGGGCGATCAGCAAAGGCTCAGTACGCATCCGTTTGGTTTCTTGCTTGTGGAAGGTCGAGTGATGTCTCAGAGGTCGCAGTTGCGAGCGAACAGCTTCCAACTGAAAATTGGGACGTAATATAAATTTATTGAACTAAAGATCAAATGACCCAATCAATTTTTTTAAGAAAACAAAAAGAAAATTGATGGTTGGGCTTTTCTGCAAATCGGATTCAAGCCTGATTTAGGAGATAATAAAAAAATCATACCTCTTGCTGTCGGTCAGGCCAGTTGTCAAGAGCAGCGGCCGATTCTTTGAGGAGGTGCGAGGCCTTGGAGAGCTCATCGGCGGCACTGGACTGGATCTCACCCAGCACCTGACTGTTGCCAGCCCTAGGGAAGGCCTCCCTAGCGCAGGCGTGCTCGCGGTTTTCCGAGCTGCTGCCCATCAGTCTGCTTTCCATCAGGCACTTGCCCTCACCCTCACCGAAGAACCCTGCTCGATTTTTCCTCCCGTCAATCTGCATAATAAAAAAAAAAATAATAATTCATTAACATATTCCTCTTTGCAAATAAATTCAATAAATTTAACCTTTGAACTTTTCATTTTCTTTCAAACATATGTTGATGTCTAACAATTTATTTATATAAAAAATTTAATTTTAAATGAAATTTCTGCCGCAGAGAGTTAAATCGAGAGGCGATATTTGACACGCTCAAGAAGTATGTGTTGTATTGAGCAATCGATCTGTTCTGTGCGGCAGAGGAGGTAATGGTGCTATTGGCTGTTGGCCGAGATTTCGCTCTCCCGCAGTTCACTCACCGTGGATGCGGCTGCCTGCGAGGGGCTGACGGGGGGCGGCGAGTCGGCCGTGCTGCAGTGGGGCCGCGACACGCAGCACTGGCTGCACCGCCACTCGGCGAAGCTGCCCTCGCCGCCGGAGAAAGAAGGGCAGCAGCTACTCGAGATGTGCTGACAAGTCGCCACACCGCCGCCCGGGTAATCGTGCTGCTGGCATCCGTGCGCAGGCACTTTTACGTAGGCCATCTTCAGAAACTGCACACACAATTATTGTCAATAAAATTATCATGCCGTTCCACATTCAACTCTTTCAATTATTATAAGTTGTACTCAAATGAGTTAAAATAAAATCAATGTAATTCTAATTATTATACGTAAAACTGAAATTTAAACTTTGAATGATTCCAAATAACTATAACAATACTAATTCAATGAAAAAGAGAGTTATAAAATTTAAAAATTATATTGCACAACAATTAAATTTGAAATTTTTTAATCTTTATTAATATTTAATTAAATTTAATAATAAAGAATTAAAATTATACTTTATTTCAACATAAGACTACCCTCATCGAAAACAATTAATTTTATCTGAATGTGAATGTATCAATTCAAGATATTATGTGAAAATTTCAACTGATTCACTTGAAACAAATAAAATAAAACGTTTTCTAATTTTAATAATTATTTCAAAATTAATGTTGTTATAAAGATGAACTTCAGCCAAAATATTGAACTATAATAATCGCAAGTAAAATAATTTTCATTTGCTATAAAACTAAATAATTTATTTCAATAAATATATTTTTATTTAGGTTAATTTGATTATTTAATTAACTTTTTCCACCGATTGCCAATAAAAAATAATAATAAATGCGATAACATAAAATATTAATGCGTTTTTTGCATTACAAATAATACAAAAGTTATTATCTCATTCGCCTTGAGAGGCCCCGTGCCAGAGCGCGGCGGTAGCAATTTGGTACAAATTTGAGCAGATTCGGCGGCCTTGAGGCAAGGCCTCTCCGTTTCAAATGTGTGCGAGGAATCGAGAGTGCGATGAGAAAGAATGGAGGCAAAAATCAATAGCAAAACAGCCGATCAGCCCTGCTGTGTCCGAGGCGATTGCTGACGCAGAAATTTTGCCCGAGGCCGTAGAAATAAGTCCCCCAAAGCCTAAAAGTGGCAAAAAGCCCCTCGTGGTGGTTTAATAAGTTTTAAAAATAAATAATTCAGCTGGAAGGAGCGCGGGCACGTTTGCAAGAGCGACCTTTTGACCTCGGATTTCGGCCGCACCCGGGCGAATTTGACCGCAGGACGTGGTGGAGAAGTCGACATTAAAGTGACAAGCAAGTTGCTGGCTGGTGTAAGCGCAGAGTGACTTACCTGGCGAGAAATCGGCGGCTTTATCACGAATTTTTAGACGGCGCCATTCGGTTCCCTCAGCACGACATCTTGGCCTCGTCGCGGGTGGGGGGATTCACGGCACCGGTGCTGACATGGCGCCAAACGACAGGCACGCAAACTACAGGAATATATAGTTTTTTTTAATACATACACGTGTTTACTTGTTCCGACTTGTATTTGTGGTCCAAGAGAATGTCAAAAAGTTTCAACATTTTATTCGAGGCATTATTAAACTATAAGACCAGATTTGTTTCAAGTTGGTGCTAATCAATTTAACAATTTAACGTAATTGAAACTTTTCAAGATTTGTTTAATCTAAATGCTATTTTAGAGTTCAATTTAGTATAATTAACTTAATAATTAAGAGAAAATGACGAAACACTTACATCAAAAATTCTAGTTAGAAAAATTTCTAAATTAATTATTTTACAATATTAATGAAATAACCTAGTGAGAAGTTTACACGAGGAAATTTTTCAATTTAAGATTATGGGAAAAAGTTGCTTCAACTGTTTCATTGGAAAAAAAAAACAAAAAATCCTACTCTACATGTCTTGGCTGTTATGAAACAACCCTCGATTACTAAAAAATAAAACGGAAAATAAAAAATAATCTTCAACAATACATAAGTGGCCAATATAATTATATTTTTTAATAAAAATGAGCGCTAATGAGGAAAATGGTAATTCAGAAACATTAATTATTTACTTTTTTTTAGTATATAATTATATAATGTCAAATATCATAATGTCATAATATTAAATATTCATTAATTGAGGAAGCGTGGATATTAATTTGCTATCAAGGGAAAAGCGTCGGATGAGGGGAGACAACAACGTGATAAAAAAAATCTTAAAAAAAATATACGCACATCTCGATATTATACTCCGGAGCTTGAGGAAGTGGGGCTGCACGTGTGAAGCGACCTCTGTCTCCACTTTGCTCCCCATGAAAACAGCGGCCAGCGCGGAGAGCGGCATTCGAGGAGGAGCCGCTGTGGGGTCGAAGGGGTGCCTCTCACCATCACCAGCCGTGAGTTTCCAAATTTATTTTGAAATCTTCATGAACAGAGTTAATTATAATAAGTAAAAAATTGTACATTAACAAAAAAATATTAATCCTAAGATTGAAATTAACAATGAAATAATATGGAAATAATATCCAACAATATGAAAATTAATTATAGCTCAATATTTAACTCGGAAAATAGAGAGATATTTTAAACCAATATAATATCATTCCGTGCCATTCTTTTAAATTTTAAATTGTAAATAGTTTTTTATTAATTGTAGTTTAAAATTTAGTTCAGTGCGTGTTGCTGAGCAAAGCCAAAGCTATATCTCTCGCATCGAATTTTTGTATATTTGTTGGCGTAGGACTTTTGTTAGCTTTATATATTTTTTGTGCTGCGAGTAAAACGAGCTTGGGGATGACGGGTGGCGTGTGTTTACAGAAAGCTGCATGATGGATTTAGTTGAGGATGAAAAAAAACGGGCTCGTCAAACAGAGCAGTTCTTTGTAAAAATAGAGAGAGAGCGGACAAACGCAATCGTGGTGGTGCACGAAGATGAGGGATGCAGTTTCGTGAGAGACGAGCAGCAGGGGGAGATAAATGATAATAAAATAAATAATCCAACCTCGCCTCTGCACCTCGGTTGGAACTGTCGAGCTATAGAGGAAGCCGCTGTTCAGAAAAGTACAAATTATAATTTCTTCTCATTTTGAATGCAAATTGAATTTACGCAGTCACAATAAAATTCTAAAAAAAATAAAACATTATTAATAATTAGAGACGTTTCAATTTTATATGCAGAAATGTGTCCAAAATTATTTATTTCTCTCGTCGACCAAAGCGAATTTATCTAAATAATTATTAGGAGTCAAAATTCACACTTATTGCAGAGCGACCTCGGTTCGCAAGGGGCATCTCACAACTTTGACCCGCTCTGCGCTGAGAGATAAAGAGACACATTATTTTGCGACCACAAAACTTCTCGCGGCCTAATAAAATATGAAAAATCAAGACCTACTTTTTTGTATATAACTTCCATAAAGAAAAGAAGTGTGTCGCAAAAGTATAAAAAAATGTTGATGAGTTTCAGGAGGCGCACGCATGACTAATCGAAAGATGGTGCGGCCCGTGTTTTTGCTGTTGGTGGCGGCGCTTTTCGCAAGCGTCGCAGATGCTCAGCAGCGCAAGGAAATCACGTGAGTCTGCTTTGAAGCAAAGCATTTGTTCTAACAAAGAGAGTGAATTAAATGAAAAATGCGTTCAGAATCGAGCAGATCGCCGAGGGTGTTTTGGCGCTGAACAGGGACCTCAGGGAAAACAATGCGCGCCTTGAGCGACACGAGTTGCGCGAAAGGCAACTTGGAGAGCACCTCAAGAAGACCATCGCCGGCCTGGAAAAGCATTTGAAGAAGCAGCAGGCTGACGTGGACGCCCTTCGCAGTGACGTTGGACGAGTGGTTCATGGCCTCAACCAGGTTTGAAAAATATTTCAATATCATATCTGATAAAAATTCTGCTTCTAAAATCTATTTACAAGATAGTCGTGCGTCCAAATTTAGGTATTTCTTATAGAAAAAAAATAAGCTAGATTAGAAATTATATTGTTTGAAAAAGAACATTTTATTTCCTGACAATTATTTCAAATAGTTTAATTTGATTTAAAATATTAAATGTCTTTTTTCCAGGCATATTCTCTTGTTATTCATTTGATTATTTTGTAATTTTCAAATATTTATAAACCTATGAATTTATTTTTTCGTGTAAATTGAAGGCAATGCTTTATAAACAGAAATAACTTAAAAAATTTTGCCGTTGTTTTAGCACACCGAGAGTGAGAGGCAGTGGATGCAACGCCTGCAGAGTTCTGTGGAGGAAATTCGCTCTCAGTTGCAGAACAGCGGTGGCAACTCTGGAGCTATCAGCGAGGAGCTGAGACAAATTCGCGAGCGGCTCGAGGCGCTCGCCTTGAGTGACGGTGGTGGCAATGCCAATGACCTGATTGTCGCCTCCAGAATGCTTCAGGAGGCTGCTGACAAGCTTGTGAGTGGCGAATCCAAGCTTGAGGACCACGCAACCGCCTCTCGGTCGCTTCTCGAGCACTTCCGTAGCGAAGTGGACCGACTTAAGGTACGCATTTACAAGATATTTTTAAATTTAACAGCATGCTGGGGAAAAAAGCTCTTATCAGGTTTTTTTTTACATTTTATCTCTAGGATAGGAGGATTATTTTAATTCTATTATCATAAATATATTCATCATTCTTATTGTACCAACAATTCTTATTTATATTGAGCAATTTACTCTTCTGAACCAGCAGACAGTTGTAAAGTCAGGTCATTTAAACTAAAAATTAAGCGTTGAACGCAATTAAATCAAGAACAAACAACTGTGTTGGACATCAATGGACAATGGTTTGCAGCCTTCAGGGATTTTTCAAATAAGTTCCGGGTTGATAAGGAACATCTGGCGAATATTTCTCCCAGTGTGTTCAATCCTGCAGATGGGACAGGTCGTTGTACGATCGTCTCCCTGGTGTGCATTGTCTTTGGCGAGCATGTTTTCCCTGCATCCATTGCAAATGCCGGCGTGCAGGCACTGGACAAAGATGAACTTGAGTGTCTCGTTCATGCAGATCATGCACAGGTTCTCCCAGGGCTGTACAGAATACCTCCGAGCTGCAGCTGGCTGTGGCTGCACCCCTTGAGGTGGCTGTATCAGGGGTGGCTGCATCAGGGGTGGCTGTTGTGGCTGCACCACTTGAGGTGGTTGGATCACCTGAGGTGGTTGGATCACCTGAGGTGGTTGGATCACTTGAGGTGGTTGGATCACCTGAGGTGGCTGCCCTCCAACGTCAATAATGTCTCGGTTGGCAGTGAGAAGGAACGCATGCAGGATGCTGGCCAATCGAGGCTTTCCTGTCGGTTAAAATTAATTTACAGAAGAGTACAAAATTGTGGTTTTAATAAGATAAACACCTTGTAAACAAACTAGCATCTGAAGATTTTGATAAGAAAAAATTAGCAATCATTAAATCATCTCTGATATTAAAAATCCATTGTTCTTCATGGAAAACTTAAGAGCTCTAAAGGCCTGCAGACAATGATTTATCTTACCCCAATCTAACTTGAAATCCTGCTGCTTGTTGTTTTTCAATGCGACCACCAATTCAAGTTTTGGCAAGGAAATGAGCCTCTCGATAGTCGGGTGTGGTACAGCCAAAAGAGTTGCAATTGTCCCATCTTCCAGTCCTCTAATATCAAGGAGCTACAAAAGACAAATCAATGTAAATTATATTTTTGATAAATCCAGGACTCCATTTCTATAATAGGAATTTGTCATAGTTCCTCCTCTCACAGAAGTACTTGGAGCCTAGGAATTAATTTAAAAATTATACATTCTTTAATTCTCCTGCTCACTTTTAGTCGAAAAATTTATGATAAAACATTAATAAGCTTGAAAAAGCTTTCAAGAATTTTGAAAATTCTTATACTTTCAAGTTTAAATAAAATTTTTATATCAATTTATATGAAGGAGCTATAGTCAGTTTGAATTAAGCTTACCGGCGGTGCCTGCTGACCCTGCTGTTGTGCCTGGGCCATCGCTGTTTTTCAGTATAGAAGCATGAGTATGAAATAGTGTTCAAGAGAAGTGACACTTGGAGACGAGAATTTCAATTTAAAAATTCGTGCTGTTCAAAACTGGAAGCAACTATGATAAAAAAAGCAACAAATAGAAAACACGATTAAAAGTATGTAGCAGGTTGTTGCGTTAATTTTTAAAAGTCCCGCGTGGGAACTTCTATAAAACCTACCGTGTTTTTGCAGCCGTTGAGGTCGTTTTATTTTTTATCAAAATGGAGTTCAGCCGTTCGTTTCACAGTCGAGCAGATTGTCTACTGTCTTAACCTTGAAAAAAAATCCACCATTCAGAGTATCGCACCGTGTTTCAAGACTTTTTAAGGACTCGGAACCTCTATTGTTGACATAGTCAAATCCATTCACACAAAAATGGGTGGTTATATAACATTTCCAACAAATGATAACTGCCGAAAAAATCTCCTATGTAACATATTTTAAAAAAATTCTTGATTTGACTATGCCAAATTAAAAATTCCTTCAAAGAAAATCGACAAATACATAGAAAAGCAAAGAAAATGTAACAAACTTTTTTATGAACATTTCATGTGGCTAACACGGGTTACGCCCCTAAATTTTCCCTCCGTTTTTGCCAGTTTTTTGCGAAAATATATTTCAGATGTACAGAGGTGCACTAAAGGAGGCAAAAAATTACAAGTACATACTCGTTCAAAGATTAATTAATACAATATAAAAATTGCAGATGACAGATAACCGGGATCTTTCAAGAATTTGCAATGTTTTCCAAAATATATTCATGTTTAAAATTCCTAATTTTCAAAAAATTCAAATGAGCCTTATTTAGAACTCTGCGTCTCCCGCATACACCCTCTTATGAAAATGGAGAACTTTCTTTATTTTTCAAACCCAAACGGCGGGACCACCAATTGGAAAGTGGCTAAGTGGAGTATGCTCTTGCCCTCCATCCCGGAGATTGTGGGTTCTATTCCCACTCCAGGCGGATTTTTCTCGGGGGAACCTGAGTGATTTCTCATGCTGGGACTGCGAGTGAAGGGTTGAAAGTCGGCCGGGGGCCGCAGGATTTCGTGTTGAGAAGGGTGTTTGCATTGCACCCTAGTTGTACGCAAAAGCGTTTAATACAAAATCCTTTACAAGAAATAAAAAATATATATTCACAAATTTCACCTCATTAAAAGACAAATGATCGAGTTTTCACTTTTTCTCTTTTAATAATGTTATTAGCAGTTATCATAATAAAAAACTTTTATTGTATATTATATTATGAAAATCATTAAAATCAAGTAGAGTATTTTTATTTTGATAACGCACTCAAAGCTGTGAGAATAATTTTAAATTATTATTTCCAGAAATCATCAATTACATTTTTAAAAAAATGTTATAATTTTATGAATTGTTGCATAAAATTTCAGGACGTGAAGAAGAGCGAGTATGATGCCGATGACGAGACAAGCTTGAGTTCGGTACTGGAAGCGGTGGAGAACACACAGAAGTTGGTGTCTGAGTTGAAGGTCGGCTCGGACAGAGGCTCTGATGGAAACGAGACGGCTCGGGCGATCGCCGTTCTACGCGAGGACCTGCTGACGAGCAGCGCCGAATCGACAGAGCGCATCGTCAGCACCGTGGCGGTGGCCAGGCTCGAGGCCACCACCGGCCTCAGCGGCCTCAACGTGGTGCTATCCGAGGTCAAGCTGGACACGACCAAGAGCGTCGAGGCGCTGCGAAACTTGGAAAGGGTGGCCGTGCAGACAGCCGAGGGCGTCGAAGAGGGCAAGCGGCGCATCGAGCTCAGTGGCCAGCAGACGCTCTACGAATTACGCAAGAGTGGAAAGGTAGTTCAATAAATTGATTAATTAATATATTGTCCGTAGCAACATTTTTATTTATTTTAGTACTATATATTTCACTTTTAAAAATTCCACCTTTTGTTTCTTTATTTTTATCAATTAAAACCAAAAAAACAAATTTAATTTTTTGGATTTCATTCCAAATGGTTTTGAGTCAAGTTAAAATTCTTTTCTTTAAAAAAAGGGATTTTCATTATATTTTTATTTATGCTACTAATGCTCTTTAAATTTAGATTTACTAACGCTTTTATTAATATCGGTTATAAATAGATATACACACACTTTTTATATTTAATTATTATTTTTTATTTTTAATTCAACAAATCTCACAAAATGTTATTAATTTTATCTCAAAACATTTAATATTTCACATAATGTTTAAAAAAATCTATCTTCTGTGTAAAAGGGACGAAAAATAACCAAAACCTTTTTGCTTGAAGGCAAATGCTGATCTACTGAATGAGACAATTGGAGAACGTTTTGAGCAACTTTCTGGCGATATTCTGCGCAACCAGACCAAGACCCTGCGCAACATGTCAGCGGCTCTCGAGTCCGAGATCAGCCAGGTGTGGCGCCAGATCGGCATCATGTACAGCCAACTGACGCAGTCGGTCAGCACCCTGGACAGACTGCAGAACCAGACCGAGTCCTATGTCAATGGGAGTCTCACAACCATGGGCAACATGAGCGGCAAGGTCGGACAACTCAGTGGAACCATGGCTGAGGTTGATGGCAACCTCAACTACCTGCTTGGACGCATTTCTCTTGTTACCAGAGAGTTCAACATGATTAAAGTACGTCAAAATAATTTGCATTTTTTTATCCATTTTTTTTAAAATTTAATCTAACCTCTAGAAAATTCAGTTTTTATAATTTATGCAACTCTCACCGTACACTAATATTGATTTGGATTTTATTTAATTTTTTCTTTGTAACCAAGAATGAACTGGGACCAGCCCTTGATCAGGCGAGAACAGACTTTGCCAAGTTGCACAACGCAGTGATTGCTGATCTCCCCAGCAAGCAGCCTATCTCGGAGCCAATAGACGACAACCTTGTGGGAACCGAATGAAAATTTATAATAAGCTAATTAATCATGTAATCCCAACAAATTTTACCATTTTTAGCATTAAGATGAAATTTTTATCACTTATATTATACAAATACAAAATTTCAAAATTTATTCTACATTTTCTTTGGAGTGTGCCATCTAGTTTAATTTAAAATGTAAAAAAGCTAGAGTGTCATTTTTATCTATAATTAAAAACCTTGTAAGAATTAATTTCAATAAATTTATTCCTCATTTTATACATGATTTTTTCCTATTTACCTTTTTTACATTGGCGTCTTTTATAAAACAATTTCTTTTTCCCCCATAATCCTCTACGCAGGTATTTGATCTTACAACAATGGAAACCATTTTCTCACATACATATAAGGAGCTTGTGTGTTGTGGTATACAATGATTTAGAATTCGTCTCGTTAAATACACATGCACTGTATAGATAGACCTATACACGAGTTTTATTCTTCTCTCTGTGGTAATAAATAACTTTTTTTATTTAAATGGTATAAAATTGCAAAAACTCTTTCTTGTATTTTTTCAAAACCCCCAGGAGAAAAATCATTTTGGCTCGTTATATAAAACAGAGTTAAACTAATTCTTGTTAATGACGAGTTCAGTAATTAGAGCAAAGAGTGTGAGAAGATGAGTAAAAGTTTTGTTTTCCAGTTTATACAAGAGGTTGACTAGTGGGACTATTACATGATGTAATAATGAAAACTGAGCTCTATCACAAAAAAAATCATCCACCAAGATCAAGTACAAGAGAGCAGCGGGAGCGTTAATTATTATTATTCGTATGGAAGAGATATATAAATACACCTTATCATCTATTACTCCCTTACATAGTAGGCCTATTTTCTCAATTCGTTCTTTTGACTAACAGTTATAGAGCAGAACATCCTGCTGAATTTACTCATCGTATTAAGCTCAAGTCTGTATTTCGAGTTAAAAAAAGAAAGAGGAAAAGTACAGTCAGCTGCATTTCTTACTACTAATCAAATTAAATAAACTTTTTGTTGATTATTCAAGTTTGAACTAAAAAATTTTCGCCCGGATATGTACAGTTTTCACTCGAGGTAGGTCCACATAATAATGCGTTTTTTCTTAAATAAATGCACATCTCGTTGTCTGCACGCTGCTGAAGTCTTAAATGGAAATCATTCTTTTGTTTCTCGCAGTACATATTCAAAATTTCCTCTTTAAAATCACTTGGGAGTTTGCTAGTGCGGTTGCCCATTTTGGGTTTCCTGCCCTGGCGAGCCGCTCATGTATCCTGGCGACGGCGATTCACATTTATCTGCTCCAGGGTACTGCGACAGGCCTCTCAATCCAGACCCTGATTTCTCCGTCACGGCTCCCTGCGCAAATCATCAAATTAAGATCATAAAATTAATATAATTTGTTGCGTCCCACCTTCAAATCGGTCTCAATGAACGCCCTGTCGATTTTCTGGTATTCCCGACCTGATCTTGGTCTCAGCGTTGTTGTCGCTTGTCTTCCAATTAGCCTGCAAGAATAGATTGAGAAAAAGGTCTTGTGACGATTTGCCATTTCATGGAAACTTACAGTCCAAGTCTCATGCTGTCTGGAATGTCAGAGCTGCTGTGACTGGACAGGGAAAGCGTCTCAATGTAGTCGGACATGTCAGACGTACCGCTGCTGGTGCTGTGGGAGTCGGGGTAGGGCGCGGGAGTGATTGCGTCCCCATTTGTTCCTTTATAGATTCCCGGCCTGCCGTTCATCCCTAAAAGAGTTTTATTAAATAAAAAAAGTTCAATTAGAAAATTTATGGATTTTTTAAAATGTATATTGATAAAATTGACAAAAGCCAAAAATTATTTTAATTATAAAACTTTTACTTAATTGTATGAATTAAAATTTAAAATAATTATAATCTTTTATTTAAAGCTTACTTTAAAAACTAAAAAAATCCAACAATTTATTAACTACTTCCAGGATCAAAGAAATCATTTTTACCTCTGGAAGGCTGAATGCTGATTGGAACTTCAGCCTCTGCGGAGGAGGACTTTGGTGCTTTGGGCAATTGCTTTACGTCTTTGAGGGGTTCGGAGGACCTGCACCTCCTGGGCAGCGACGAGTGGATGCAAACTGTCTTGGGCTCGAGGTCAGGGAAGTAGGGCGAGCCGGCGGACACGCCTGAGTCGTTCGAGCTGGACGAGTCTCTGTTGTGTCCGGCAGTTTTGCATGGCACCGAGGAGGACCTGCGGATGTGCACGGCCGCCGGCTGTCGGTCCTTGGCGTCCTCCACGTTAGATCGCGGCAAGGTCATCAACTTGATCTCAACGCTGTCCGTCTCGGTCAGGGTGGACGCGTCAGACAGGTGCAGCAGCTCAGACGGAGAGGAATCTTCTCGAAGGGCCGCCTCTGCCGAGAGCCGCTCCTGCACCGTTTCAGTGCTGTGCGAGTTGTCGTTGTCCTCGAGGGCGTTGTCTTCGTCGTCGGAGAGGAAGCGGGACGCGTCCGCAGAGCTCGACCGCTTTCTCTGCAGCGCCCTGAGGTCTACCGCTCCTGGAGAGCTCGAGTTCATCTGGTGTCCTGGCCGCGAGGATAGCGCTGGAATGCTGGACGCCCTGCCTAAGTTGGCTGCTGGCGTCATCGCCAGGTAGCCTGGGAACTTGTTGGTGCTTGCGTTGTTTGGCTCCATCATTATGTACTGCTCCCTCTGCTGCTCAAGGTCATCCTTGGAGATTCCGGCTCTCTGCAGGATGTCCTTGGCGTTCTCGTAGTTCTCCAGTGAATGAGCAAAGTCCAGGTTGGCGTAATTGGCCGTGGGCTGCTGTCCCACCAGAGGTTGCTGCTCCCCCGTACGCAGCTCCTCAACATTGACGTAGTTGGGACACGGCGGAGGTCGCATCTTCTTCTTCGTCTTGTCCACGGTGGCGTAGAGCACGGACAGCTGACCACTGGGGTCGCGCACCGGCATGCGGCCCTCGCCATTCAGCCTGACCTTGTGAATGGGCACGCCTGTGTCGGCCTCGGCGCCCGAGCCTCTTCGGCAGGGCAGCAACTCCGTCCAGCCCATGGCTACCCTGTGGCATGGGCAACTCGCCTGCTGTCCAAGCAAACCGCATCCCTGCTGCTTGTTCTGCTGGGCCCACATGTCGGGGTGCTGCCTTCGCAGGTACTGCCGGCCATCCTCAAGTTCTATTTTGCTGTACTTAGTCTCTGAAATGGCAGACAGGCGGCTCTCAGCCCTTGGTTGTTGCGTGAACAACTGCTGCTGCTGAGGGCAATTGCAGGCCGGTCGGCCGATGGACTTGGCGCACGGCGGCGTGTCATAGTTACCAAAGTCACCTATCACCTCCCTCAGCTTCTTTGGTGTGTCATAATAGTCCATCTGGCAACAAATGAAACAAAAAATTATTTCAATATAAGTTTATAATGAACTAATTGTAAGAACTAAGTGAAGTGAAACTTAAATGAGATGGTATGAAGAGGAAATATTTATCTTCAAATGAAAGCCAATTATCTTTTTCAGTAAATATCACTGAAAATTTTAAATATAGCGGGTTAAATTTTAAAAGAAAATGATAGAAATAATTGGCAAAAAAAATAAATATCCATCAATGTATAATTTTTTCACCTCTGAGTTTCAGTTTTTTCTATACTTACAGGCATTTTTGCATGCAAGAAAGAGCGAGGAACGTCATAGTTGTGTTCGTCAACCGCCGAGTGCACCGGCTGAGCATGTCCAGGGCGCGGTGTGGGTGGAGGAGCCCTCCGCGGCGACTGTGGTTTGGGCGGCCGCTCTGGGGGGCAGCATTGACACCTGCCGTTCATCACTACAGGAGGCGCTGCAGCTGCGTGTTTTGGGCTCTTTGGGGGGATGACTGGCGGTGGCTGAACGGCCCTGGGACGGTCATACCAACAGTCACCGCTTCCGCTACTCCCTGAAGACAGGGACGTTCGGTCCTGGGAGGAAAAAATGGAAATAATATTAATGCTTCAAACGTTGAAACTTTAAAAATCAGTTTAAATGTTAAAAATTATCTAGTTAATTATTGCAATTAAATCAAATATTAAAATAAATTATTAGTATTAATCAATTAAATCAACTCAAAATTTTGTTTCTTAAATTTTTTTATAGATCTAAATAAAACCTGCTTTAATTTAATTAAAAATATATAAATAACTGTCATTTAAAGATAAAAAAGGTTTTTTTTACCTGAAGACAGGCGCTCTGGCTGTGCTGATCAACCGTCCAGGTGTGTGTGAAATTAGCGCCTTTGACAGAAATGGCACCGAGTTTGCTGATGCACGACGAGCAGCGTTCCATGGCAACGCCGCGGCGCTCCATCTCAATGTCGGCCGCGACGACTGAGGTGGCGTCACTGCAGCTGTCCATAAGGTCAGTGTGAGCCGACTCGGCCGACGACCACGGCGAGCGGCGACCGGTCAGATCCTCCATGGTGGCGCTGTTGTGCGCCTCGCAAATGCTTCTGCTCAGGAGGTCGCTGCCCATCAGCGAATCGGCGCAGCTGCTCAGGTCGGAGGCACGAGTTTCCGTTCGAGAGTGCAGCATCTTGCGAGGACTGTCCATGGCAGACATCTTGCGACTCAGAGGCCTTCTTCTGGTGGCCAGTTTGCCCTGGGCGGCCAGCTGCATCGCCTGGTGCACTTCGGACGCCTGTCCGCAGCCCAGTATGTGCAGACCCTCACACTTGGCAGAGCAACGGGAACCACCCTCAAAGCAGAATTTGCCGTCCACCACCCCATAACGTCTGAAAAATCATTTATCAAGTGATAAAAAAATTTGAAATCAATTAATTTACTTTTTCTACATATTATATCAGGTGGTTCAAAATGGCAATTGGATCATTTCTATTATAATATTTGATTTGAATATTGACCAGTTCAGTGTCTGCCTAATTTATTTTTATTTTTTGTACATAAAAGTTATTTATATCGTGATCATAAATAAATTCTTTTAGATAGAAATTTATTAGACACATCATGTGAACAGCTTAATAGGAGTAATACAATATATTCATTATTTATCAATCGTTTGAGCAGCTTCAGACAAACTTAATTTATAAATTCTCTTGAAAACCAAAACAACATAGTTCTATTGATTGATAAAATTTAAAATAATTTTAATTTAAACTTTTTTTAACTGACCTCAGATGTCCAATTTCCCAGACTCCGAGGAGGCGCGGTGGGACGCCGTTGGTGAGGCAGAATTTATGATCTTGGATGTGCAACCTGGCAGGTCCAGGCACGACCTTGGACTTGGGTGGTGCCGAGCTGACCTGAATGAGGAACTGTTGGTCTGCAACAATTCAAAGGGGAGACTTGAGCGCTCGCAATTACAACTTATTTTCGAGGCGCTCTCACCTTCGCCGAGGTGCGTGGCGATCTTGACCTGCCACTGGATGAGTCGCTCCCTGGTGTCAAAGGCCAACACCACGGTCAGGTCCTGGCAGATGATGGCCACCGTGTTTGACTCCTTGTCCAGGGTGAAGCCTGTGCGCAACGGGGGAATTTTAGTCACAAAATAAAGGAAAAGCGTGATAAATTTTGCATGAGCACGTATAGGGGCTTTTGTCGTCGCGAACATGCATCACGTTTGACTGACTGGAACGGGAAAAGGATGGAAAGTCAGTCAAGTCAAGCGCGGGTGTTATTTATGGACTCCAGCATACGCTGCCGAGTGCAACAAAAACTGAAGAGGGCCTCCATCAATCACCCGCAAGTGTTCGTCAGAGCAGGGTAAACGGATATTATCCTTTTTTTTTTAAATACTTTTGAATTGAAATAATTTGATCTAAAAATTTTAATGGTGCGCGTGGCTCATAATATACAAAGAAATAAAATTTTGATGAATAATTACCACTTTCGAGTCCAAGGAAGTGTTGGAGGGAAAGGGAGGCCTTGGTCTGTCCCTGCTTGTATCGATCCTTGCAGTCCCTGTAGAGCTGGAGGTGGAGGCAGTCTGGAACAGAAGAGTCAGTGTTTCAATCTGACGCTGTTGGCGAGAGATGAGAGGCAGGAAAAAATGAGTGAGAGGCTGCCGCTGACACGTGCAATAAATAAGGGGGTGCAAAAACTCTTATGCCTTTTATATTTATCGACGGCGACACGCACGCGAACCATGTCGACGAGCTGTCAATGAAAACCCCTGTTTGTTTGTCTCTCGCGGCAGAGAGTGAAGCAAAAGCCGAAAGGGTGATTATCTTGCTTGCAAGGACACGAAAGAGATCGAGGGCCGCTGACTAATGAGGTCTCCGGGGACCAAAAGTGAGTGTTTGCTTAACACCAAATGCACACTGCTAATTAGGCGCATTTGTCACCATCAGCTTGTTTGACAATAGAAAAGACAAACACAAGTTTTTTTTAACAAAATAAAGTTTTACTATCTTGAAATACTGAATAAACTAATATGATCTTCTGACTTAAAAATTGAAATGATTAAAAATAATTATATATATATAAACTAGATATTTACATCATTTTTAAAATTTTAAATAATTTCAGTAATATTTAAATCAAAACAGTTTGAAAAGTAGAAACAGCTTTAAATTAGTGTCATATTTTGTTGATAAAAATCAAATTCAATCTATTTAAATCTTAAATTTCCTGAAAAACAAAATTTTGGAATTTTAAAAATTTCACATCATTAAGAAATTTAAAAAATATATTCTCATAAATAAATCGTTTGAAACATTTAAATTTGCATACGTATTGTTTTATGCTTACAACGCAAAACGTTCAGGGGCCCACGCATACATAAAAATAAAAAAATGAAATGGGATAAAACTCGTTTGGGGCTGTCAGTGTGTCAAAGCAAGTGCGGAGCGTGCTCAGTGCTTATTGCCAAGTCAGCGCGAAAATTGTTTCTCTAACTCGGCGCGGCTAACAAGCTCTGCTAGGGCCGGCTTTGTCCCGTGAGCGCCTCGAGATCAAACGGAGCAAGCCCTTTGCTTTGCTCAGGAAACTAGCTGCCCATCCGCCGAGAGGGTGGGCGGTCGGTTCGCATTATGCCAAATCCTCTCTCTCTCCATCTTGGACTTGAGGGGACACGTTGAGGGCCCATTGTTTGAAGGGCCCACCTGCTTCCCATAAGTTGTGTCTTATCTCGAGAGACGAAAGACAAAAAGATGCTTTTGTCAGCGCAAATGCTTAATCAGCGACCCCAAAAAGCGATCAATTTATTTATTTTTACTCTCTTGAATGACAATAGCTGATGGTCTTTTTGCGATGGCCACGAGTATGTGAGAAAAGTTTCTTCAGCAGAAAAGTTTTGACTGTTCCGATTCGGTTGTCGCGCACGCTTTGATGATACTTTTGTCATTACATGATTGACACGTCCTGCAGTATATTGGAAAAGTTTCTCTCTCCCCTTGCGCTATTTCCTCAAAATGCAGAGGGGCCTGCGTGCATTTCGCCAAGCTTGTTTCTCTCTTTTGGATTCGTGGCTCTGACAGCAGCCATCGCCAAAAGCACTCGATTTCAAATGAAATTGAGTTGAAATTTTGCTTGAGAATTTTGAGCGAATATTATCCGAGGTTGCTGGAGCTGCGTGAAATAACAAGAAGTCCCTGCTCGGCTCATTTTCTCTCCCTGAAGCAGCGAGCGAAAGAGAATAATTAAACATAAACTTCATTTTCTCATCTCCCTGAGCTCCGACTTTTGGAGAATGGCAATCAAATTTAACCAATTTCCCATTCTTAAAATACTTGGAAGAGCGAAAATTTTGTAAGGATACTTTCAATGTTTAAAAATTTCTTGTATAGAGGGATTGATTGAATTTTTCTTAAATTTTATCGCACAAGCTACAAGCTTGGATTTCATTAAGTTGCAGTGAGAAAAAAGCCACTAACGAGCCGATAAATCATGTCGTATCGCCGATCGCTAATTCCGTGTTCAGACCATTCACTTCTTCCCTCTCTCGCTCTAAACGCGTCGTAAAAAACTTCCAAGAATCTCGTCTCGTCCCCCTGCTGTACACAGACTCTCGGTGTTTTACGACCTGTGCGCCGAGGTTAAATTGCATTTTCCGCCGACGAGTCTTAATTAAAAAACGCCTCTTCGTTTGCCGAGTGAGAACAAGAAAGCAGGAAGAAAAGGCTCGCACATATTTTACAAGCTTTAAATTTTTCAGACTTTGTCAGTTGGCTTGTTCCCCGCTAATTGGAAAAGGCAAAATTAGGCTGAAAACTTTCATGCAGCCAAACGTTAGAATGAAATTCAAGTCCATTTCTAAAGAAAGAAAGAAAGGAAGAAAGAAAGAATTATAATTTTTTTCAGTTTTATTCTAGGCTTCTCACCTCCTTCTTAATAATTGAGTAATCTTGTATTATATAAAAATTAATTTTTCTTCTTTGTTTACATACAATAATAATAGGGGGAGGATTTAATTTTTGAAGGACTTGTGCATGAGTTGCCTGCTCGTTATTTGACCCTTCAATCCTTTTCCTTCATATTCGGATCGAGCGAGTTGTGTGCGAGTGTTTGCCACGCTAATGATCCAACCGAGCAAAGACCGGTGCAGCCACGTGCGTCTTTAACGCTTGGCAGGTTCGCCAGCCGCTGTGCAAATTTGCACACCGCCTCCAGCATCAATTGGCTCGAGAAATTTATCAAACCAATCCAACTGAGGAACCGAGGTCTGGCAGAAATTCTCCGAACATCTAATCACTTTCAATGTTTGATGATTTGATCAACCGCAATCATCACTCAATGAAGTGAAAAAATCAAATATTAAAGATGAGGATCAAGGTTTGGATTTTTCTTTTATTTAATGTGGCTAAAAATTTTCATTTGCCGTTAGTCGTAACTTAATTCTTTAATTTATTATCTCATTTTTGCCATTTTTTCGAACTTGGAAAGTTTTTCTTAAGCCCCGAAGGCAGGTAAAAAGTTTCCCAAAGAGCGTTTGGGTCAATTTTTCACTGGTTCTAAGAGGGTGCGGCAGAAGTTGTTAGGCTGAGGGAGGAGGCAAATGGCGCGGAGGGTGTCGGAAACAATAAATTTACCACCGGCCGGCCGTTGGAGAGAAAGGTGCCATTTTTCTCCGTCTTTCTCAAGTGAGGCCTGATCGTTGATTTATCTGCTCCTTTCTATCGGCTTCGGCCGTGCGGAGAAAAAAACTAAGTAATCGATGCTAACGGAACACGGTGACCACACTTGAAATGGTTGGCTTCTGAACCTAACTGGAAGACCTCAGTAAAAAATTCCTTATTTAATTAAATCCAAATAATTCATTTTAAGAGATGTATGCATTGTTTATAACTATAGAATAATGTTTAGTACAAATTTTACTGAATTTTATATTAAAATTGTTATTTCCTGCATTCTTAACTTAACATTTTGATTAATATAATTTTGTTTTGTTTTTATTTAAGGAAAGAACGGGAAGGACTAAAGAAGGATATTGATTGAAATGTTTTAATGACGTTATGCATTCAATAAGAACAGTCTCATCAGTGATGATTCAAAAAGTTGCAAGTTGAGTTCAGTCGGTGGAAAAAAAACGCGTGCATTCTGCGAGAAAAAGTTGCAAGTTGTTAAAGTAATGAGACTCGCATCAGCTGCAAGAAAATACTCACATTCTCACCGGTTTCTTTTTGTCTCTAAGAAATTACTGTTGCCTCTGGGCGTCTTAATCAGGAAAAAGCGCATACTGTGCAATTATCAAAGGACTGTGAAGTGACCCGGCTGAATAGAACTAGGACGAGCATAAATTTAATGGTGGGTGTCCGATTGCAAAATGTAAGTGCATAAAAATGTGAAAGGTCAGAGAACCATATTTAGGTTTTGTAGATTATTAAGCGAGTATTTTTTTGCAATATTAGTTTAAATTAAAATGACGAAAAAACATTATTTTTTGCTTTTTGAGCATATGAAAATTTAGTGTTTTTAATTATTATTATTATTTGATTAAAAATTCGAGCATTTGGCCTCTTCTATTTCCTTTAGTCTGGCATCGTGTTTTCTTTGGGACAACTCTATCCTTCCCAGACACGGACAAGTTTGGGCAAAATATTTTTGTTTCCGGTTTGCAGCGCAGAGCGACTTTGTCTTTGATCTTTGCTCGCCAGCGGCTCGACAAGTGTCAAAGTTTTCGCCAAAGACGATTTGAATTCTAGCGTATGCATGAGGCTCGCAGACAAACACAGGACGGGACAGAGGCGTCCCCGGGGCTTGCGGGCTGCATAACTCGTGTCGAGCAGGTGCGCGTCCGCCACCGCAGCAGCAGCAGCAGAGGTGTCTGACGGCACTCGCGGGACCTCCAGCGTTGTTTGCGTGCACCAATGTTGCCATTACGCAAAACACTTCCGGCTCCCCGCAGCCCGAGTGCAATTTTCCTGAGTGCACTGAAAATTATTTGCAAACTTTGCAATGTAATTTCTCAAATTATTTGCAACAGCAATGGGATTATGGTATAAAAATTTTTTAGTTTCTGATATTGAAATTAATTACAATTGTTCATAATTATTTAATTCAAGATGGTGAGTTTGAGTATAAAAAAACTAATTTTTTCTTTTTTTCTTTTTGAATCTTTAGGCAATTTTGGTTCGTCATTTTTCAAGTCAAAGAATCTCAAGTGACGCTGAAAAAAGAACAATCGGAATCTCCGAATGGGGCGTTCATTTTAAGCCCCTGTTCTTTCCCGCTCATTGCGTCCCATCGCTCGTAGAATGCAAATCCCCAAAGTGCAGCTGCAGTTGTTCTCTTCTCCACGCTTATTTACGCAGCCGGTCAATAATGCAAGAACAAAGTGAGACGCCGCCCGTTTTTTTTTTCCAACCGTCATACTTGGTGTAATGCAAAGCTGAGCGGCGAAATTCCTAAGGGATCGCGTAATTTATCTGAGCTGGCGGCTCTGAATGCATAATTCCGAACGGAGGTAGATGAGTATTCTTTGCTTTGTCGAAAATACGCTGAAGCAAGGGGACTCTTGTTCCCTCGCCGCTCCTGTCTGAATTAATC